GATGCACAAACAAGAGTTTCAGTCGCTCTTTTACAAGTTTGCCCATCGATGTCCCTTTCACATGCAACTCCGCAGCGCTTGCTTGACGAACATTGGAATGAAAGTTGTGTTAAGCTGCACATGTACACCTCATATTTGTCAAAGAGCCTTGAATCAAGCAAAGGAAATTCTGACTCAGGCAAATCAAATACAGTCAACAGCTAAAGACGTCAGCGATGCAACTCGTGCCCAGTGCTTGAGCAAGCTTGGTTTTTGTAGTGTTTGTGAGGGGCGCGTTAGCGAGGGTAATGAATACATCAAAATCGCTTTGAAATTGCGAGAGGACAGAGCAAAAGAATTCAAGAAAGGCGAAGACCAAGTCATGGTAGCTGCTTGTTTTAATGATTCAGCAGGTTTGTGGCAATTTCAGTTCTTATTGCCCTAATCATAATCATATTTACGAATGAACTGTGCTGAGAAGGAATAATGAGAAACAAATCATCTCCATTCAATCTCTGCTGTAAAACCTGTGGGTCTTGCAATTAAGATCACCTGATTTTTTGCGTAAGCTTGGTAAAACAAAACACGATAAAAATTGTTTACGAATCAAGCGTCTTAAAGTGATTTAATAATTAGCTACTGATATTGTTGGCAAAAAAAAAAAATATATATATATATATAAATATATAAATACATATATATATACATATATATAATATAAAGAAACTGTAAACTTCTGTGTCGAATGAAGATACTAAAACTAATGAAAAACGAAAATCTTCTTTTAACTTTTACTTTGCTTTTGCGCTACGCGTTTCACCGCTGTTGCGGCTCTTCAGGCATAGCAAAGTGTGTTTATTGACTTGTTACGTCACTGATCTAATTGTAATTACAATAATAATGGCTATTGTAATTTGAAGCGCGCGCGAGCAATTAGCGTAATTTCAAGTCATTAAGAACGAGTTTATATTTCGAAATAACGAACTTCTCTTATATATATATATATATATATATATATATATATATATATATATATATATATATAGGAAGTCAGTCTGCAATATGTCACTGCACTCTTCTGGTTTATCGCTTTATCGTTTTTTTGACTCACAGCTTCTCAAATGGTGCAGCGAAACCACGTGGAGGCTATACAAACAAGGCTAATTCGTGTGCTACCTGTTTATGAAGAGAACCTTGGTGACCACCCGTTTACAGCAACCACTCTCAACTGGATTGGCAACAGTTACCATGCTTTGGGTGACTACGACAGTGCCATAAAATATATCAGTAAATCAGTGGAAATGCGAAGGCAACTGTTGGGGAATCATCAAGAAACGGCCAAGTCCCTTTATGATCTAGGAGTAGCTTTTAGTGCGAAACAAGAGTATGAAACGTGAGTAAAGATGCTTTGCTAATTATCATTCAGCATTTTGTAGATTCCATACTTCTTAGTAAAAGCTATGACATAAGGGAGAACCACAACGCAATGGCACGCAGAAAAATGTTTGCCCCTTAAAGTAATCAATGCAAGTCTGACAAAATGTCAAGTACACGCGGATGTTACAGTTGTTTAAGGGTAGCGGAGTTCATTCAAGTCCTGACGGAGGAAGTCTATTGTCCATGTGGTCCGGAAAAGGTTATTTCGTAGTCGCACGAAGACGACAGGCTAATATGTAGCGAGAGGAGCGATGCTCCGGTACCGAGGTGCCGTTTTACTTGTTGACTCATTTCCCTTGTCTTCTGGTTGTGATGCCGCCTCGCCGCGGCTTCTTAGACCTCCTTGCGTTTTGAAAAATTCCAGTTAATGATTTGAAGGTTAAAAATTAACAAGATCACATCACACGGCAATTTATTTTTTTCCTTTTTGAATTGTAAGACTATTTTTTTGAACAGGAAGACGAAGGAACGCTGTCCTTCTTAACAATGGTTTCAACTCCAAACAGATCAGTTTATATTTCTCGATAACATTTTATACATCAATGTATCAGATAGATGCAAGTCTCTGACACTTTAGGAGAAAGTGTGCGGGAAGTACCTAATTTACTGCTGTATCTATTTCAGTGCCCTAAACCTTCTTGAAGAGGCAGCTGATTTGCAAGAAGAAGTACTGGACACGTACGACGAGCTGATTTTCACTCACCAGGCCATGGCAGTTGCTCTTCGTGGTCTTGGAAGAACTGAGGAAGCAGAAGAAGAAATGAAACGCTCGAATGAGTGTGCAAAAAAGTTGGATTCATGGGAAGCTCCTTCAGATATGCTCGGAACCAAAGAACTAGAAATTTTCTGGGACCATTTTTGAAACAACACCCGTCCCGGCAGTACCTACAAGGAGAATTCACACTTTATCCTTTAATTCCCAGATCAAATTGGTAATTCTCCTTACTGTCAAACATATAATTCTTATAATTTTAGTTCAGAGAATTTAGTATTGGATCAACTAATTATCCCCAAATTGATATTTTTCTTTATTCTCCTCACTTATCTGGTTAATACTGAATTGATATTGTAATGAGAAATTCTGTGTTGGTCACTCATGGGAGTTTAAGGGTTAAGAAAGCGCCCACTGAGCTCTTAATCAGGTTATCAGTTTAAATCCAAAAGAAGCAATGGGTGTACATTCTCCCAAAAATGGAATTTAGTCTTAGAGAGAGCCCTTTTTGTCTACAACGGATGATCTCGGTCTGTTAATATTTTGATCAAAAAAAATGGAATTTAGACTTAGAGAGAGCCCTTTTTGTCTACAACGGATGATTGGGAATCGGTCTGTTAATATTTTGATCAATAGGAAAAATCATTGTTGCATCGGGTATCCAGGTCCCGGGCGCACTGGGCAAATTTTTCTTTACTTTACGAAAGAATCTTAAGCATTTCCATGAGACAAGTGCGCACAATTTTTGTCAGCCTTACCAATCTTTTCAATCTTTAGAGAGGGCCCTTTTTGTCTACAACGGATGATTTGGAATCAGTCTGTTAATATTTTGATCAATAGAAAAAAATCATTGATGCATTGGGTATCTAGGTCCCAGGCGCACTGGGCAAATTTTTCTTTACCTTATGAAAGAATCTTGATCGTTTCCATGAGACAAGTGCGCACAACTTTTGTCAAAGGCGCCGTCGTCCTACCTCGGAACAAGATAAATCTTTATTTTACATGCGTGAAATCTGACAGATTTTTCAGTTTACAAGCCACTGTTTGAAAGAAAAAATGCGAGCCGAGTCTTTAAGGCAAGAAACCAGCCTAAATATTTCATTTTTACTTGGCAATCAAACGGTGAAGCTGAAGATTCGTACCACGAGATGCTGCATGACGATCGGTCTAGTGGTAGCTAAACAGTCTGTCAGCCTTTCTGCCTGTAACTCTGTCAGACAATCAGTCAATCACCAAGTCAATTAATCATTTAATCAGTACAACTCTTTCTTCTTAGAAGTACTCATGATACTAAGAAAAAACCATGAGCATTTTTGCACAAAAAAAGGAAGAAAAAAGAAAAGAGAAAAAACACTCACTTGTGTGAGAAACATAAAATTGCAAGGATTGATTTTACAATCATCGATTTCTATGCGTTGCGTAGGCGCAACTATTATTTGAAATTATTTGAAAAAAAACTATTTAATGAAATTTTATTGATGTAATTTATTTAATTCCTTTTGTAATTAACTGCTAAATAAATAAAATCAAAATCAATCTTAAGAAAATATCTGTGTGCAACCAGGATTTACAGGTTATTAAGACGAGACTCACATGATGATGGGTCCATGACTAAAGGTTTTTGTGGTTTCTTTCATCATAATGGTTCAAGGTTTCACCGGAATAATAGAGCACTGATTTCTCAGCTTATTACTGATATCAGTACATCTCTTACATTCTCGCTGATACTATAGACGAGTTCTCTGAGAGAAGTAGTGAGGATTGACTGGAATGTGGCTAACTGCCTGTAATGGAGGATATTTTTTTCCCCCTGGAAATAACAGTATGAAGACATTTTTTTTTATATCTTGCCAAATTGCCTGCCATCTCTCAGCCGAAAGATAAACTTACGAGAGGGGGACCCTCGGTGAAAGTCAAGTCACCTGCTCGCGTGACAATCAGTTGCTGTTTTGGAAAATGAGCCAACGCTCCTCTTCGGGAACGAAGATCGACTCTAGTTGTCTGTAAAGTGGAACCTAAAATATAATCAGATGGGTGTTTTTGCATCCTTGTACCAAAATTCCACAATCTTAGCCCACATATTTCTCATGTTAACTCCCTTTAGATCAAGGAAACTAAAAGGCCAACTAGAGCCACTATCAGAGGGACCTGGGACTAATAAAGGAAGTCTACCCGCCCATTTACTGCCCTCTTGTCGTCCCCTTAAAGTTCTTAGGAACGGGTTTGGGACTGTTGTAGCTTTGTATGTCATCGTTTCCCTATTGTCACGAATGACTCTATAAATTGGCATTCTTCAACTGTAGAAGGCTTAACAAAGTTGCAGAAGGCTCACAACAGTACAGCTTCAACATCGAAAGAGACGCCAAATTTTTTTTTTTTTCATAATTTAAAGCAAAGGAAGCAAAGATTTTTTTAGTCCAAGGTACAAACTTGGTCGAATTGATTTGAGGAGGAAAAGCACCTAAAAGGTATTGAAAGTCAGTTTGTCCTGGTATCTGAGCTGGAGTCTTCTGACGAGAAGATTTCCAACCCGCTTGCAAAATATGTCGGTCTCAAGACCAAAGTCTCGATAACCGCGGGCCAATCTACTTCAGACATATGAAAAATTGAAAATTTTCCTAAACAAGATAGCGAAAGTGCGAGTTCTCGGAAATTGATCCAGCCATGTTGACCGCGGGCTCATATCATGACAAGCCTCCAGGGTGGGAGGGCAAGGGGCGGGAAAGGAGGAGTTTTTTTGACCTTTTATTCTGACTAAAACGTTTAATGGTTTTGACAGTTTTGTGTCGATTCTGATAAACTTGGTTTTAGTGACAGCTTCTATTTGTCATGACAATTTTGCAGTCCTACGAAGGACCGAAGCAAGTGTGTCAAATAGGGTACCCTCCCGCTGTGATTTACTGTGCTACTTGAAAACCGACGAACCACTTTGAAGGAAGTGATAAAGGAAGTGATCATCCTCCAGGACGTGTTTTCTCGTTTATCTAAGTCGGTAGATTATCCCTATTCCTCTTGCTTGGATTACCTGCGGTTTCACGCTTCAGTTGCTCTTAATTCAGTAGGATATTCGACAGAGATTCCTACAATCGTTACCGCCAATAACGGAGATTTGATGCTGCCGTTCGACTTAACAACTTTCACCTTCTTCGAATGAATTTCTTCTCATTAACCCACCGGAATGGAGGCTTACAGCATGCACTGCATGAATCCTTTTCGTCATGTTGTCCTTTCGACTGGTAGGTAGCGATTTTCTTATTTATTTGGTTGAACTTTCATTCACGAATAGCAACACTGTTGTGCAAATATTTTCCGATTTCTGAAGCCGGAATTGGATATTACTATAATTTTTGGCGAAGTAAAATCAAGGACTCTTGGCATTTTCGCTTTCAATTTGTATCGGTTTATTGATTCAAAACAAGGACAGCTCATATTTGATTTTAAAAAGAACGACACAGCCTTTGCCAAAGCTGCGAGTGATCCTAACGTAGAGGCCATTTCGATAATCAGCATTCGTCGAGTATGCGGAACATGAGTGGAAATGAAATTGAGCTCGTAAAAATGATCAGTTTACCTTTCAAAAGTTACTATACAAAACTAATGATGACGAAGGGAGACTGTTGGACTGAAGTAACCGGTTAGTTTAGAAACAGATTCAGCTGTCGAAGGGATAATTGAAACACTTCATTACCGTGACACTGCCAGGGAAACAGTCCGAATTGAAGTGTTATTGGGGCGCATACATGGAAGAAATAATTCTATGGACGATTAACACAGACTAGGAATCTATTACGTGGCAATTGTATTCCCTCCATTGATGTTTTTTTTATTTTAAACAAGCGCCCATGTTCATGATAGACCTGTTACCAGATTAACTAGTCTTCAGTTGTTGCATTAAAGTAAAGGAGACTAGACTAGGTCACGCAACTTTTCAGCAGAGAGTAGTCTTAAGTAAAATATGCAAATATTGGTTAAAGGTAATTGCTGAGGAGGGTCAGAAAGGTTTCAAAGGAGAAAAAGTAAGGAATATCATGATCAACTTAAGAAACAACACAACGACGCGACTGTTGCATTCAGTGTTACTAGAGATTTGCCAGGATTTGAGCTCTATGAGGACGCAAGCGAACGGCCGATTTACCTTGTATATTGTTGCCTAACTCTTATGTGTTTAGATTTAAATTTTACATTGGTTTAGACGGCGTAGTTTTGTCGAAAAGACATTGAAGCTATGGTTTTTTTCTTATTTTCGCTCGAGCTACTTCATTTGAATTAGTCGGACTCATTACTAACCCACCGTGACAAAAGAGATGTTTTGGGTTAAATTTGTGTATCCGTACACAGATTTAATTATTTCGCTTTATATTCTTAATTAGGATCACCTTTAGGCACCATCCTGGCGGAAAAACGAGACCTTATGGATCGGTTGGCACTCTTATTAGACAGAAAAATGCGATTAATTCCGAACTGGACACAGTTAGCACGGGAACTGAGAGTTGATGATGCTGTAATTAGCCGATTGGAACAGTACAGTAACCACAGCCCTACCATCCAATTGTTTGATTATCTAGAGGTCAAGCAACCAAACTTAAGCATTCAACAACTTCGACAAGGATTGACACAGATTAGTAGGAATGATCTGAACGTACTGCTCAAAAATGGTAACTACGTTCTGTTTCTTGTAACTAATTACCAAGATGCAGTTGTCTTTTACCTTTAATTTTATAATCTATCAAATATTTTTGCTTGCATGCGATGGATCTGAAGAATTGCTTGACCCAATATGCCCCTGCTAAGAATAATAATTTCGTTCGCATTTTCAAACCTTACGTTCATTACAATAAGATTATTTGTAAGAGATTTAATACAAGATGAGAGGGTTTTGCTATACGTTGTAGTTTTTGTTCATAAAGTGGTACCAGAGAACACTAAAAATTAAACATCCCACGCAGTAAATAGAAAACTTTTCATAAACATTTTGTCCTGAGCGTCGCAAAAATATTCAAAGGAAATACTTAACACAATTGTCTCAATTTGGCGTTAAAACATGCTCATATGTTTGTCCATGTACATAATCTTTTGGCCAAAGCTTTTGATATTAGTGATAAAACATGTGCATCAACACCAACTACAACAAAATTGATGACTATCATGGAAGTAATAACAATTTTGATGATAACGATAATGTTAATAATGGTAAGCGTTCTTTTCAAAATAGAGAAAGATTCATCTATAGCTGATAAGTATGAACACACCAGTCTACCTACTAAAGATTGCTCTAAAACCTACCTCTTTGGAGTTTTTTTTTAGTCTTATGTAAGAGGAATTTACATTGTGATGGTTTGTCTAGCGCACGATTGACCCTCTTAAAAACACATATCAGTGACATTTCTAAAACTGGCGAAGTGCCACGGCTTTTACAAGAATCTCAATATATTTGAATTCATGGCTGCGTGATGTTCAAATATCGAGTGGACTGATTGTGTAGCGTCTCTTACTTCACATTACACGCCATGACACTGATAACATTTGTTTTAACAGCTGGCTTTGATGACCATGAAGAGGTTCGAGGAGTAATAACATCGGGAGATCCACAAACTCAGACTTCCCTTAAGAAGGAAATTCTCGACAAAATTGCTTTAGCTTTAGATGGGACATCACTGGTACTCGGAAACTGGTACAGCCTGGCGATAAAATTCAACGTGTCAAGGGAAGAATGTTGGAAGATAGGGGCACCTTCAGCAGAAAGCCCGACTAACCAACTGTTTCAGTATTTGGAAGCTACTTGCCCAAAGATGAAGCTGAAGAAAGTGGTGGACGCCCTTTGTTTGATGACCAGGCATGACTTGCTAGACCTTATAGCTAAACAGAACTTTGAAGGTACGTCATACACTTTACCTACCACTGATTCGAAATTTGAGATATGATTAGATGCAAAGTAAAGAGATATTTTGTTGTCTTTTTCATTTTTCCGTACCCGGCGTGTTCCCTCCTCGGCATAACTCATTCAAGAAGATAATGCCTCTCTAAATTCCTAAGTGTAGGTTACCTTCTCCGGACGTTAATGACAAGCCTTATAACCCTCCCAGTCCTCTGGAAGAGTTTCTTCTTCCAAAAGCGTATGCAGGACATCCAATGTAGTGTCCGTTTCAGACTGCAGTAGGTCTAGGGTGATGCTATTCATACCCGACGCCTCATCGTTCTTCATATCTTTCTTTTGCCGGGGCTTCTATCCTGTCATATCGCGGCGGTGGCGTTACATCCCAGTTCCTGTGTTCATTTACTGTTCAATCATATCTAACATCTTTGTGCAGTTATTAAATTCCAACATTTTTCATCAACTCTTGTAGATGATAACCTTCTTGCCACTAATGAGTTTTCTTTATTGCAGATGAAGTGCTACTGAAAGATGTCATGATACCTGGATCGAAGCTCCTGCAAACGATGGCGGATAAACTCAACCGTACAATACCTGCCGTTGAGAATTGGAAAAACCTAGCTTTCAAGTTGGAAATCCCAAACGACGAGATCCGAAAGTTTGAGGGCATGACGAGAGAATCTGAGAGAACAAGTCCAACTATTGAAGTGATGAAATGGGTGGCCGCTAAATTCCCTGACACTTGTTTAACTGATGTTGTAAGGGCATTGGACAAGATTCAACGAAATGACGCAGTTATAATCATAACAGAGGAATTTCCAGATACAGTGGGTGAGTGGAAAAGGGAAGTTACTGTGTAGATATTGGAGAGTTTTAGATCCACGTTTGGTTCTGAATACGTGTGGCCGCAAACCGCTAGGAGTCGCGTGACCAGACTCTAGCGATCACGTTCGCCGTTTGCCGTCCACGTTTGAACTTCGGGCAAACGCAGTCTCAGGTAGTTGAACTCCCTTGACGCTCTTTTTCTTCCTGTTCGAAGGTTCTCACGTACGTCCCATAAACATATATGAGGTGAAGTCTTTTCATTTCCACCAATCCGTTTGGGACGCTGGAAAACCAATCTTTTAGACTCATTTTGTGTTTGAAATGAAGGGCCTCCATCCTTGGTGTAATTCAAGACAGCGGCGCACAATTTAATTTTTTTCATGTGAAAGACGACGTCGATCTAAAAAGCTGAAAGTCTCGAAACTTCTAACTTCTAACCACAAACTGCTGACTGCGGTTTGACGTTTGCGGTGAACAAACCAAACGTGGATCTAAAACTCTCTATTCTCCTTTTAAATCAGCCTGGAATATTCTTTATAGTTGAAAATCGGGTAAAAGATGATCCTTGTGGCCGGAATTGTATGTAATGTTCGTTGTTTTAAACACTCCGGTTTTTTTTTTAATTAGCGCTTTTTAAAAATAGGCTGGACATACTAAATTATTGACAAGGAACTTAAAGTTTATAAGTTAAAAGCTTTGGCAACCATAGTTTATGGGGGTGATAACTACTTCCGATAACCTCCCTACTTTTATCCAAAGGATAATGGTATCGCTATCACAAGGCCCCAAAAATATCTATCATCTTTAGTCCACAATTAAATACTTTCTGTGCTACTTTTTGAAATAATGTCGGTTTAATTTTCTCCAGATCAATCCCTGGAACGACTGGATTCTTCACTGCACGATAGCCTCATCAAAGAGATGCCGATTAACGATCCAACAGGCAGGACGTTGTCTTATTGTCGCAAGGGGGAAAGATCTGTTTCACTCTCCAGTAAAGGTAAAACTGTCGCGAATGTTCAATACAGAGATTGAAAGTAGAGAGGTTTTAAAATTCGTGTACAATTGTAGGTCCCTAAATGCCTTCTACAGAATGTACTCGATTTTCAGAAGAGCAAAGAGGTGTTCACCGGGCTTTCAGATGAGCTATTCACCTTTTACAGGCGTTGCGAGAAATATTGTTGTAATTAGTAGCACCGTTAAACCTTTTGCTCATTAAACCTTCAAATCCGTCGTGGTTTTCTTTAAGTTTCTATTAACTCGTCAAAACAAGAGTGAGTGCTGTTAATTGTTGCTAGTCACTTTCAATGCCTTATATTACACTGGAGTATATTTAGCATGCCTTTCTTTTATTATCACCTTTCAGTTGCAGAAGACATGATACGAACTGGTCACTGCGGGCTCTTGCCAGAACGAACAAGCCTAGTGGGACGCAGTGAGATTTGTGAAGATATTGTAACCCTATTGACTTCAAACAAATCGGCTGAAATTGTGGCACCACCTGGATACGGAAAAACAACGGTGGTAATCGAGGTCGCTTATAGGATGATCGAAAGAGGAAAGTTTATCGCCTATGTTAAACCCCGTAATGTTACCTGTGTAGAAGATCTGGCAGGCAAAATTATTGAGGCTTTAGGCTTCGTTCACGGAGAAGACGCAGTAACTGAAGTATTTCATCGCATCTGTTACTTTAAGGAGAAGAGTGTGGTGTTGATCATTGAAAACATCGACGACTTAATGCATCTTGAGAATCAAATAAGTGTCAACGAACTCCATCAAGAACTGAAATCCAAAACGTACTGTGCAAAAATGCGTGGAAAATACTCGAAGGATGACTTTTTCACCTTTTTAAAAGACATAGGGCTAATTTCAAACGTTCAACTGATCCTCACATCTCGAGAAACGTACAATTTCCCAATCGAAGTTATTGATTTAGGGCCGCTTAATGACGAAGAATCAGCTGCTCTGTTCACAAAGAGTGACGGTAATCTAGACGATAGCTTGATCAAGGAACTGGTCAGAGTTTGTGGCGGTATTCCTCTGATAATTTGCACTGTGCTCTTCATTCTTAAACGGGAAAATCCGAAAGAGTTTACTGAGAGACTCTCTTCAAGTTCACCTAGTGATCTCGTCAGAGAACTGAACCCAGAATTTATGGCAAATGAAGACCGCATTGATAAGTGTCTGGAAATCTGCTTTAAACGGCTAAGTCAAGAGAACCAGAAGATTCTTGTCATGTTCTCCACATTTCCGTACAGATTCACGCAAGAACAGTTCCAAACAGTATTTGAGTCATCAGTCGGACACGATTTTCAGACACATCTAAATTGCCTGAAGCAAAGCAGCCTCCTTCATTTCGACAAAAAGAGTTGTCAATACTTCCTTCATCCTTTCATAAGGAATTTCTTTTCTTTGATGCCCGACCACAATGAAGCGAAATCAGTCTTCCTTCGTCACTACAGTGATTTGGCCGTTAGCCTTTGCCGTAAATTTTTGAGTAAGGATTCTAAGTGTGCGATTGAACATTACAGAGCTGAGAAGGAAAACATTCGAGAGGCCATGGCGTGGTGTGGAGATGAGCATCCTGAGCTTGAACAAAGCTTAAGGGAGAAGTGCATCAATGCCTTTAATAAGGCCGCCGTATTTCTTGCAAAGATGATGAAAAGGCAGGAGTTCGAGTCGCTCTTCTGCAAGCTCGCGCATCGTTGTCGCTACGACATGCCTCTTTACAGTGCTTGCCTAACGCACATCGGAATGAACATAGTTTTAAGTTGTACATGCACACCTTTCATTTGCTCAAGAGCGTTATATCGTGCCAAGAGTTTGCTGTCAGATGCGAACGACATCCAGTCAGAACGTAATGACGTGAATAACAGCAACCGGGCCCAGTGCTTAAGTAAGCTTGGTTTCTGTTGCGTTCGCGAGGGGCGTGTTGAAGAAGGCTATGTACACCTGGAAGAAGCCTTAAAATTACGACGGGAGAGAGCAGAGAAATCAAACAAAAGGAAAGACAAAGTCATGTTAGCGGCTTGTTTAAACGATTTAGCAGGTTGATAATTTTACAAGATTATTTTTGTTTCATGAACCGAGTTGACAATGTAAATGTAGAGTTTTAGCCTCTAGCTTTGAAAATCTCACAGTAGCCAATGTGCATTATCAACTCAGTTGAAAAAAACAAATTATCATGTTAAACTCCCTCACCAACATAGCACCACAGTGTTAAGAAACTTCCCCCCTCAAGGAATTTTCCAGACTTAACTTTGAGAGTAAAAAAAAGTGAAATGTCACCTTCACCACGTGTATTCCACAACACCTCAAAGTTTCGAGATGCATTGAAACTTTGCAGAAGCCAAGTATCACATTTGCTTTCTTCAAATAACATGACTTGTAAGCTGAATGTTTTAAAAGCCGGATCTGATATGAAGCTCGTGTTTTCATTGTAACTATTATTCGCAAAGTATATACAGTCCTAACTAAAATAGTTCTGCTGCCAGACGAAGTTTTCGCAAGTGGGTATTTGGGAAAACCTAAAGAAATGGGAGATGAGTACAGCAATGTGCCATTTAAGTTTGCGTTTTTTTTTCCTTTTGCAGCTTCTCAAATGGTTCAACGGAACCACTTGCTTGCAATTCAAACAAGACTCGATTCTGTGCTTCCTATTTATAAAGAGAACCTCGGAGATCATCCTTTCACAGCAACAACACTTAACTGGATTGGCAACAGTTACTACGCTTTGGGTGATAACACCGGCGCCATCAAATACAGCAGCACATCAGTAAACCTCCGACGGCAACTGCTGGGGCAACATCAGGAAACTGCAAAGTCTCTATATGATCTGGGAGAGGCGTTTAGCGCGAAGGGAGATTACCAAAGGTGAAAGAATACACTGTAACAGTCTTATATTTAATACACATTGAACTGATTCCTTTCTTTTAAAAGTGTGTAGAACAGCACGAAACATTGACTCGAAGGCGGAATTCCAGGACAAAGACTTTCTTAGCATTTCCAACACGTAATTTCTAACTTTGACTGTTACTGTTTGACCTGAAGGAATAATGGAATTTAAGTGTTGGAAAAGTTTTTTTTTTTTCTGTGCTTTATCTTTGTACAAATATAAACAGAGATATTTGTTAGAATAAGATATAAAAACCATCATCAATGACTTCAGAATGATGTTGATGGAAATAGCTTACAGTAAATCTGAACTCCGGTTTTGCCCATTTTCTCTTCGATCCTTGAATCCACACGAAAGAAAAATTGGAAGCAATTCTTGTTCAAAGGAAATTCAAATATTTTCACTTATTTAGGTGTACACAGAGCCGAATTTGGCAACAAGAACTTGGATTTCTGCCGTTAACCATGAGCGCCATGTTCTTTGCGCCTGCATGAAACATGATTTTCCCTTAGGAAATTCACCACAACAAAGACGGCAAGCGTAGTAACGAAAGAGCTTAGTATTAATTTGCTTCATCTTTTTAGTGCCCTTGATTACCTGAAAGAGGCTGCTAAATTACAAGAGGAAGTATTAGACACACACGAAGAGCTGATTCACACATACCAAACCTTGTCGATTGTCTTGCGTTATCTTGGAAGAGAGAAGGAAGCCGAGGAAGAAGTGAAAAAGGCAGAAGAGTGTGCGAAAAATTTGGCTTCTTGGAAAGCCCCTTTAAAGAGAGTTGAGAGCCACGAAGGAGAAAAAGGATGGATGGCTGTTTCAACCATTCCTGATGCACAACCAAGAAGTTCAGCCATTGCTGAAACAAAGCTAAGAAGTTCAACGGTCTGATTTATTACCCCCTGCCCATGATAGACGAAATACATTCAACAATGCTCACAGTATCAGTTATTATATTTTCACTACGACAAGTAAATCAGTCTGCTCAGTCAAGCAGACGGTTGTTTCTTATCGAGCTGAAATGACTTCTTCGTTATAGGAGAGAAAATTGCAGCAGTACTTTTCCGTCATTGTGTTCGCGGGACAAGCAAAGCCCGACGTACATGTAGGGCATATTTGTATTTGCACAAAAAAATAAATTGAATTAAATAAGAAATAGTTCCTGTGTGGAAAAAGACGAAGCAACAAAATGGCCACGTTAAACGATCCATACTAAAACATGAAGTATAACCGTGGGAGGACTGGGGAGGCTCTGGCTTCACTAGACTTGTTTCAGCCACTGAGGAACCGGTTCCTGGTCTCGTCCGTATGTTTAGAAACGATATGATTTGCACTCAAAAGGATCGCCGAGAAAGCCTACTTCATTAATAGTTATGCCTGCAATTAAGAGGTCTTAACGACTTCAAGATATTGTTTCGTCAGTCTGACTCACATCCATATCATCATCGCCTTTCTTACGCCTTCTTCGACGAGAAGTTCTTTTCGAAACTTCCATCTTTTCATTCTTGTCCTCGTGCTGTATATTTTCTTTTGATTCTTCCTCCACCTCCATTCCTGCACCAGTTTCAGAAGCATATTTTCGTCCCTGTTTTCTCTTTGTTTTCAGGGACGACTGAGTGTCCATTTTCTCCTCAAACACACAGTTCTCTCTCGCCAACCTCTTTTCCTCGTCGCTGTCTCGTAACTCCTTGTTCGACTTCAGCAAAGTGAGTTTGTTTACCGCAGGAACCCCTGCCATGAATGTATCTGGCACAGGGAGCCCCAATATTTCAGGAAGCATGTACGGTTTTAACCAGCCAACCAGCGGTGTTCTCCCGCAAGTGTAATGCGTCCTCTTGTGAAAGAACAACAAACCATCGACCTAAAATCATTTTAAAAGCTTTCAATGTCAAACCGATAAAGCATGAGAATGGATAATGAGAGATACCCCTCTTTGCCCGTTCCTTCGTCAAAACTGTTCAGCTTTAAGCTAATTAAGAGGTTGTCATTATTTTAAGACAATGCTACATAAATCATCAACCACTCCACCTCCATGGACTTGTGAGTAATTTTGTACTTATAAATTCTCCATCCTTCCTTGCATATTAGTTTCCATAATTTGACGCATATGTCAAGAAACGAAACCTTGAGCTGATAGGTCAGTCTACTCTCCTTACCTGTTCCCTCCAATATCTATTGTAGTATCGTAAAGAGAAGTTATTTGTCCATCACTTTTATAGGATCAAGTGTAGCACTCTACCGAAGATTGCAGATGTTTTTTTTTTTCAATTCAAATTCATGCCGTGAATGATGCTCTAACACTTGACTACCTTGGAGCAAAAAAAATGTGGGTTAAATGATCTTCTGTGTTTCCCTTTTTGCCAATTTGCTTGAAAATAATTGTGGCAGAAATATTTCCAAGACACTACTCCTGATCAGACGTTATTTTTTCTTTTACCTCATTGACTGATGTGACACTGCTCAAAGCTTCATTAATGGAACTGGCATGACAAGGATGATGATGCAAACTGACAAACCTGTACTGATAAATGATGAGCAGAGACATTTTAATTAAAGTGTGTCTTCCGTGGATTGAGCTCTCATGCATCAAACTCAGGATTTCCCTCTTGACTTTATTTCTACCAGTTTTCAAAATTTCACCTTGTTTTTTTATTTGTTTTACAGTGCTTTTTCCACCAGAACAAATATGAATAAATAAATGAAAATATATAAATGTAATTTAGCAAAGGCATGGGATCCTCAAAATGGGGCTTCATACTCTGATTCTGGCTTAAAATGGAAATTGGAAGTTGGTTTTTGTGGAGAGAGAAAATCCAGTAATCCACACATGAAAGCCTAGACCAAGGTCAAACTCCAGTTTCAAACTCAACCCTCATGTAAAATCAGGTCTGGAATTAAGTTCAAAGCACCATTCCTACTTTCCCTGAATGAGTGGACCAATAAATTCCAATTCTCTTACTGGGTTGTCACCTGACACTTGTGCCACTAATGGCTCTTCCTGAAGCTTTGTCTGCAGCCAGTAAAACCTAAAATCTGTCTGAAAGATGGAAAAATGAAAAAGAAAAACAATGATATTAGTCACCAGGTAATTTGGTTTCATCAAATGAGTTTATAATGTAAATTGGTCACCATAAAGAGTTTCAAAGCTGATGTTTCAAGCATTAGCCCTTTGCTAGCCCTTCATGCATTTCATGATAGGTTGCCAACAGCTTACAAATCAGAGATCACAAAATTAACTGCAAATGGTGACTGTAAAAAATAATGAGCCTTATCAGTAGTAATGCAGAGCTACATGTGCTGTACCTCACTGTCATACACAGGATGACCTCTCCAGGTCATAACATCCAACACATGGAATGTGTTTGTGAGTTCATTGAAGATACAGTCCAAGATGGTGTAATCTATGTATAAAACAGATAATTTCCAAGTGTAGAAATATATGTACATGTATGTAGTTTTAGGTTTCTGATTAGCAAACCCAGTCTATACAATTACCTCATATACTTAATATATACTAATACAAGCTCTAAATTATTTGAGGTTCAATGAATTCCTGGTTGAAGAGACTATAAAGCCAGAAAACAAAAGGAAAAGAAAATTAACACCTTGACACCTCCATCTCAAAAGAGAACTTAAAAGCAAATAACAAGTACATTGAGCAAGGGAAGTACACCATACTTGATGCCCAAAAAGCAAAAAAATTGTGACAGCAACCGATATATTAAAGCAGATTTTTTTACTGTTCTCATAACTCAAATAATGGCTTTTGTACCTCCAGGTTTGAGAGTTTTTGGACTTCCGCCTGGCAGCAATGAGGAAAACTTATTCACTCTGAAGCCACTTTTAGTGTATGCAGCAGTATATCCCTGTATTGTTTACAATACATGGAAAATTAAACTATTACAGGTCACATAACAAAGTTACACACAGTAGTATTTCTTATGAGATGGTAGGCAGTTTTTTTTACAGATTTCAACTCCCCAAAATCATTTGTGAACTGAAAATTGTGAGCTACAGTGGACCTCAAATCTTAAATATTAAGTACAACTCACACCATATAGAAGAGCTAATGTTTTGAAGCATGTGGTGAAGAAAGCCACATGAAAGCTACTTTAAGTTGTTCATTTTAATTTAACCTTTTAACTCCCATGTGTGACCAAGACAGAATTTCTCCTTACAATAATTTATCAATACAACATCAATCAGACAGGTTATAAGAATAAAGAAAAATATAAGTTTGAGGATTTTCTAGTTGATCCAGTGCCAAATTCTCAGAGCTAGCATCATAAGAATTGTATGGCATACAGTAAGGAGAATTACTAATGAGATCTTGGGTGTCAAAGAGTTAACTTACATTTGCAGCAATAACAAGGTTTCTTTTGCCCACTGGACAAATCACCATCAACCAGTCCTCCTTCAAATCATCAGGGATATCAACAAGCCACTCTGATAACATCAACTAACAAAAAGGAGAACAAAAGGGAGGAAAAAAAAGAAATCAATTTACTGAGCAAAAAAATTGATCCTAATCTATACCATGTAGTAAAAAATAATTATGCTGAAAAAGGAAAGAGATAATGAATGACTTTCTTTAACTTCGCTATGAGCAAGATATAAAAAACATATTTAGAATGGTCTGAAACTGAATCACTTTTGGTTTCTGAGCAAAATTAGAAGTTTTCAAAGAGTTGAAAAATTTTATTCATAATAGGAGAAAGGTAAAGTGTATCATACTTTTAAAGAGATCTTAACTTGAGATGTTAACAGTTTTAATTGTAGTAGCCACACCTGATATGCATAAGGATTAAACTTCTTTTTATGCCTTCTCCTGCCATTCTTGTCACTCTCCTCAATAAACTCCATCTCCTACAGTGTGCAACCATTTCCAAAACTTACAGTGAATGGCAGATAAAATAATCAATAAAAGAAATGACAAAGAAATGAATAAGACTGAGATGAATAACAATTCAAAGAATGTGGGATATTGATCAAATGAAGCCTTTAAGTGCTACTGTGGTTCTTTCTTTATTCACTCCGAGCTTTCGCTGTTCTACAGCATCATGATCCCTGATGATGCCATATCTCAACATCTTCAAATTCAAAGAATGTTTACCTCTATCTCAACATCTTCAATTTCTAAAGATCCTTCCACCAGTTTTCTTGCATAGTTGACATAATCTCGCCTGTGTCTGAGAATAGACAGTACAAAATCACATACAGTTGAAAATATAGTACAATACACTACATTACCAATAACATTTTCCCACATCAACTGATTACTTGGCAATGATGTGAAGATGCATGAAAAGATAGTTGATTAAAGAAAAGCATAACTTTACTATCACAGCATGTATAGTGTATGATTTCGGTCATTTTCCATAGAGACATAACATACCTTTTCTGCTCCTCCAACATTCTTTTTCTACGTAAAAACTGATCTGGGGTGTTGCTGGGCTTCATTTTATACTGCGTCATCCTGATGGCAAGTACATGTAAGTCAGTTCTTACTATTACAACAACTCAAATATGATAAACATTCAGGAACATGTTCTTTAGCCATAGCAGCAACAACATAAATCTACATGCATGTATACAGGACATGTTCTCAGTTAACCACAGTATCAACATTATAGTGGCTCAAAATAAAGAATAATGAAAACCCATTTTTTTTTTAAATTCTATGGCACCAAACAGTTTCTATGGTCATTCTTTTACCTCATGAGTATTTCAGTGCAGATTGTGGACCCATCATTGTAGTTGATTAATATAGCTGTTGTGTCATTGTGTTTCTGGCTATCTTACAAATTCTCCTTTATATAGATGCAAAAGTAGCCTTTAAGTCACTGTGTTACTTTTTTTTTTTTTTTTTTTTTACAACATGATACTCATATTAACTACATTAAGGTTCCTTTCACAGGACTCCCTACATACATTGTGTTACACTACTTACAGTATTCTTAAGATAATGCACACACATTTAGAGGCACATCATTTACACACAAAAAAAAGAGAAACTTACTCACAAAAAATTAACAGCTATGAAAGACAGAAAGGCTAAATTGTGGGTGAGATTGATAAGAGTTAGAGCTTGAAAAAAAAAACCCAAAAGTACAGTGTTTAGCAAAAATTGATTTTCAGAGGCTTAAAATCAGCATAAGGAGAGTAAGATAATATCTTACTCACATTTGTAGCCTGCCTGCAAACTATATAGCAATCAAAGTGCACAAGGTATTTTGTCTCACTTCTGTTGAAATTTATTCTGTGAATCAGTCACAATAGATATTTGTTTTTCAATTTCTAAATTATATTTCAGCTGTTGTGCATATTCTCTGATATATGGAGATATGTTTTTAAATTTACAGCAATAAATATAATACCTTGTGAGGAGCAAAAAATGGTTTACTAAAATATCATCTTTCTCTCCTACTAAAACCTAAACACTCATAGATATCCAAAATGTGTGAGGCTGATATCAAATGAAATGAAACGAAAAAACAATGAACCCTTCCCCAAAAGGTTTTCGTTACTGAGCATTCCCAGAAAAGATGGATTAATGTTTCTTTGTCTGTTTTGCACAAATAACAGAGAGCAGTCTCCAAAATTCCTATTTTAGATAGAAAGGAGTCACTGTGTTACCAGCTTTCTGAGGATTTCCCCTTATACCAGCTCAAATGTAGCAACTAAGTTAATGTGTTACTAAGTGAGAATCTCCTTTTACACTGATGCAGAGGTAGCCATTAAGTCAATGTATTAGAGGCTTTATTATAGTCGGTAATAATACAACATCCAACAAACTTTATAGTGACTTCATGAAACGCTTATGTTTGGATGAACAAAATTATAAATTACATGTTTACATTAACACAAACACCCACTGCTGAACTGCAAGCCTAGAGAATAGCTTACTGGTAATTCCCTAGGAAAATTATGGTGTACTGTTTCATTTAGGGGATCTCTTTGAGGGTGCAGGGGGGGGGGGGAGAGGGCAGGGGACAGTGGTGGGGTATAGGGACTGGGGGGAACTCTCTACATATTACCCTGGATGTGGAGAGCCAAGTTCCGATGCTGATGGTATTTCAAGGATACAAATGTCTGAGATAAGCTCTTTAAGTCTCGTTTTTGCAAATAGGGCAAGATCTGCACATACACGTACACAACAGGGAGTTTTTCGATTCTCACACACCCAAACCCCTTAGACGAATTTTAAGGTATTTGTGACGATAGAATTTAACTTGGAAGGAACAGGATACTCAAGTTGTGCTGAATTCTGCTTACCTCGGATGAGGCGCTGCGGTGTCGTTTGGGTCAGAGGAAACAGTGAAACTGGCCGCAAATGATTCAGAAAGACCCTCCATTTTGACACAAAAAGGAGCGAACTTTAGCCGTTCAGTTCAGAAGAACCAAAGAAAGATTTAATCCCTCAATATCTAATTATCAAGCCTTTTCACAAACGATTTTCATCTCGTATACAGTTGTTCCAAATTTCCCTCTCTTCTTATGAGCCCTCGATTTACTAACAGTATGCAGTGAGTGTAACAGCAGTGAAGATTCCCCGGAAGTCCCTAGCACGTGACATTCATATGACGTGCAAACGCCTGGCGGATTTTGACTGTGATGAAAGTCAGTTAAAACTTGTTCATCTGGAATTATGCTTTATATTGCTTAAAAACGAAATGGCCTCAATCATGCACTTATAGGGTGACTCATTTAACAAGTGTAGTACCTGGCTACGAAATGGGATCGTTTGCGGATTACATGGGAGATCATATTTGGGTACGTGTTAATGCACGTCTTGTGAAACTACATGTACTGCACAAGGAGCAATAACAATGGATCAGCGTATGAATGCAAATATTTTTTCAATAGGAAAATTTTCGTAATCAAGGGCGCTTTTAAACTTAAATTAAGGTATAACGACGCATCGTTAACAATAAGTGATTAAATGCACATTTTTTTCTTGTGCATTACTAGAAATGTCACATTGATGAAACAATTCGAGCGTATATTTGCAGAAGTATATGGTGCAAATCGAAACAGAAAAAATTTAATTATGACGGAAGAAAGATCACATTTACAAACAAGCAAAGAGATCAAGAATTTGGAAAGTGCTGTACAAATCAAAGCAAGGTGATGAGACTTTTAACAGCTGAAATTAAAAAGGGGAAATAGTGCATATGACTATGAATTTTTGTGTTGCTTCTAATACAGTCAGTTGTGTGATATTGTGAACGTAAGACTGCACCTTCTGTCATAAAAATTTGTTTTTTAGAACACTGAGTGAATTCAGTCAGGAAAAATATCATACACTACTCATTGATTGGCTGACTGTTGGTGTAATTTGTCTTTTTAGATTCCTATCCTGATTGCTCTTGGCATTGCATTCCTGTTAATCATCATAGTTTGGATTCTCTGTAAACGCAGGTTGGTTCTTTGATTGTTTTATTGTTATTTCAGTAATTATTATTGTTGATGATGTTGTGGTTCAATTTTATCCTTGGTTCAAATTTAATTTTTCTTTGTTTCAAACTCATTATCATACGTTACAATACCCAAAAACAAAAGAAAAGAAAATTTGAACCAATGATAAAATTGAACCCCAACATTGATGTTATTGTAATAGTCGTTAATTGCTCTGTAAAGCATAAGATAGGATGTGGTTCTCATTAAACAGGGTTCCAAACTTTTTTTTTTCCCATTTAGTGGTCATCTGGTTACCTAACATCATAAAAAAGGAGCCTGAATTGAAATATCAGGTGCCAGCAAAATAATATCAGAAAAAGAAAAAGGCAATTTGTTTATTACTTTATAATGTGCTTGATGGCTGGCCATACCAGTTATTTTATGGCCTATATATGGCTGGTATAAAAGGAAAAAAATCAAGGAGAAAGTCATGGAGCATAAGTAACATTTTATAAAAAATCTCATATCTCTTTGACTTCAGACCATGCAAACTAAGTCATAAAAAATTAAAACTTCAACACAGGTTGGAAAATTGGTGATTACAGTTACACATTAATTTGCCAAAATTTTTTAGGTCACCATGGGTGATCAAAGCAGATACTGCTTGGAGGGCTGTGGAGAAATATATTCCTCAGCCAAATGATGATGTTTAAGCACCTTAAAGCCAAAGGGCTAATGAAGAGCTTTAACTAAGGGATAATGCTCCAAACATCAGCTTTAGAAGCTCTTTTTGGTGGCCAGTTAACATTATTTATCAGCTCAGTTGATAAAACCAAATTACATTTGTGTAGTTTGCGTAGTTTGTAAGAACCACTTGCATTAAGTGGACAGTGTTAGCATTGCCAAGCGGTTTGAAATTTCTAAGAATTTTAAGTTAAAAACCCCAGAATAATTTACATGACTGTACTTCACACTAGTCATGCACCAAAGGGTGAAAAATGTTTTGGTCAATGGATCTTCAAATGAATAAGTCTGTAATTTGGTGACTGATAAGTTCATTTTTGTATGGTTCAAGGAGATGGAATCGCTATGTGAGTCAGATTGGCATAGAAGAGGATAGATCATTAATTGAGAAATGGGATGAAGAGAAAAGACTTCAGAAGAGTGTAGAAAGAGGTACAAGAACTGTGTATAATTTATGAAAATAAGAAACAAAATGATTAAATTTTATGCATGTCAATGTTTTAAGTAATGTTTACTTTGAGTTCAAGTCAGCCTGCCAAATGCAGCAGTGAAACCTGACCAAAGACATGGATTGAGATTTCTATGCTAAGATTTTGATCAAATGTGTAGCCTGTTTATATGTGGTATTTGTTTTTAACCCTTTAAACTCCCAGAGGTGATTAACATGTAACATCTCCGGGTAATATCCTTTCATTGTCTAGCGAACAGGTAATGAGAATACTCACACTTATCAGGTAGAGGTTGTTCTCTTGATCTAACACCAAATTCTTGCAACTAATTTAAAAGGGAATTTATAACAGCTAGAGGGGAGAATTAACAATCAAATGTTGGAAGTGTAAGGGTTGATATATTAGTTTAACTATTCTTTTTTGGTATATTTTATATGAATTTCAGCCACAATATAAAGAATATTTTTTACTTTTTTGTGTAGTATTAGCTTATAGGTTTAATTTGTTTTTAATTACAGTGTAGAAAATGTTTGCTAAGTGAAAGTTAGGGAACTAACTAATGTTTATGATTTCCTGTTTAATCCAAAAAGGCCAATGAGTTTTTAAACTTGATATTACAGATGCAGTGTTGCTGAACTGTTATTACTATTTAAAGGATTCCAAAAAGTACAGTTTTATTGATCATCTACCAGATATGGGTAAGAAACTGAAGAGTTTTCATCTCTGTAAATTAAGTTTATAAAAACTGTTAGTACTAGTATACTGGGGATGATAAATACTGAAAGAAATTGGATAAATAAGAGACCAATGTTTAAGTGATAAACAATAAAAATATGGTTAACTTTACTAGCCATACAATTTAACAGCTTGTATTCAACATAGGAAGTTTTAAGTACTTTAAGTACTTAAAGGATTGTTCAGGGTGGAGTTGTCTCCAACGGCTGTTTCACTCCTTCATATCCTTGACAATTCCACAGGTAGCAGAGTAAATAAACAATGGTTCCTTGTAAAGGACAGTAAACAAGCCATAAATGCAGTGTTAACAATGACACCTTGGAGCTCACAAACTGTGATTGACTTTACCAAGGCCACAAAGAAAACTTTGAAAGAGCTGTTCTCGCTGTTGCAGGTTTGTATTTTATTCAAATCAAGGCATCCATGTATAGTTACAACTGGCCAAGCAAATTATATATAAATTTTTTTAAGAGTTCATCTGTATTGCATTTTAATCTCAAGCTTTTCAATGGCAATTAAAATTCAAGGAAGTTGCTTTGATTTGCTGCTAAAAAACTTTGATCACTTCCATCAATGATACCTTATTTGCCTCCAAGTAGAAAACTCAGATTCCACAGAGGAGAAACATTTATTACTTTTTAGTTCTAGTTACAGTAAAGAAGTTCTTTAAAGGACAGCCACAATACTTTAATTATCAATGATAAACTTAACATAATACTGTATATGTGCTTCAATCTACAGCTTTGTACATGTGACTTGTGCATTTGCACTTCTACTTTGCTAACATGTTTTTGGATGTTACTTTCTTTCAACAGTTTCCCTACCTCTTTCCATTGATGGATATTGATTTTGTATTTAGTCACAACCTAGTGATGTTCATCCATCCTTACAGATCTGCTGGATCACTAAAAGATCTTATATATGGGGTATGTGGGTAATGAGACAGTGTAACTTTATTACCATGATGCACATATATTTTTTTAATGTTTAGTTGGTTGATGTCACAAGCTCATTCTTGGCCATGGTATTTTTATAAGAATTTTTTTGTCTTTAATTTTTTGATGTTTCAAAACTTCTCCACCCCTGACCTCCAAAACTTAAAATCACATCTTAATGAATTCAGTTTGTTCTATATTTTAAATCAAATTTGGTAAAGAACTTTCCACTCTCTGTTGACCTTTTGCCTTTGCTTTTTTCCCCCATACAAGCAGGAGAAGCATAATGGAACTGGAAGCTGCCATAGGGCATGGGGCAAAAGTGAGCAAAAAAAGTGACGAGCTGGGAGAGGAAGAAAAGAAAGGAAAGTTGTCCGGCCTCCTGCTCTTCCCTTTTTTTTACCTCACTCTCACCTTATGCCCTCATGGAGCAGATGGTTCGCTCATGCTTTATCACCTTGAATAAAAGGAGACAGTGTAACTCTACAATATGCAAGTTGACTTTGAAAATACAAAGCTGATTGCTAAAGGGAATAACTACACTGTAGGTGGGAACAGAAAATGTTTTAATCCCATTACAACATCTGATAAGGAATGTTAAAGGAGCCCAATCATTATCTTTTAGCTTAGTGATTTTGTCTGGTTTTTCTGTGTTTAGTTTTGTTTTTAGTTTCTGTGTTTAGTTTAGTTTTCATGCATCATTGTTACTTAAAATTCATATTTTACTTTCAGTCTCGTCCTCAGTCGTCTTGGGTTGAAAAGTACCAAGCGAGGGGAAAAGCTCTTTCACTCACACAAATTCGTAATTTTGGGCGACAAGTCTTAGAGGTAAAAGTCAGGCTGCTGCAAAGCGCCGTTTTGTGTTTGTTTGCTGAGGCTGGTTCCCAAGTTTTACTACTTTACATGTTGTCTTTTAACTTATGAATAGGCGCTGGTTTATCTGAGAGATAAAGGCTTCCCAACATGTGGTCATGTTCACTCTGGAAATGTCTTTATAATCAATGGAACAGCTAAGTAAGTCAACGAAGGTTCTTCACAAGTACATTATGGCATAAATTTTCCAAACTGATTCCCTGATATTTCAGGCAGAAACTTTCCAGCTTTCCATGAAAATTCCATATTACAGAGGTCTTCACTGTTCTTTTAATTATTGAAATGAATTACTTTTGTCAATGTTTGATTGTACAATCTCTCTTTTTTGTACAAGTTGCCTACTTGTACTGTAGCACTTCAGCAGGCGGTCACGTCTGTACACTTTCTCGTTTACTTAGCGTTGGGTTTTTTTTGGTAACACCAATGTGTTTACGTGCAAGAGGGAAGCATTGAACTGTGTATTGTGTAAAATTAGAGTGGCACATGCAAATTTATCAAAATCTTGACTGTGCATTGTCAAGTAAGTCAACGTTTACTTGCCTTTTCTCTTTGTAGGCTCTCTGGCTTTGAAAATTCTATGTTTGGCTGGAAATCAAGGCTTTATCCCACCATTAAAAAGCTTATCAAAAACAGAGACGATGATATTGAAGTTATTCAGTTTGGTAAGGATGCATTACTGGTTTTGAAGAATTCAGTATACTCTAATATTAAGTAGATTACGAGCAGCTCCGAAAGGGTTCTCAGGCCCCTCACAAACTCCATGCACCCACGCACACTTTTCTCCTGGTCTCGAGTCTTGTGGTTTTCACCACTCATGCAGCAGCACTGATTAGAACCTTATTTTAGGCTGGGTATTTATGTGTTTTGCTGAGTTTGCAAGGTGGAAGTTAACAATTTGCCAATGAATTGAAGAGCATTTTTAAATTGGTTATTTAAAGTAATCCAAGATTGAATGGTTGTTGCTTCATTAAGAAGTTTTGGTTGATTTAGAAAACTCGCACTATCTTTTCGGACAAATATCTGACGAAAAACTAAAGCTAGGACTTGTGGATTAAGTGTTTCCTCCTCTTCACACAATTTAAACTTATCTTCTCTGGGTCTTGGTGGTTCACTCTGGTGTTTCCTTTTTTTCTGTTTGGTCGTTGTGTTTGCACTTTATTCTGTCTTACGACACCTCTTCCACCCCCTTATATTCTAAAATGATTTTCGCCTTTATAAACGCTATTACTCGTATACTTGCTGTACAGGACACTTGCTGTATGAAATGCTGGCCGGGTGGGAGTTGACCACAGCAGAACCAAGGAGAGAACAGCTAAAAAACTTTAAAAACACCCCAGTTGTGGAGGTTTGTAACTAATTTTTCCAGCATAGAGATAGAACCTTTTACTGATGAGATAATTTTCATTCTCACGAAATGATATGAATGTACTTTTAGAAAACCCAATGACACTGTCTTCAATCTTTTTCCAGGTTATCAATTTTTTATTCTTTAATGAGAGCGAAATGTATCCAACCCTGGATGAGGTAAGTATGAATCTTGTTCCATGATGGTCTCCTGTTGTTGATGCAGGCATGCAAGATGCACTGAAAACGCTAGGGAATTCTAATTTTAATTCATGAGATACTTTGCTACCGCTGATCCTTACACGTATCATGGGAAAACATTTCAAAAGGTGAATGGTTTGGGTATGTCTTACACAATTATTGCTCACTACTAGAGGGCTTTTGGGTGGAGGCTTGATAAACTAGCAATAAGTAATCAGAGTGACCAATCCAAGGAAAGCTAAATATCGCAAGGAGCCAATGAGAACGCAAGTTAATAATATTACCAGGCTGAAGCAGGGGAAGATAGGAGTGATTTATTGCATCTTATTTATCGGTGGTGTGATAAGAGATATTTGGACCAATCAAAGAAACTCTTTTTTTTTTTTTTTCATTTAGCAAAACCAAAACAATAGAGGATTACTTTGCATACTAAATTTGATTTTTTTCAATTTTCATTTTTCTTTCTTTTTTTAGCTTTTAGCTCATTCATTCTTCCAAGGAGGTGATGTCAGTGGACTTAAAAAGTTTAACCCTGGTCCAGTGAGTGGCATTTTCTTTTCTCTTTTCATGTCTGACTAGTTCCCATTCGTCTTTTTCCATGCACTGTAACATGCCTTATTCTCACATTGAAATACATTGAAATACCTAGTGTTGTAAATTGAACTTTTCTCTTTGTTCAGATCCGATTTAGTTCAAATGTGAAACAACTCCTTAAACTATATAGGAATGATGGCGAAGAAAGACAAAGGTACAACTGAAATTATTGAACAGTTTTATGCCATTGTAATAAACTATTTAATATTGAAATCTTCTCGAATTAAAAGAGAAATTAACGTCTTTAGATATAAAAGCTTATTATTCGTTCATTTGTTCCTTTTTTTCCTTTCTTTTTCTTTCCTAAGTTTATTCGTTCCATAGCTCGCGGGTTCCTCTTCTTCCCTTGTCAATTTGCTTGCATCTCCTTAAAATTCTCACTGTACCTCAAAGATGATTACATTTTTAACTCGTGAATTGCGCGCATGCGCAAGAGCGAGTTGTAGATACGATGTGGGGAATGACACACGTTCGCTCGCTCGATTGGTCGATTCCTGTAAACTTTTTTTCGATTTTAGGCTTTTGAGTGCATTTGATAGTTTTTGGCGAGCAATAAACAAACGAAATTGCGACCTTTGTTGCTAAGAATAGTGGTGGGGTGACAAAGAAGCCAATGATAATCTTAAAATAATTTTTTTTTTCGTTTTAGTTTCAACAAGCGGCGCAAGGATTCAAACTGAAATAACAGAATAACCTTCGTTTTTCATAAAATTGTAATTTATAATCCTTGAACTTGAAAACAATCCGAACATTCATTGAAAATATCACTTACAGCGAAGCGCTCGGAGTTTACAGATGTTCAAAAGCTTTTTCTGTTACGGCGTGAGATTGAGGACAAAATCGATCATTATGTTTCGTATCGTGTGTTTTTTCCTGTGAGAAACAACGGAAGATGCCGGCGACTAACGAAATTACAAGTTAACACGAAAATCAAATAACACCTAAGCAAACAATTTTAGCTACCGATTTCCAGTAATTTTTTAAAGAACAATTTTCTTTTAAGTTTCAAGACAATTTAAAGATTCAAAATACATATCACGTACTGAAATGCGAAAGTTATACACCACAAAATTGATAAATAGGGCTGAAATGAAATTCTATCTTGTTATTGATTATACTTTGCCTAGCACGTGACTAAAATCTACCCAGGCGGAGATCCAAAATGACGGTGGCGGTTTTATTTTAGTTATATCACTCAAAACTCCTTCCCGTTTGTCTCATTTGATAAAGAGGGAATCGTTAATGTTTTCATTAAGAAAGTATTGCCTTGATTTTCTAATATTTACAATGATAGACAGTAAATTTCACTTTTCACGCTCATTTACTTCCAACCTTTTCTTTTGAACCAGAAACAGAAATGATAAACGTTTAAAACACATGACATTATCCACCCTTGTCAAATGCAATAGCATGATCATTTCAACTGTAATGCCTTCTTATCCCAACGTTACTTTGTTTCTTTGCTACGTTAGCGAACACTGAACTACTGCTCGTACTCTAGATATGACAATCAACCACAAAATTCCCTAAACCTGATAACATTAAACATAATCCAAAAAATCATGTGTCAATTCACGAGTTTGCTCACAGAGCACTTTGATATCTTACAAAGTTAGTTGTTGTTGTTATTTTGTTTGGTTTTGACTTCTCTTTCCCCTTCATTTGAAAGGAAACGAAAAATGTCCTCGAGGAAATCAAAACAAGACGACAGCAAAGCAGTTAAGAAGGAGAAGAGTTCTTCCAAGTGAGTTATGCATTGTAATCCTGTTTAAGATGCGAACGTCTTACTGATGACCTTAGGAAGGAGGCATCTTTAGGTCTTAGAGCATACGTGATTGTCACCGCCGAGTTACCATTGAAGTTAAGAGACTTATTGATATGCACAGTAGATGTATTTGGCTGGACCATGTTGTACTGACTGAAGTGAAGTTATCTTGCTACAAATTTTGGCGAAACTCCTAATCTGTCACCGTACAGCGTGCTTATGTGATGAGTGTATCAGGAATGGTTGGTGTCGTAGTATCACAAAATAGCAAGTATAATTATGAAACCATGATATATAAACAATGGTAGAGGTTGAGTCTGCCAAGTGTCCCTTCTAGCCGGAGCTAATCCCGTTTCCTGGGATGTGAAGTCATGAGGAGTGTTGCTCCTTCCCCTGAAAAGTATGCCGGGTTACCCCCCCTCCCCCACCCCTACTTAGTATTTAATCTGGTTCCCCTGGTTATTTTCCAGTACCCATATATACCCATTTACAGTACCCAATTCATAATGACCCAGCACTTGGACCTGATGTCTAGCGCGTTAACCGTTTAGTCGTCCACCAGAAAGAGGACTGCAGAGGCTGAAGTCAGGACTGTGAACTTTAAATGGGAGCAAGCCTCGCGGTGTGTCCTATAGGAATAGAGAAACTTTTTCCTGTCCCATGCATCACTTAGTGTTTGATGATAGATGAGAAAAAATTATTCTCCTTCATCTCACTTTCAAATCACGTTGTAACTGTTGTTCTTCTATTTTCAGATCAAAAGCCAAACGCACGTCTGTGGACGAAAAAAGGGTTCCGACCGTCCAGTTCCTGGCCACTTATCCGCCGAAACCACCTCCACCTCCTGTCCCAAGTGAAGTTCCACCCCCTCCTCGGTTAAAACGTCCATCAGTGCCTGTAGAAAAAGCTGCACCAAGACCTCCGAGCAGTTCTGGCCGAGGAGCACTCCTGAGTCAAATCCAAAAAGGTGCAAGGCTTAAAGCGACAAAAACGAACGACAGAAGCGCCCCGCAAGTATGAGCGGCAGCTGCTGATTTTAGCCCAGTATTGAATGATGCAGCACATAAGTTAATCCTGTACATGACAATGATGCCATATTAGACGTGCTAATAAGTGCAAGGTCTACTCGTGCAGGAGGTGAAATTGACGGACAAAAGATACTTTGAGTAGATCTATTTTTAATGTCGTAGAGTATTGCTATTATCATCGTATTTCTCATTGTTGCTATTTTTTCTCAAATTCATTTTGATCGGTCGTGCCGGATTTTAAGAGATTATAGGGAACTTTCAAGATCCGTCTTAGACGGTTGATCTGTAGAATAACAGCAGCTAGAGTTTATTAGTACTCATTATTACTCGAACTTACTCGAAAATTTCATAGAAAGATTTTGGCAAGCATTTCAAATTTAATATATAATTTCAAATTAATAAATTATTAACCGGTCACAGCCTCAGCTGTTCTAACATGAATAGCGAGATCGTAAATCTTATCTGTCACAAACGTGAACCTAGAAAAGGAAGAGTTCTTTCATTTGTTCCGTTGCGTGATTGCGCGTAATTGTTCTTTCCCATCAGCTCAAGTATTTGAGCACGTCACGCAACGTGTGTCTGTGTGACAAGGTTAAACAACGGCTGTACGGAGACTAGTTGGGTAGTGTTTACTAAATGCCCTTTTTTTTTTAATTCAGTTACTCTTTTATCTCTTTTGCTAACCTTATCCAAAGAAATTAAGAAACAATTATGAAATACGATAAATTTAATGATAGAGAGAGAAAGAGTAACGATTATCAGTTTTTTTTTTGTATTGTGAGATCTAGAAGATATTTATTTGCTATGTTTAAAAGCTTCGAGTCGCTATTTAATTTATTACATCCTAAAAGTAGATTACAAGTAGATTTATGCAATATAGCGTTATTGATGCGTGACGTAATAATTTACTAGGAAAATGGAATTTGAAGCCTTTGTTACTTCCCTTGCTATGCTAAGTTATTCGCTTTTCTCGTATAGAAAGATCTTTTGCAGTTATTATTTTTTTAAAAGAAGAGGAAAAAGGAATACTGAATTGGTTTAACAATAGTTTTTACATGTTTTTATAATCTTCAAATTATCAGTATTAACAAATTCTTTGATATGCAATAGGATGAGTTTTAAAATAAAACTTGTTAGGATCGAATCATTCTCATAACTGACCCTCTCGTGTACTGCAATAAAATAACGGAAAAAAGATAATATTTTTCTGATGCTTCAATTTTTGTACGGTTTTATCCTTCTACGTCATTAGAGTGTAACCAAAAATGTTTTAGAGAAGTTACTATATTTGCTGACAGATAAGGAACAAACGTGTCTTCCAGATCTGAGGCAGCATGTTATTACAAGAAAGAAAAATTTTCGAAATTAAGCAGGGATGAACGGACTCCAAAGAATTTACTCGTAGGGTATTTATTACGCTTTGCCATTACTAATTATTTTACGACTGTCAAGATCTTAAGCTATTAACTGAAGAAAATATATTCGACACAGTGATAATTATTTTGTCTAATTTTACACTTCAATTTACACAAAATCGTTAAAAACATATTACAGAGAGAAGGACCACTGCTTTTTCATCAATCAGTATCCACTCTGATTTAAATTAAACGAAAACAGACAAGCATAGATCATAGAGAATGGAGAGCAGAAATAATAAGCCTTGCATGTTTTTTTTCATTAAATTGAATTTCAGCGAAACGTTTGTAGTTAAACGTGTCTAGCCGGTTGAAATGGCCAAAGAAAACACCGAGGGTCAAATTTTCAAAGTCTCGTTAATTGATTTCTTAAATTTTTCCCTAAAGTAAATCTGATTCCCCTTTAAACATTTAAGATAAAAGGATGCCACTAAAGTGCTTATCTCCTCCAGACGCTAAAATCAACCAGTGTATTATCATCTGTCAAAAAAAAAATGTAAATATTTCCTTTGAAAACATGAATATTCGACTGAATTTAATGTCCCGGAAGCACATCTGGCTTGTACAGTCTAAAGCGACAACCTCTCAACAACATTAAAAGGAATTGCGCTTCGAGAGGGCATTTTGAGTGAGCTTCAATCAAAGCATCGGCTTATGGTAAAAGAGCTACCAGCTGTCGCTCTATTCAGTTGGTGATGCTCGCTTAGACTTAATAATATTCCTATTCCTGGTGAAAATCAGAAGAAGGAGAAGAAAGAAATAAGCTGAAATGTTTCCAGTGGGATTAATGCGTGTTGGATATCGAGAGTATGACGTTGGAGTGCTATTTTTAATTATCTCGAGTCAATTCGTGATTTCGTTTACAACCTCGTCAACGTCCTCTCCGAAAACCACAAACACTGCGGAGATTTCATCCAGAAAAACGACCAGATATGTTTCCACCATCCGAAAAAGCCAACAAGCAAACAATTCACATATATCTGGTTTTACGACGACCTTTTTTCCGACATCAGTGATAGAAAATCGGAATTCTGTAAATGCAAGTTTGGTCAAGAGACGTCGATGTTCCCGCGAACGTAACGAGGACTGTCCTAAATTTGTCGATAGATATTCGTCATTTTATCTTAAGGTGGGTCTGACAAAATGCGAAATTAAATTGTGTGGTTTTTAGTCATGAAATGCCTCGTATAACAAGAAATTAGCGCACAGCTTGAAATGTTATTCAATGAAAATATCAAATATAATGCATGAAATTTAGTGTATTCATAATTTTTCAAATTGTGGTACTCCCTTCGAAGTTCATTTACAAACCTCTATCGAAGAGGAGTTGAAAAATGTTAAGATACTACCTATGCTCATAAACCTCACCTATACACAAGTTTAAGGGAAAATTTAAGAATAGCTACGAAAGAACGTTTGTTCATTTTGTGTGGGTGTATTGAATATTGAAATTGCATTAGGACTGAGCCATAGAAGTAAATTACTTTTTTCTTTCAATTTTAAACGAATCTTAGAGTGAATCATAGATGAATATACCTATTTTAAGATATTACTTTCAAATGGGAGTTTCATCAGTAGTTAAAAAAATCCTTTTCTATTTCATTCATACCCTCTCATCATGCTAAAAATGTAGATTTTTCTTCAAAGTTGGCGAGAAAAAGTCATTGTTTTCAAACATTGTTAATTATTAACTGAACAAAATTATCTGGTCTTTCGAATGGGCAGCTCTTCCTTTGAATCAAATTAAATGAAATAAGAAGTCAGATATGAACATTTTTTGAATATCCAAAGATCATTATTTTAAAACAAAAAAACAACAACAAAAAATAGGTTCATTTGGCAACCCTGGATTGAGTTTCTTTTCGAGTGGGCGTCAATTCAAATCAGCTTGCCCTCCCCTACAGTGTTTATTCCTCTTTTTGTGTTTTGTTATATATAATCAGTTTAAAATTCACAAACTTGTTTTGACTGGAGCTCCTAAATCTTCGTCTTTGGAATAACCCTTAGGGAGTAAAAACAAAAAACTTGAAAATGAAACCACGGGTCCTATTGAATTTGTGGCCCATGTTCCTCGCACTCGTCGTTGTAAAAAAAAAAACTTGAAGAAAAACTGCGGCTTTTGTAGACAAATCTGAACAAGAGAGAACCAGTTCTAATACAGAGCTAAAACATTCAACAAACGTTCACAAGGAAGCCGCGGCGGCGATAAAAAAATTTAACCATTATGATGGAAAAAACTTTCCTTAATGCTTTTAAATTCTAATTGTGAAAGCAACATTACCCTAAGATGTATTTACAAACTCAGCATGTACGTGTATTTAATTGAAGCAAGCGAATTAGGCGTCAATGTTTTATTCGGCTGCACTTATATGAATGATAAATCTTCAAAACTGGACAAGTGGAAATGAGGTAAAAACATAACTACTATCGACTAAAAGAGCTTAGTTAGCTTCAAATTAAATTGTACACCGAGGGCAAAAGTTTTCACCTAAATAAGATTTGTTAGGAACAAACCATTCAAGCGATTGGTCGATTGTCGAAAGTGATGCAAAAAAGTGATACAAAACCGACGCTGTCCTCTATGGCGTTGGGTTGGAACCCCTAAGTACAGTGATTGGCTAATTTCTCCGTTACTCAGATGCAAAGTTGTGTTGGCCCTTGGTAACGTTTTCTTTTGTGATTGTTATAGTGGTTTTTCCACGTAACTCAGTCGAATTAACTCGGGGTCCAAAATACTTGGGACAGTGCTTGAATGTTACTGATACCCCAGTTTGTAAGTTTGATCTAAGTTTTTATTGGTTAACAGATCGGAGGCTGGTTAATGCTGGGTATCGTTTTGGCGGGAATCACGGCGCTCGGTGTCACGCACTTCTTGGGGATGAGAACAATGCACAGACCAAGGAGAAGAGAACTGTCACGCATTTTGTGGGTTGAAGCTCGTACAAAGTCTAAACTGGCTAGATTTGTTTGACAGAAGTATCTGGAAAAAAATAAAGAAAACTTGTGCATGGCCATCCGGAAAAGAAGCAGAAATTATAGAAAAAAACAGGTACTGGTTGTTACCATTGTAATTCCCTACAAGTGGAAAATTTGAGAAAAGAACTATCTTATTTCATCGTAAATGTAGACTGACGGAATGTTACCTCATTCGTCTCTTGTTAAACGTAGTCGTTGGCAAGGGAGAAAGAGAGGCTGAATGGAATACCACGACAGGGCTTTCAATGGGATAAAAAGAAACTTTTGAAGTATTTATATCAATGGATACCCTGTAATGCAATCTTCAAGCTGAGAAAAACTTTTTTATTAGGCTTCTTTTCAGCAGCTGCCAAAACTGCAGTTTACCGGAAAAGACCATGGCTAAAATTATTATTTTAAAACAGATAAGAGGTGTACAATGGTAAATTACAGCTTTCTCTGTTTGTTAACTGATTGCATGCACTGACCCTTATTAACAAAATATGTCAACCTAGATGGGTCACCAAAATTTGGAATCAACGCGACGTTTAAGAGCCAGAACGATTTCTAAAAAGGTACTCGAATGAAACCAGTTCATGGAAAACAAATAAATAGAGCTGCTTCCTATCAAAATGTAGCCGTAGAATGATTAAAACTGTAACATTCTTATGTTTCACATCGCGGTGAAAGCCAACAATTATTGATGATAAAATTTTATGGTCTGTCATTCGTGGTGTGGATCGCGCCTTATTGACAACATATGTACGGCTGAAGAAAACTAACAGCTGTATCCATTGGGTACCTCTCCTTAAGAAATGCGTGAAAGAAAGTCTAAAACTTCCGTGTTAGAACTGACTACATTGCTCTCATGCTCAGTTTTGAACATTAGAAAATCACGTGTCCTCTTAGAAAGACTTACTCCTTAAAATGAGAAAGCTGCCAGAGAAAGGAGCAGCAGACTAGTTCAAGTACTTGTTAAAAATCTCAATCTCTCTCTCTCTCTCTCTCTCTCTCTCTCTCTCTCTCTCTCTCTCTCTCTCTCTCTCTCTCTCTCTCTCTCTCTCTCTCTCTCTCTCTCTCTCTCTTTCTCTCTCTCTCTCCTGTATGTGGTTTTAGTTAAACGTATCCTCCTACATTACCATCGATCAACAATGAAAATAAAAATAAACTTTAACGACTGTTATCTCTCAAAGCGGACTTAACCCTTTAACTCCCAGAAGTTATCAACGTAAAGCTAACATCTCCCTATAATATTCATACATTATCCAGCAAAAAGTCAACGAGAATACTCAAACAAATAAGGTAGAAGTTGTTATCTTGATCTAACACCAAATTCTTGTAGCTAATTTAAAGGGAAATATGTAGCAGATGGAGGGGAGAATTGACAATCATATCTTGGGAGTTAAAGGGTTAACATTTAACGAGAAGTTCTGTGTTCCCTTAAGTATCTTCAGTGGTAGATCACAGGCGACGGAAAAAAGTGTGGTAAGAACAATAAGGTGGTAAACTCTGACCTCATCTGAGATATTTTAGCGTATAGACTAACGGTAACATGGAAAATTTTTGACTTACATGTACAGAATTAAGAAAAAAAAATTGTCGAAACGTCTATCCACCAGAATTCTGTAAGTAAGAACCACTAAAATGTCTGCATAATTCAGTCCCTTTAGGACTGCAATGTCAGTCGTGAAACTATGTTGCACTCAGGTGCAGCTCCACAAATGGTCTGTTAAAAAAAAAAAAGAAAAAAAAAGATCGTCTTCTGAGAAGGGTTGACTGATTAAGGGAATGAACTTAAGCGTCTATTAGTTAGGTTTGGTTTGGTCAAGGATTAACTCTTGTCATTGATTTATCGTGAAATGCCGAGAGACGATATGAACGAAAAAGAGGATGATGTAAGACGCAACTGAGGGAAACACATAACAATTAAAGTTGTCTGCAAAGCTACAAATTAAGACTAAATCAGAAATCGTCGGCTAACCCACGGTTAGCTTAATTGTGTTTTGAACAACGCAACCCACGTGCCTCTCAAGCTCAACTTAAAAAATAGTAACATAGCTGTGGTAAAATATTTACAACAATCTTGACTTGCAATTCTAAGATTGCACTTGTTCTTCACATGGAACTTGTTCTATGGCTTTGTCTCCCCTCCCTGCAAGGAGTCAGGCTTTGGCACAACAGGAGCTGCATCGGCTGATCCAACTCCTGATAGAATAGGATCATGTTCCAGATCGCTGGCCACTTCCCAGTCATTCTTAGGATCATCAAGATACTCGTCTGGTTCTTCGATTTTCTTCACTTGATTGTTTATCTTCTCTCTGAAGTATTTTACATACGAAATTTCATTTTTCATCATGTTTTCGCAAAGCTTTCTCTTCCTCATGGGGACGTTTTTCTTGAGGGAGTAGCCTTTTACGTAAACTCCAGTGTACGCCTCGTCCAAGAAGTTTCCTTTTTGCAGACAAGCTCTTGACAAGGCTTCCTTTCTACGTTTAAAAATCCTGAGTTCTTTTTGAAAACTCGGTCCCTGAGCTTTGACTTTTTTCCAGAACGTTCTATAGAAATACTGATACAGCATAAAATCGGCCTTGTTCCAGCTCTTTATATCCTCTCTAACTTCCTTATCTATAACTTTCTGCTTCTGCTTATCTTGCCGCTCGTTCAATTTGAAGTACAAAATATCTTTCAACTCCCAGCACAAAAGTCGTTTTAGAAGCAACAGGGACTCATCGAAATGTTCTAGAATCATGACCAGATCAAATTCTTTGTCCAAGAAATTTATGTATCGCTTAACCGCAGTCACATTTTGGAAGTATCGAAAATCCAAACCAAGATCGAAAAGCATCGGGTTACGCACTAAATTAAGGGCCAAAGTTGTTTTCATCAAAGGTTTTATCTCTTGAAACGGTGGTGGAAATTTTAAAAACGTTCCAAGAGGGTCTTCTTCGTCCTTAAAACCCAACGGCTTCGCAAAATGCATGAAATTAAACACAGATTCATATTGGGAAACCGGATCCCTGAGTATTGTTATGTAGCGACTGTGCACTTTTGGAAATATATAATTCATTGGTCTTTTGTTAAACCTCGCGTGATTGCAGAGAATATTTGCCCCAAAATTGTACAAAGGTGCACTGTAGGAGACGCGAAATCTTGCTGGCCACAAGAATGTGAAAAGCTGCTTCTGCCTCGGTAGCACAAAAGTCAAGTTTTTTTTGTCTCCATATCGGTTAAGAATATTTGTGATTGTGCTACTACCAGTTTTGTGAGTTTTTAGAAACAGGACATGATTTGTCGGGGAGCATGTTTGCTTTTTCTGATGTTTTGGCGGCTTTTGACTCTTCAAGCTTGGAAGGTTCTCTGGTTGTGATGATATATTTACAAACCGATACTCTGTTTGGTCTGCTTTTCGTTCTCCAGCTGACAAAATGTCAGCTCTTTCGAACTTCAAATTCCTTGTGGATGTTATCCTATTTCAAGAAAGAAAAGTTAATATTTCATTTATTGGTTGTTACCTAATTCGTGCAATTTATCACACGTAATTCCTTATCAGAGTGTATCATTGCCTTTTTAGCCTCTTCTCTTTAGACACGTAATGTACTATCCATGATAATAATTTTATTTTCTAAGCTAAGAAAATCGTCTGTTTTTTACAAGAGAGAGTGAAGGTAAGAGAATAAACTCCTGTGTAGAACCTGTTCACATGACCCAAGAAAACTCTCTCCTATTTTTAAATCACCTTCCAATCGATAGGATTTCTATTTATTCAAAATGTAAATATCGAGACGCATGTACGTGACTTTATCCCAGAAATAGAAATTCCTGATTTTTTACAATAAGTAATAAAATAATTGAAAGGAAAGGAGGTAATTATAAAATGAGTTAACCATTGCTAACGATTGTTGTTCCCGAAAGTTTGACTATATTTTGAGCAAAAGTCAAGGAGGTTTGAGAAGCTTAAATATTAATTCATCTTCATGAAATGAGATTGAAACAGTTGTAGTTCTGCGGTATCCTTGTAAATTTGTAGAAAATTAATTATCGGAATGTTTTTAAAGACGTTATATTCTGAATTTTACCCAATACAACAGCGTTCGAAATTAAGTTTCCAATCGTTCAAAATTCCTGGAAGTTAATTATCGCATTGAAAAAACATTGGAATGAGGTTAAAATTACTGCTTATATAGCTTTCGAACTGCAGCTGCACGATAAATCTGGGACAAAGATTAACACCTGTAGGGATAGTAAAATATTATTAATTTCCTGTCGATGGAATAAAGGGGGGCAAAATTGACTTGATCTGGAGAAATATCTTTATTTCTAGCAAGATCTATATGAGAAGTAATATCACTTACTTGCGCTCTACGGTAGGACAGCGAGCTGTCGACGGCAGATTGTTCATTCCATAAAAAACGATGCATATCAATGAAATCGCAGAGACACAACCGAAGAGGGTCTTCATATGGAACGCCATCACTAAGATCGTTGCCGACGTATTCCCATTTCATGTTTTCATGTTTGTCTTTAGCAACCCAGTTCCTTTAGACTTGTTAATTCACGCGTGCGTCCAATTAAGTCGCTTTGTGGCCACTTTACGCCGCCAAAGGAAGGCAAATGCTCTTTGTTTATTCCATGTGTGAATGAATGAGGCTGCGTGTTTTCAACTGTCTCCGATTAATCATTTATGATCTATGGCCATCCTTTTGTCCATTTCATCCGCGTTGTAAGTCAAGTCGACTATACTCTTTGTCCAAGTGAGCTCCAATCGTGATACTTCAAAATAACTAATTTCAAGCGTTTACAGAGAAAAGTTCTCAATTAAATAACACAAGAGCTCAAAAGTACGAAGAAAAAAATCGGTAATTTATGTAAAGAAGAATCGATCAACAGCAGGTAGCTCAGAGTGGTTGTAATTCAAAACGCGTTAAGTTGGAGCATGTGACCAACAAAACGAGCCTAAATACATTCCAAAACTGCCGAGAGTAGAGGGTTATTGTAAATAAAGGGTATTGACGTTGATTTGATATATTTACTCTCTCTAACTCGTGCCAATAGAAAAAGGGAAAATTTTTTTATTTACTATATAACCTCGAAGTAATCTTGTATTCAATGTGGCTAGAAGGAGATCAAGGATTTGGATTCAATCATGATCAGGTTTGAAGTCATGGCAAACGCTTATAACGCCATGTTCAGAGAAAATAATGAGACAAAGAGGGAGGCTTCTGAACCAGGCCTTGAGATATGTCAATTTCACTCAAGTTATTTGAAGATAGTCTCTCGAGTCTCCAACGAAAGTATGGTTTCTGAGAAGTCCGCATCAAAGTTAACACCTGTGTAATCCTCTGCACTAACGACCACTTCAACAATAAGAATAAAAATAAAAATAATTCTTATTTCTAGCGCATTACATCAGTGAAATCTCAAAGCACTTACAAAAATGGTAATGATTAATGATCCAACAAAACCTCTCCAACAATTAATTGTAAAATAAAAAGGCTTGATAAAAGAGACTTGAGTACCAGGAATAATAAATTTTAGCTTCCGGTGCTCTCTACGTCTCAAAAACGTTTGTGATTAAGCTCCCTAATATCTTCGAGAGGCGAAATGTAAACATGGTAAAGGATGAACAACAGCGAATAATTAGTTCAATTGTAAAATTATATCAGAAAACTTTGGCAAATAAAGGTTTCATTTCTTCCTTAAGTCAGGTAACTTTCAGTCTATGCTGTTCACTCCACGTTCAATGAACCAGAAATATTTCCCGTGTTTAGATCATAGAGCTACCGAAAAAGAAAAGAAAAGAAAGAATAAAATTTGAAGAAAAGAGAGCACCAAGCGTCAGCTAAAATGTATTTACGTCTGGCAAGACTTGAGTCACTTGAGTCGCAACAGTCTAGACTTGATTGTTGCGCACGTGTAACAGGAAAAAGTCATGCAATTCCATGTATGCTAATTCCAATTCTCTTCATTTACACCATTCAATAAATCGTGTATGTCGTTCTATGTTGTCACAGAAACGCAACAGACTTGTTTCTTGAGTCTCTGTTATATTTACGGTGGCTGCACGGAATCTAGCGACCGCTGGTTAAGGGAAGCAAGGACATGAAGTATTGAATAACACGTCATGACCCTCAAAGAGCATTTTTTTTGTGGCAGTTAAATAAATGATGTAAATATATTGATCCAATAAAGATTCAGAGATATCCCATGGGAAATTTTTGGAGCCGGATGTACTTCAGGATTTTCATATGGAATGCAAAAATCTTTTCTCAACAATGGCTCGTCCTCATTTCGATTTTGAAGAAGCTTTCATCTTTTGGCTATTTGCCGGGAAGAATTTTATGTAATTTCTTCGCAAAACTTTTCCTTGCCTTTTGCTTTGCCTTCTTCCTTCCTTTCCTTGTACATCAACCAAAAGTAACTCAAAATTCTGCAGAATGAGAGAAAATTTATTTGCGTTTTCAGGCGAGTGGAGGCAAACACGAGACAAACGCAAGGCTAGCGTGAAGCGTGGCTTACGCGCGAGGTGAACTTCGGATGACACGATAAAGCTGAAACAAGGGGAAAATTTCTCTTGCTCTGAGAGCACTACCCGTCACTTTTCTACTTAAGGGGTCGTTTAGTTAGTTTCTAGCCCCTACAGCTACCTAAAATTAAACTTGAGGATATAATGTGGAATTAACAAGAAAGCAAAGTTAGCTAAATAGTCTCAATTGTAAAGTAATTTCCGCTTTAGTTTGCAGAATACTCGTCAGTCGAAGATTGTATGTATGGATTCAAATAAATTAGTAAGCTCTTTGTTTGGATGAGACAGGTTTTAGTTGTATGTGGTGCAAACAATGTAACTGAGATGATGACACTAACTAACAAAAATTAAACGACATTTCTATGACGCTTGAAACAATCGCGAATTGAGTAATAAGATACTGATTTTGCACGTAAAATAAAACAAACTATGTATTATGATAATGGTAGTGAAATGAGGTGAAAAAAAAAGTTAGGGCCTTTTTGGCTCTTTTTTTTTTATTTTCTTTCTTTTTTTTTTTTTGGCAAAGCAAAGATTAATTCATGAAACAACCTTTACGGTTTTTTGTCATAATAGGCCAAGAAACCTTAGGGAAAACTGAATATTTCAGCTACAATTCAAAGCAGACAGTACGTGGAATATTAAACAATGTTTATTTAAGAATTTAAAGACAAGTTTCAAAATGCAAATGAATGTGGGAGAAGTTGTTTTGTTACAGTTAGCTGCTTCAAACAGCTGCAAAGATAATGAATGTGGTCACAAATTAATCGTATTACCTTTGGTCAGTGTAAACCTCTAGGCGACTGTATAACTGGCAAAGAGCACGCCGCAGTGAAGTACGATGCTTTCTTCAAAACATCACTTCTTTCGTATAAATTTCATATTGCCGTTGGCTCTATGTCTTGGGAGTCGGTATTGTGGATTGTCCGATGCGAAAGAAACCCAAGTGATGTCTACCGCTGCCGCGATTAAAACATCATTAACTATGGAAATTAAACCTTCTATGAGGATGGCCGGATTTCGTGAGAACTATGCCACTAAAACATTAGCAGCAAGCTTGGAAATCAAGACAATTTATTCCAAATCCAAAGTGTTTACAGCGCAAGAAACAAATATTCCAGAACAATCAAGTTTTTCAGCTGAGGCCGTATTTCGACAGTCACGGGCAACAAAACGCAGTTCGACTTTTCTTTACAGCGATGCATTGACTTCCACATCGCGAGTCAATTCAGGCTCAACTCACGCTAATACCTCAACATATTTCTTCCCGGAACTTCCATCCTCTGTCGTTTCTTTTTCTCCGAATCGGACGAATCATTTTGAGTTGAATTCGACTGCCGCCCCAACTCACAATTACGATGAAAATGGAGACTGCTCCTCAGGACAAACGGTGGAGAAATCATGCGACACTTATGTAACTAGATGGGTCGATTTTTACGTGAATGTAAGTATTTCTAAATGTTTCAGAAATGCTGAAATGCTTTGAATTATTTGTGATAAATTTAATCACCCTCGTCTTTTAATATGTTCTTACTGACATGCTTAGGATGAAGCAGGAACATGCCGAAGACATAGAATTCAAATAGAATTCAAAATATCCTGGGTTTTAGTAGAAAAATTATTATTTGCACAGCGATTATTATCACAGGGTTTATAAATAGTGTTTTCGCATGATAAAAACGACCTGTGTACATTTAAAAAGGCACTCCACTGAGTCATGATGTCAACAACGACACGAAAATTCAAAGAAAAACTGAATATTAAGCGCGCAACCGAGTAACCAACAACGTTAAAATAATCAAAACGGATCGAATTATTTCAACGGTTAGCCAGGCCAGTACAGATCTTACGGAAAATTAGAAATCATGCTTTTATTTGAATGCATTATACGTCCGTGACACTACTAACTATTACGTGCGTGGGCAGGCGGCTCGATCAAAAGTCAACTTGTGTAGAAATACAAAAACAATGAGCTAACCTATGAAATAGAAAAAGCAATAACAACAATCAAACAACCATTGTGGAAAAACCTACAAGATGAAGAATGCTAATACTAAAATTTAATGGCAGACCGAAAAAAAAATAATCAGTAAAGTGCTAAACGACCATGCTTCAAACACCTGCCTCTCCGGCAGCTTACAAGGTGCAATAGTGATCCTTAATAGACGTTGGACGTTTATTCTATGAACTCGAGGGGGAAAAAGTACAATGATTTTAGAGGCTATTAAAGGAAATTGCCCTTAGTTCTTAAATATTTCACTTATCAGGAACAAATTTGATTGGATATCATCGATTCCCAGTTATCTTACTATGCTTTTTCAGATAGATAAAGTGTACCAATTTCTAAGTGACCATGGTGACAGACCAACGTTTTTTGCATTTTTATATTGTTACAGGTCTGCATACATTATTTAAAACGTGTGCATATCAAACACGCCATCAAAAGTCCATTACTGTAATTACAACGCAGAATTTCAAGATTTAAACTTAAATCATTATTATTCACTCATGATGATTTTAAAGCAAAGATCATTAGAATTGAATTAATTCATAAAAAACACCTCAAGGCAAAGAAATTAATTATGAAGAATCCCCATTGTGAAGTCGATATGATCATTCTATAGTATCCAATGAGCCTTAGCCGAAGATATGATTGCTTTGCTCAGTTACCAAACTGATTATCGGAGCAACTAAAGTTACTTCCAGTTTTTTGTTTAATTATGCGGTGGTCATTTCTTAAATTAAACCTTCAATAATTGTCATTACCTTACCTGGGATGTCTATTTCAAGAGATGAGATAATCCTTGACAAATCAGAGTATTCACCTCTCGATAATCATTTAAGCTATTATACTAAACAAGCGATAGTGCCCCTCTTTGTAGAGAACGGAATATTTCGTTCCATTTAATGATTTAACGACCGCCATGCTGTTTTACTCTCTTCGTGGGGTGGGGCTGGCGTATCTTAGCGATCAATTTCGTTAGAAATTTTAATTCCAGAGTAAACATCCTAAATGAAGTAAACTATTATCAAATCTCTCAGATATTATTGAAAATGACGATGGAAAACATTACACTAATACGCTATCTTCAACGGAGCTTTTTTTCAATAGTTCACTTTACTAATTTGTGCTCTGTTATCATATAATAAATTTCAGTGTGATAGTTGATTGGGTTTGAGTTTATGACACTTTGAGGACGTTAGGATCGTTCTCTCCCCACCCCCCTTAGGAAAGCAAGTCACCTCTTTCACACCATGATATCCTGAAAAGTAATTTATTCTGGCGCTGTTATTATTGAGATATGCTAGTAAAGGTGAAACTTTTTGTCTTAATTCATAGATTGGGGGATGGATAATGCTGGCAGTTGTTCTTGTCGGAATTACGGTGCTGGTTTCAACTCATTTTCAAGCCAGGAAGAAAACAAAAGAGTTGAAGAGATTACCTCAATTAATGTACAAAGAAATACGTCGCAACCGAGGTCGCTGGATGTAGAAAGAGCGACGAAATATTCATCTGTAAAACATCAAAGAGGCCTTGTTCATGTGATGTCCGAGTCAGAATACCACTCTCGTTCTGGCTTTCCTTATACAGTCTTCGTCAAGGCATGAACGAAATATCGATGATTAATATTATATGCTAGACAGAACTTTAATATGACCTTGTCTACCTCTTGCGTTAAACTTCGGACCTCGTTAAACTATAGTCTGCGCTTTAATTTATGATTTAGTAACGAGACTGACGAAAGCGGTGGACCAGTATGCTACCGACTACCGTTAGCTCTTGCAATGCAACAGCAGCTTTGGTCAGAGTAAGAAATGGCGCTTATACAATCTGCCGACATGCAAAATACTTAAAAAATATTGTAGGGATAAAAATTAAGGAACGAAGGCTTCTAAGTAAGCCTCGGTGCAAGTGTTTCAAATAAATTGTTCTAGGATACTCACTAGCGCAGCCGGTGTCCTTCTACTTAGACTTCGCTAAAAAATTTGACTTTCTTATTTTAGCATCATCAAATAAGAAACATGGTCCTTGAAGGATACACCCTTACTTTGCTTGGCTTGATGTAAAAATTACCGCTGCTATTGAGTACTGAGTGCTCTAAAAAGCACCTGAGCTTAGTCGCCAGCAGGTAACTATTCTGAGCTGCTTTCCTCTCAATTATTTATCTTTAAGTACAAGATACTAATATTATCACTCGAAGAAAAAAGATTTCTTGACACCTTTTTCGTAACTCGTTTAAGAACGTTCGATATTTTTATCAATTTAAAAAATTAGTCTAGTATCTTACAAACTAAAGCTTAGCAAGCTTCTTGTAGATAAAATATTGCTGCTTGGGAAACATATGGTATTATTTTGACATTCATATAGGCGTCAGTAAGATGCAGCCTTCAACTACGAGAAATACAATGAAAGGCTCACGAACATCAACAAACACGATATTTTTAGGAGACTTGAAACAACCGAATTTAAGCTCCGGAGAACTTCAATTTTAGATTGCTTTATTTTCTTTCATGTATATCAGGCTCTGAAACCTTCTTTAGGTCGTGCGTCGATAGACTAATAAAGATCCCAATGAAAAGTTGTAGTTCTCTAACCTTTGACTTAAAATCCTTCATGGTACATCGTACTACAAATTCCCTTATTGGTTTGGAAAGATATTTTTGTCAAAAGATTTTTAACAGATATCTGTATCACAGAGTTCTAACCATCAATGGTATCCAGACTTCTTGCGCCGCAAATAAGTCCCCTAAATCTTCCATTGGCCCTCTTAGATAGTTTGGACTTTGTCTCACCTGCCCTAAAGGCCTGCAGCTTCTCTTTACATTTCTTCTCTTTTAGCGACAGATTTCGCAAAGAGAATCTATGTCGATCTCTTATGAAAGCTTTCCGGACAGAGTTCGCTCTAGATTCTCTCATTTTTTTCGCCAAGTTGGCAAATACTTCATCTACACCAATGTCGTTCTTGGCAGAGGTTTCAAAAAATGAGCAACATAAGGTAGCAGCAATTTTTTTCCCGTCCTGATATGAAACTTCTCTTTCATCATCAAGGTCACTCTGAAGATGGAACAAAATAAGATTTAGAATAGTACAAAATAGAAACCAGACACGTGCGACTTCAGAAAATGAGGATTTTGCCGAGCTTTGCCCAAAATGGCGGGGAACTTGTGATTTCAGAAAATAATTATACGATGGTCAAGAATGCATTTCGTTGTAGTGAGGTTACATGTGAGCCAGAGTTGCTGAGTAAGATTTAAACCATCCCACCAGTAAGATAAAATTCCTCCAGAGAGTAACAACATCAGTTTTGTCTGTATGTGGTAGATCGATATGTGGGCATTATTGATGTAAAACAGAATTTTATTCAGGTTACAATGTTTTATTGTAAAAACTTTTTTTCCCTTTTTTTCACCGAATCCAGTAGACGTCATTTGAAGGTTCTCTAATGACTTCTGAACCGATTTCACAGAAATCAGTGCAAATTGGAGAAAGGCAAACGACGCAAGCAGATACTACGGAATAATTACCTAACGTAGAGGCAACAATTCAAAGACGTGCACAATCCACATGAAAATAAATCGAGAAATCAACATACTGACATATAAATAGGTCAATGAAGCACGAATCCACAGCAATAACAATAATAACAATCAAGAAAACAATGAGTAACTTTGCTCACTTTGTTTCCAACCAAAATAATGGGGATTTGAGGTATGATTTTGTCCTTTTTTCCTTTAGCAGCAACGATCTGTTCATGGAAAGACGTGATTGCAGTGGAACTAGAGCGGTCTGTTATGGAATAAACCAATAAGAATCCGTCCCCACTTTTTATGTATTGATCTCTCATTCGCCGGAACACGTCCTTAAATAAAATTATTTACGAGTCAAACACATTTACGTATGGGTGAATGTAACAAACAATTACTAAACAAAGAACGGGCGAAGTTGGACTGAAAGGAGATGTAGTTTAAAACGATACTATATAAAGGGAGGAGAATGATGATAAATGTTATGTGTTGTTTGTAACTTTCAGTTGTTAAATGTCAAGTAAACTTTTTATCACGTGTTGGAGACTAATGTCACCACAGCTTGAGCCACAGTACTTCAGGGTTCTAGCATCACTGAAATGACTGGAAGATCAGAGGGTAGCTTGATCTTTGAGTTAAGAATGGTTGTACTTCAAGGTCGTGGGAGTGAAATTGAGATTGGGTAAACTTACGTTTCCTGCCGTGTCAACCACTTCAACTTTGATCGGGCATCCATCCACCTCAATATCTATTTCGTAGTTATCCTCTTAAAAATAACCAAAGTTTAAGAGACATTTAACAGCCCGCATGTCAGTGTATCAAATAATTCCTAAAACTAGACTTTTTCAGACATTTACTCTCTATCACATTTTAGCGCGGTCAAAGCTATGCCAGGCAAGATTTTCAGAAAATTCGTGCTTTCAGTGATTGAAATTGTCTTAACGCGCATGGGAAGAGAACGAAGGGGGCAAGCTGAAGTCCTGGAAATAAAATTAATTATCTCGAAAGTACGGAATTTCTTAAGTAAAAAAAAATAGACTACAACCACAGCAAAAGAGTTATTTGGATTGATTTGATGTATCTAAAGATACATATCTATATATCTAAAGGTCAAAGAAACAATGAATCTTTCCGAGAGAGAATAAAGTCCTCTCCTGATATTTCTCAAGAAATTTCGCATCCAACCATGCGACGAATAACAGAGTAAAATTTTTGTTCATTTTTTTTTCTCCATTCTTTACTAAAATTTAACAACAACTAACCAACTGATGCAATAAGTTGCTTGTATCATCGTTATATGAACGATTATCAGTAAAATGATACGTGTAAAATAAAGGTAAGGGTTTTTCTTAGCTTTCAGGGCATAAAACGTGTGGAAGATAAATATACAGATGTCTAACCACAAGTGTTGGCTAAATGCGCGTATGTTCTGAGGCTCTAAACAAATTTTTTTCTGTTCTCGGTTTAGTTTTGTGTTGCTGTTTTGGGTTGGGTTCGTATTGTGGATTTTTGCGAAGTGTGAATTTGAAAAGCCATTCTGTTTTGAGCCGGGTGTTTGAACTGTTTGTGGTCAGGTTTCTGTGTTTCTTTGGAATTTGTTTGGTATTTAGCCATATGTTTTGAGTTGGTGGTGTGGGTGTGCCAATCTTTTCAATTGTAGGGATTCTGTTCAAATTTTTTTTTTTAATTCGGCATGGTTCTACTGGCCTCTACAGGAGATGAGCCATTTCTCGCTATAACAAAAGGATGAAAAGGACAAGACAATGAAGAACTTGTTTAAAAACATAAATACCATCTTTTTAATTTACCCACCAACCATTTCATTTGTAATTTCAACAAACAAAGAGAGGCACTGGGTGCAGATTCCCTTCTAAAGAAACCAAATTAAACTCCACAGGAAGCTTTCAAGTGCTAATTCAATTTGTTTATAGGTCCGCCTAATTGAACTTATATGAAGCTGATCGATCGACCTCTTACGTCATGTCTACTATCTTCCTGTTAATGCAATATCCACTTGACGGTTGATAAATCTGTCCAACGTACCTATTGTTGGGTCATAGGCGTCCGAGAACTCTTGGCAAACGTATCGAATGCTCAAAGCTGAAAATCAAGATAATTGTATGAGGTAAGTCTATTTATGTCGGTACAAAACGATAAAGTGACTGTTTTGTCCATATTTATGCGGTTAGTTCTACAGTACTCGGAATTGCTGTCTCGGGGTGTGTGCTCCTCATATGAAAATTTAAAATGTGGCTAAGGTAAAGCTTTCTGGCCAAGCCTAAAACAATTATTTGTCTTGTTTGGGACCGAAAGGAACTGACACTGTTACCAGATTCTTGTACTGATACGACTCGCCTTATTCGTTGATTTAGGCAAAGACTCTAAGGCTTTGCATTCATTTTAAAAGAAGAGTTGACACCATAACAGAGCTTTTCGTTATAATGCACCGCGAAATGTTTCTTTTTACTCACATCTTGCACATCTGGAGGAATTAGCTTGTTGAATAAATGTGGTCGTTTCGAAACTTAGGAGTATTCAAGTTTCCAACCTTGGATTTCAGGGAAGCCCTGAAGTCTTCATTAAAATTAATATTTCTGTACCTGTAGAAAAATTCATCGCTTTACATCTTATCTTAAGATAAAAAGTAAACAACGATTTGTCGGAAGGAGGGCTCTTTGACTATGATAACAAAATGGGGTATCTCTGCACCCCACTAACCGCAGGATCATCAGCGGTAATTGCTGCTCTTAGGCTTAATCTTTCCTTGATGTTTTCAAATCCTCGATATATCTTTCGTCAAAGTAGCGAACGATGTTTGGAAAGCAAATGAACATTACTGGTGAGAGCATTACAGCGGTCATTATGAATTTAATGGAAATTTAAATCTCATTTTGACGAACAGATTGAAATACTAAGGCAAGCCCTATTTACATTCGACCTCCTTGAGAAAACGTTTTGAAGTTATCTTTTCTTACACAAGACAGCACGTATGAACCAATTTGAGATATCTTCAAAGTCGAGTCTGCTCTGCGGTAAAACGTATGGGCAGTTTAATTAATTGAATTTTAGTATTTGTAGAAGGAAATGAAGAGACGGCGCTATAGAAGATGATTTTTTTGATGAGCTAAGGTTCAAACAAGGAGGTTCGAGAGAGTGATAAGAGTGCTTTCATCACCCCCACTGACATATGATAAACTTCAAATAACGCATAAGTCTTGAAATTGTATCTTGACGGCCATTTATATCGGTTGTTTCTTGGCGTTGTTTCACCTCTTTGAACAAACGATTGTCGAATTGACGATATTTTACACCGGTACGTGATGAAAGCATACATTGGAAACAGCACGCAACACCATTCCCTGCGTGATAACTTCAGTTCTCTTTGTAAACAGATAGCATTGTTTAAGCAGCAGTAAGACGCAACACCACTTCTGTGTATTTTGAACAATAGTTTTCGGAGTTAATTTAACTAATTTTTTCAATTTGGACAAGCACGTATTTATGTCAAAAGTAATAAGTAGATAGTCTAAAGTAATAAGCAGATATTAGTGTGGACTTTTCGCTCCATTGTGCCATCTATCTTTTATGGCATTCATATTTGACCTTTTCGTTAACCTCTTTTGAGTGTGGTATTTCACAAAGCTTAATTTAATTATAAGCGCAAAGCTATAATTATACAAGCAGGTTGCCGCAAAAAAATAAACCACCCACTTCCCGTAGATCGGTTTTCATTTTGAATAGCTTGGAGCATTCGCGCTAAATGGAACAGCGCTGTCTTCATCGTGCGATTTATTTCTCTCCCTTGATCAGAAATGTTTATGCTCGAAGCTTACTCCCAAACCTTTATTCACAGCCATTACAACTCTTAACTTTGTAAGTGAAATCAAGAGGCGTTAACTGTTTACAAATTATGGGTTTTCTACGCGTGGAAGTCTTGTTCCGGTGCGAGACGATCAAAGACTATCTTCTCGATTTTAGATCATCAAAGCCTTAACAAATTCTACTAGATTTAGCACACGAGCAATTAACACCATCCGTCTTTGTCGCCGGTACTACTTTAAGTCAAAGATTCATCGAGTTATAGCTTATTGTACTGCGCCCTTGGAAAGTTATCTCCTGTCATCATTTAGAGATCTTAATCACAGATTAAATAATTCGCCCTTTGTTTTTTTATTGAAATTGTAATACTCCGCAAACATTCCATACCTTTAATTTGCTAATTAAAAAGACACCCAGTCGAGAGACCACCACTTTCAGGTCACGTTTTTGAAAAAAAAAAGCTGAAGCGTTGGATGAAACTATGAAATAGATATTTTTTAGCTAAATCAAGATACTGAATAAGCAAATCAAGTATTTTCTTTAGTGAATCATAGCATTTGATAATGATAGAAAAACACAGTTATCGGAAGATCAATTGCACGATCACTTTAGATCTGAACCACGAATTTCCGGTCGAGTGAAAGTAGATGGGTGATATATCAAATGTTGTAGCTACACAAAAAGACTGTCGAAATAATGTTAATTCTGGCATTAATCTTCCAGTTCATCACCAGGGATTATTGTTAAAGTTTAAAACAATCGACAACTTTTGGCTGAGTGTAATTAGAAGGTTCGTTAAGCACACGAGCCATTCAGTGTAGAAAATTTCGCATTTTCTAAACAATAACCCTTCGTTTTTTTTGGACATCGTTGCCCAAACAGCAATACATACCGGAAGAGTCGTAAAAATACGTTATTGAAAGCTGTTAGAGCTGCATCTCAGCGATTCAGGACAGCCTTTTAGACTGAACCTAAAAAAATTAGACAGTGCATTTCATATGTTTTTTGCGACTAAATTCGTTAAAAACACACGAAAAGACGAAGTTCAGAAACTTTTCCCTCATCAACTTCCTAGAGAACAACTTTGATTGATAAGAAGGGAGAGGTGTTCTCGAGTGCCAGGCATTGGATTGTCTTCAGTAGGGAACTAAATATCCCGGGTCGTAATGGCCATACAGCGATTAGTGAGTTTCTTTTTCTCTCGTCTCTGTTTACACATACGGCATGTTTGCCAATTGGCTAAAATGATTTGAATGGATAATCCTCTTGGATGAAATGGCGATCACGTATTTAACATCGCAACACGCTGTGATTTTCTTCCCTCAAGCATGCTGTTTGTAATGATGCCCTTAGTTGAAGTGGATTTAAAAAAGTCAGGAAAAAATCGTCATAATCTGCCATAGGGTTAGTCGGACGAAAGGTGTTTCCTTTTTTCATTTCTCGAGTGTCCCAAGATATAGTCTATATCGGAAAAGACAGAGTTAGAATTCGCGTGCGTAAATGGCAAAAATGTTCTTCCGCCACGCACTTCGAAATGATTGGTATTTTTTGGAAACTTCAAAAGAGAAAACAGGTGACCGTGTCTTGATGAAATGCCAACTGCGGGTTCAGTCAAGAACGTGCATAACAATCTGTACGCAGGACGATGCAATTTCAGAACCACTCGTTGTTGTCACGAGGATACATAATTATCAAGCGTAAAATTCACAGATGCGAAAGATGAGCACACAGTTCACATCAATTTTTGGTCAACGTTTTTTTGGTCCAAAAAGTCTAATTATAAAAATCCCTTTGCTTTCCGACTCATTCATTTGGGTATTACTGCGGTTTACCCAGCAACTTGATAGGAAGGCTTTAAAACCACCCTGTGGATTGCAGAAATTTGAGGACAAACCAACCAGTTCGGAAAGAGAGAGAAATAAAGTCAGTTGTTTTAGGATCCGGATGAGCTGCGCAAAACAACAGTCTTCAAGAGGCCAATTCATGCATTCTCGGATAACGGTAATGTGCCAGTACTTTGCTGTAACTTCAAGTAAATACTGTTTCTCCTTGGAGAGGTCGGCAAAAGTTTTGCATTCTGCTTAAACAATCTCACCAAATAGTGTGTATAATTGAACTATAGGACAAAAGCATCGTCTAGTCTGTAAAAGTTGCGTAGGCTGTTGGTATTGTCAAAATTCTAGTTTATTTCAGGGTAGCTTTCATAATTTTAGACTAACTGAATGACTGGTGCGTAATTACGCTTTTATAGCCATGTTATGTTGCCAAGAAAAACGCAAATATACTGAGTCAGTGGGCATGGAAACAGCCAAGTTAGCTAGCTGGGCGTCTGAAGTTTTACTTTATTGTTTAACTAGTATGGTTTCGTTGACAATCTCGACAAGCTTTTAATAACTAAACTGACTCCATATCATCTTAGAAATAGAGAGGATAACAAAATTGTTTTACAGTTATCACAGTTATGATGATCAAACTCAAACATTCACCATATTGGTTTAACACAGTTATTGTGATCAAATTCAAACATTCACCATATTGGTTTAACATAAACTTACATAGGCGGGAGCCCATTGTTGGGCTCCTGTCATGGGCTAAATGAAATTTTTTTCGGGTTCAGTGAGTGTAACGGAAATGAACTCTTGACATTAAACCGCCCACCCTCGATTGAACACTCTCAGCTTAAATTTCCAATAATTCATTAGTAAACATTTGAAAGGAAGTGAAGATAGCTGTATATGACAAGAGGGCAGGATATCTAATGGTCAACAAAACTGCAAGAAATAGAACCTTCCCAAAATTGACTGACATGTAATCGACTTCGTGAGGCGCGAACAAATGAACAGCGACCATGGAAAGGATAGCTTTATTCAAGAGACCGCTAAAATCATTTGGAAAAATGAAAAAAAAGAAAATGTTTCGCATGTATTAAATATTTGTTGTTTTTAGTGTTGTTTTAATTTTCTTATTATTTTTATTAGATGGTTGGCTAAAAGGTAAATTAGAGTTAAATTATCAGGATTCTAGCTCTTGCTATCCTATGAAGAGGTTCTATTCTTAGTCATGATTGGATACAATGGTTATGTCAAGTGATAAGCTGTGAAAGATCAACAGTATTAAGTCACCCTGTTACCATGAACACGATAAAGTCGAGCCTATGTCATACTAAGTAGTCCTTATGACGAAAAGTAATGGTGACAATTTTGTATTTATGTATTATCCACAAGGTGTCCTAGGCTAATAAAGCCTAAACTGTAGTCCGCCTTCCCTCGGTGACTACTGCGAGAAACAATGAGCAATCTTCACAGGAAATTGGATCGGCTCAACAAGCAAATCAAACTCGACAACTTTGTTCATCAATTTTTAGTAACAGTTTCACTTGCTTGACCTTCACGTGATAAAATTTGCATCTGTAATCACAATTTGATGACGAAAGCTCAAGTGACGTGAAATATTCTGTTTTTCTACCTTACTCTTACTTGTAGGTCGACTAAATGCTAAACTCCCCCCGTCGTAGTAGATGAAACACGTACCGATTTGAATTAGATAGTCCTTTACATCACAACGAATAATCAGATAATAAATTATACGATCTAGTCCTAAAGTGACAAATTCTGTTTGAAAAATCCCTTAAATTCCGAAAAGTATTTTAATTAACCAGGATTACCAACAAAATTGATTTCAAAGAAGGAAGGCAAGCATGATAACGATTAGATTACACTGTATTTTACGTTCAAAAAATTGGCAAGATTAACTTGTTGGCTCTGATCGCGCCCTTCATAACAAAGTAAACGCACACGTTATGTCAAGTGTTATTTCACACAACTTTGCAAATAGAGGAAGGAAGAGAGAGGACACTGGGAATGAGGTTGAAGACCACTCAAGCCGCTAGCGTGACATCTCTTACGACTTGTTTGTCACTAAGCAGAGGCCACCAAGGAAGACTGGATATTGAAACACGTTCGTATCTAACCATGTCGTTGACGCAAAAACATTTAAATCGTGCAAAACAACCCTAATAGTTCCGATTTCCTCTTCACTGCAGCTTCTTTTAGTCGTATCTAATTCGAAACAGATCTTCCTGGCTAAGACAGTAACATCTCATCCAGCAACACTTATGACGTTATCATTGCATGTTTTCTCGACAGTGTCCTTATGATATTGACAAGGTTGAAATCAGCTAAGGTTTCCTTTGAAAATTTTAAGGATAAAATGTTTAAAAATTTATTTAGAGACAAATATTTGCGTTTTCCTCGAAAATTAAATTGTTGCGTGCAACCAGCTTTGTAATGATTTGATCGTAATCTACGACAAGGACTCCAGGTCATGTTTGTAAGTTTTGTTGACAGTTAGCCTCAGCAAATAACTAAGAAGCATTCATTATCATATAAAATGTTTTGCTTTCGTTTTCATAGTGAAAGATTCCTTCGGCGAGATATTCCGGCTATCGTAGATGGTAAACAAAACTTACGGAATATAAAATGCAGGCTTTGTGATAATAAGATTCAATTATCCGAAACAGTTTATCACAACTATGAAAAGTTCGTTGTTTTGCCGAAGATATCGAATCACAACAATTACACTGAGAACTAGTTCAGCAACGGCTATAGATCAAAGTCATACAACTCACCGGATTTTCCGACACCTGCTTCGCCAAAAACGATGACTTTGAACGGTTTTCCGTCCAGTATGTCATGATTTTCATTCATTCTCGCGGGATCTGGCCTCCTCTCCAGACTTGAATTTTTGTTTTTGCTTTAACCAAAACAAAGGCCACGTTTTCCGAAAACTTTCCCAAGCCTGATCAATACGACTGTGAAGCTTACAGACCAAAACAAGGAATTATGATCTATATCGAAATAACCAATCGAACGATTTCGTCTGTTCTGAACTTTCTTGAAGCTGAAGCATTTGTGGAGAGCGAAAGTTGATTCTGACCTTATTGCGGAAGTCATCCCGTGACGGAAAGCGTGAACATTCCCGTGACATAATAATGACATGAGGTGTCACATTTCAAGTTCCTGTTGCTTCTCTTTGTAGCTAGTCGACAACTGTGCGGTATTGTAGTATGTACAAATTTTGGAATCCCTCGACATTTCTAAACAAACATTTGATATTCCTGAGTAGTTTGAAAGAAATTTTCGGTGGAAATCCTGTAAAAATTTCTGACTGCCGGGCATTTGGTCACAGCGTTAAAGAAAGTAAACAACAACAACAGAAGAAAGTCTATCAACTTCGACTACAGCCAATCCCTTCCCCCGGCATTCACTCCCTAAGCTACTCTCTTGAGTCACAGCCAGTGTTTGGTCTCCCAGTTCATCGTAACTGAGCCTTTTCGTTATGAATTTTAGACAATTTACTTATCAACTCGGTTGATAATACTGAATATTTACCTTGTCCACTTGAGGGTCTCAGTAGTAGGAGCGTTTATAAAAAGTGTAGGTTCTCATGACGTGCATAAATGTTTTGGCAAGCAGCCCGATCGTAACTTTCCTAAGGAACTATGTTGTTGTTGTTAGCGGTGGTACAATGTATTGTTGTTGTTGTTTGGACTTAACTCCTCAGGAATATGAAAATTTCGATAGCTTGAAATAGTAAGACAAACTTTCTAAAGCTGCAAGAACTACATGTTATCATAATTTCCACTATTTTGGTCAGGATGGAAGGAAACTTGAAGTACATATGTGCCATAACCGGGTACCAAAAAGAAAAGAATGTGCACGGCTCACTCTGATGTTCATTTTCATTTCTACGCAAATTTTGCGACCTTGAAAGCGACAAGTGGACGAGCAATCACGGATGAGCATATTTACATATTCATCGGGATCCGTCAGTCGCTGAAAATTCTTTTAAGGGTCAAGTAACACAGCTTTCATCTGCTAGAAACATAATCGATCAAAGCCCTGAGGGACATATCTTTTGTCAACGGCATTTAAAATAAACTGTAGGACGAACAAAGTTAGCGAAGACAGGTTAAATAAATGGCAGATGTTATTCACTAGTGCAACCTTGGCCCCCTTTGATAAACAGCGAAGATTATTTTTCAGAGGGCTACGTCTAGGTTTCCAAATGAATCATGTTCTTCACAACAACTCGTTTTCTTTAATCTAAACGGAAGCTACACGTGATCAGGTGATCCTTTCTGAAGATTTAAAAAATGCTCTCCAACATATGAATCCGTGCGATAAAAGGCAGCGGATAGCTCTGGAGTAAACTTATTTGCTACGGGTTCAGTTGAATTCGAGATTCGGTGGCCGTAGGCTGTGTGGGCTGAGTGAAGCTGAAAGCTAAAGGACCAAAGGTATTTTGTCTTCGTACTTTCTTTTTTTTCGGAGATTGATAAGTTATAACGAAAGAGAGCCAAAACACTTCACCAACGCAGGATCCACTTTCTAAAGGGGGCAGTTTCACTATCCACGTTCATTCGTTTTAGGTAAATATTCATTATATTATACAGTGATCCGTTATCGGGCGAGGCACATGTTAAAACCTCTTTAGAATGTTCAATTCCTTACTTCTTGGATCTGATACGCGAGAACACTGCTTTAATATCAAACCTAATTACTTCCTTAGAAACAAGTTAGTAATAGCTCTTGTCAAAATATTGTTGTCAAGGTCATTAATATATTTTACTTCGTAGCTTATTCATTCCTGACCTAGTTCAAATGTGAACATATTTCTGTTAAGTGTCTCTACAATGTGGATCATACAATTTAGTTTCCATTTACAGTTTTGGTGCGTGTGGATCATATCTTCACTAATTATTTACTGTTAAGATGTGATTGAGATTGATTTAAATTATCTGTTACGGTAAGGCCTAATTTGTCAGCCAATTCATTCATCTGTTCAATTAGTATTTTCTATCTGCTTAACACTATTAAGGGTACATTAAAAATCTACAAATTAATTGAGTCATCGACGTAATGTGCAGGTGATATTGAAGACTTGCATCCACCAGACCTTTGACTGAATACTAACGCGATACAAGTATTTGTGTCTTGATTGCAGTCACATCTCCAAAGTAAGTAGTCTTGGGGGTCAAATTTTCAGATAATCTTATCTATTAAATCATTCCAGGGCTGATTTCGATAGTAATATAGTATCATTCGGAAGATGTCATAAAGCGAAAACAAAGATAACTGAGATCAAATTTACGACAACACTTTCGAAATCACCACATCCTAACTCCCCCCAAAATAAACTGTATCTAATTACAAATTCATGCATTTTGTTTCAGTCATGTTCGTTAGCAAGGTTGCAACTCTAATTTTACTGCCTCAATTTCAATATCCGCGACCTTAGCAAATTTACTTGAAGTTCCATAAAACTATTCTCCCAATATACAATGTGCTGCAGTCTTCTTGCAATTGCAACGTGAAGCATGCAAGTTATGATATGAGGCCATAAAAAAACGCTTACGATCGGTATTAGTTTCCTTACAAATTGAGTTAGACGATTCGTAAAATATTTATACACCTTTAAGCTTGCTCTGAGCTACTTTGTGGAAAGATGCCCGATTGCGTCTCGCAGTCCACCTCATCTAATATAACTTGAATTTCTATGTTTGACTTGAAAGACTGAACCTTTATCAAAGTTCCGTTGACACGTGCCATCAATTTTCCTTCATTAACAGTAGCTCAAGACTACGTGTGGTCTCAAAGACGTTCTGAAATCAGTCGCGTTTAGCTTCGGCGGAGTTTGTCTCAATCATATTATACCCCAGGAATGTTGAAAAGATAAGCTAAAGTCGATTAGTTGAGCCACTATCATCAAAGCGGCCAACAAGACCTTAAGACAGACGAATTCACTCAGTATTGATCTGGGAACCTTGTTTTTTTGTTAAATAACTCTATTGAAATTGGAATATCAACAGTCGGGGGGTGGGGGGGGGGGTCGATTAGACCACAATGTACAATACGGGAAAAAATACTGACCGTCGTAAACGCATACAGCCTTTGTGGATATTATGTCATCTCTCCGTGCATTATCGTCATTACAGCCTACTTCCGTATTTAGCCGGCATTTTTGCACTAGTACCTCGCTATTACTTTGTTTGATTCTACTGAATTAACTGAAGTGACCTGTAGCCATGGCCACTAACAACAAGTTGTGCCCCAAAAGCTCTTTCATGTTGACTGAAGTCCAGCGGGGCGAGTGATGTCAAATAACTTAACCATCCGCCGGCAGCTATGATGAGCTCACAACGAAAAACGTTTCGGATCTTTTTCTGTTTCTCCCTTTCTGTATCAACCAGTCAAAATGCTCTATGATAAAAGGGTGCGGCGAAAAGCAATACATAAGAGAGACAGGTTTCGAATTCAATATCTTTTTCATTTCATAATGAGAAAATGACAAGAGAAATATTGAGGCGTTATATAAGCTGCTCAACGCTGACTGTGCATACCTCTGATATTGTTCAGTCGGGCATTTTTACTTTTTATGCAATCTATTCAATCATTCCGCGATGTGTTATCGCTCATTAGTCAAAATATTATTTATTTTATTTATTCATGATCAGATTCCTCAACGAGAAACAAAGAACCTGTTATATCTGTATTTGTGGCTGAAATGGTAGTGAAACACAACTAGTCGAACTTCATTGAAAGCTTAAGCATGATTTAATTTTATAAGCTCCGTTTCCACGTTTTCTTTCAATCCGCTTAATCTAAGAGGTCATTTCGTTCCCTAGGGCTTTTGTTTTTCTTTTAATAGGAAACTAATTTATTTAAAAAGTCATAATGAAAGAATTTAAATCTTGTTTAGGGTGTCCTGTAGAACTGGTAAACTTGTGACCCTCCCCTAAGATATATAAATAATTTTTAAAAGTAATTTATAAATATTAAAAGGTAAAAGCAGTTAAAAATGGTAAAAACTGAAAAAAAAAACAGTAAATGTAATATTGAATGTAATACTAAAAAAGGAGTCAGACGATATAAAAAAAATTATGAAATAGGAAAGCTATCTAAGCCAGCATAACCTTCCTTTCTAAAATTACAATACTTCTGAACTAAATGTGTTAATACTGGTGCATAATTTAACTTCCCTTATAGATTATCCCGTAACAAATAGTTCAGTAAGGAATTTCCTTTCAAGATCATCCCGAGACTGGAGACTCAAGTACCTCAATTTGGAAAGAAAAACAGTTTAAAGAGGAAAATTAAAATGAGTGTTATGATGCGAACTGCTCGATGCTGACTCAGCATACTTCGCATATTGTAAAAAGCTCTTCTTCGTGTCTCTTTTTCTCATCAAAATAAGTGGAGCCAAAGTCAAAACATCTCGAATCGTAGTTGATTAAGGTGTCCTATCGACTAGCAAGCGCTCAACTAATATTTTTCACGATCATTAAAATCGCCAGTTAAAGAGTGTGTCTTTTAACTAAATGAGTACCTGCAGCATAGTTTTAATGTTTTGCTGTAAATAAAGAGAAGTTATATTTCATATGATTATACCCCACCGAAGAGTAAACAGAATATTGGCTGCACCCGGTCCTGTTTGTCAACTTGTGTTTAAGTTGTTTTGAAATCCCGCCTCAGGGTGACCTCAAGGATGTTCATTGTGTTTTTCATCATTATCAATATCATTGCCCAAATAAATCAACAACAAATGTGATTTTCCGTTGTAAGGTTAAGGAAGTTTATCACGATATTTGTTTCTCTATGGAAGACTTTAAATCATAAATTCTCGATGGGTGACTGTTGAATCATAAGTCATTGCAAAAAATACATTACTAGAGAGAAAATGGCATGCAATTTCATGGAATTGGCAGCTGAGATGACAATGACATACATGTATGATTCATAACATTTTTTGAGTGAAGGATATTTGAATTCGAACGAAACTGCGTCAAAATAACCGCCAAACGTACTTTTCGATGTGTACAGGCAAGATGGAAATGCTGCTTAATGAAGCTTCACTAAAGACTTGGGACAAGGCGAAATTGTCAAAAGCACGCGATGTATACTTTGATCTGATATCGTCATTGTTCTTGCATTATTAACATATGTACATATAAAAGTGTATAATTAAAGCAAGCCCTGATTTTTTGCCAATTGGGAAAATTTTGAACTGCAAAGCTAGCAAAACTGCTGACAATTTACGATGCTATAAGTACCTTCAATTTGCGGCTACTTTTGATCAATCATTATTTTCAATTGTCGTAAAGCAACGCAACTGTTGACAATGACAATATGTACCCGCTACTCTTCGATATCCTTCAGCCCTCCTAACTACGAATAAGCAATAGGATAGTCTATTTTGGGTTTACTGGGATGACGTTTTCCCAGCGAGAGTGCTTAAGCCGAAACATCGCACCTATCTAGGACTTTTTGAAGTGTTCCGTGTCGTACTTATTCTTTAAGTGGCAACACTCATCATCAGTCCGCGCACTTGAGTTAATGACTCGTAGGAAAGATCGTGGAGTCATTAAGGTACAACAGACGATGATTCAAAGCTTTCTCACGCGTATCCATTGAAGGCTGCTATATTTACTTATGACAAGCGCTATAAAACATGTACGTAGTACAGCCAATGAAGTTTAAAACTAAACCTACACTCAGAAGAAAGAAGCTGCTATTATCGGTCTTCCAAATATTTGAACAAAGACAGTCCAAGGTTAGGCTCTTTCCTCTGATCGTTTCAATCTTTTATGATGTATTTTAGTTTTCTTGCCTCGTTTGGCTCTTGAGCGATTACCAACGACACAGAACATTCAACACGCGGCGAAGTATTTTTAAACAAATACCCATCAAAGATTGAAAACTCTTCAAATATTGTAGTGGAAACCTTTTTACGATATGTTTATTCCTTTCAGGCCTGAAGATATATTTCTTTCTGAATTTTTTTTTTTAAGTGAAACATTGAATAATATATTACGTGAGTTTATTCAAGAATACATGGCAATAAACAGCATGTTACAGAAAATTCGGAGCTAAAACTGATTAGTTAGATAACTTCGTGATTGTAAAATTGATCCTAATTATTTAAATGGGATCGTATTTTCTGGATTCATCTGATTTCGCCGTTCACTTGACCGGTGACTTTTTCACTTTGCGGAATTTTATTAGATATTCCTTGTTCTTTTTTTCCTCGACAACTTCCGTTACGTAAATCAATAAAAGTTAGCGAACCAATGACTGTTTTTGGATATACTCCTCAAAGCTTCAAAGTAATTTATTGCATTTGATTTACTTTGAACCGACCGTACAAAGATGTGGCGCGTACAAATTATTGAAGTCACGATGTAAATCTCTTTCACTTAAAAAGGATCACTAGGAGGGCTTTAAATTTTTTGATGCACAGCCCGGAGTATATATGCATGTTATGATTTCAACTTTTTCATTCCTCGTGAAGAGGAAGATCAAAACAGCGTCACGTTCCGTCAATTTTGTTTGTCAATTCCCATAACTTAACTAGCCGATGGACGCAAGAGAGAGGTTAGAATTGGAATGCTTAAGAATGATAACAGAGAAAGATTTGATCACTAAACCACTCGGAATGTTTCCAAGTAGAGATATAGGTAAACATAAGAAGACACATCGAAGATAACTAGCACGAGATTTGCAAATATCATTAGTCACGTTAAAACGACAAGGTATGCAGCGTAGTCATTAAACCAAACATTTTTCTTAAAATCAAAAGAGAATTGAGTAAGAAATAGTAGAATAAAATGAAATTCAACTTACAATTCTCATTTGACTAAAAAGTGGACTCATATAAACGCAATCAATGGAAAACATGTATACAGACAGGTTTATCTTCGGTTCGGTTGGTGAGTAGAACGCATTAATTGATTACCCAAAGTTTGGGCGCCGCGCGGTGACAGTGCGACGAATAATCATGACTTAATTCTGCATTTTCGGAAAGGGCACGTACACAAATTGATAAATAAACGACAAAAAGCCAAACATGTTGACCTAAGTATTACGAGGTTATCTTCACACAACCCTAGATGATAAAATAAGGAAAAGCATTGTTTTAAAGCGAAGAGTTAATTCTCCGATGTTACTCCAAATATTCATGTGGACTGATATCAAAGTATGACTGTTGCTTACAGAAACAAATTTCATTCTCTTCCTTCTAAACATTTCGAATTTTCAATATTTGAAGATTGCGATCTTGCTTTCCTTGTTGTTCAGAAACGTTAATGCAAAGAGCACGAAACAAGGCGTCCTCCGATCTTCATTTGTGCCTCACTTCCTCAGTAGGCACAAGAATAGTTTCTAACAATTTCCGTTTGTAAAATAGATGCAAAAAAGTGATCTCAGGATACTAAGATAAGGTGCTGTACACAAACAAATGGTAAGACCGATATTTTTTTTACTCTTTGAAGCTTAAAATAAAACGCGAAGATGCTCTTTGTAATACGTTCTTTTGGGAAGGCTGCCTCACAAAGTTTAGCTTTTGTTATGATAACAATAATAAGTGCTCAATTGAGAAAAGCGGAAGTGTTAGGTGCTTATTAGGCAGTACATGATCCAAACACTCTTTAAAAAGTAATTTTGCACGAACGTGCGGCTGAGATCATAGCTATCGCAATAATATAATCTATTCCTTCAACTTATTTCCTTGTGCAAATCAAGGGGGGTAAAATAATAAAAGGATTTATTTTTCTGCCTCATGAATTCCCTTGTTCACCAAATTGAAAATTCTCCCGTAGGATATTGAATTGAAAATGTTATTAATGAGACCAACTGGTGTTATAATTGAGCTGTCTACATCTAAAGCGACAACTTAGCGTGATTTTGTATATTACGACAGGCAAATAAAATTCCAAATCTTGACAACTTTGAAAAAATCAAAGACGAAGCCGATAATTACATGCTATCCATGTCAAGAACATTTTTCATATATTAAAGCCTTATCAGTGCTGAGACGTCGACAGTTTTCGCAAGATGAGGATAATTTCCTGTACTGATGTGTTTTCGTCACAAACAAGCATTACTTTCAGCGTCTTTTTCAATAAATGCGATAAAAGCACTTTAAATGTATTACATTATAGATAGGCTAGGACATTAAAATTAATATTTCATTCCTTTAGTTTCCTACTTCGAGATAAGAATGTCAACTCACTGAGAATGGATCACCTGCTTACATAGAAATTTTGAACTGAGCTTCTTTAATTCTTCCGACGGGTTTGGTTCCCTCATTACCTTTTACAATAACCACTCCTACTTGTCATTTTTGCTGTAAAATCGATTGATGGCTATTGTTTTTCCCATAGACTTGACCTGATAACAAATTCGGAAGAGTCAAGGACAGGATCTTTGGAAAATATCACACAAACACACGTAGACACAAGAAGGTGAACAAAGAATCGAGAGTCGCTTCGTAAGGTGAGTATTTATCCTTTGAAAGTGGTTCTCTTATATTTGACTTATAACAGGAACGGATGCTTACCTCGAATTCATAATTAAAGGAAAAAAACAAAAATAGATTCTGACCGAAAGGCGCAAACTGCAAGAATATCCAATTTTTTCCCTTCGATTTATAAAACATCTTCATGCACCATCAGCAGTGGTATCGTTATTCCCTGATACATTAAAAGTCGAAGAAATTTTCCAGCGACAGCTGAAAAATTATAGACATTTGAGGTCAAAAGAAAATTCCTTGTTGACACCCACAAATCAACACAAAGGTGAAGCTGCCTCGACGCTTTTGGGCACACTGCTAGTTCATCTTCCGTACAAGACTAAAAATTCTTCGACATTATTGTTGTTCCATGTCTTAGGGTTTGTAGTAACTTATTATATTCGATTTTCATAAATGTAAGGAACGTCTGTGTGAGAAATAATTCATCATTTAAAATTGAGGTCAGCAATAATTAAATCCCCTCAAGCAAGCGATATTTAGGTTGGCAAAAGTGCCTTTGGCAATAGTTCATAATTTAGAGCCGTTCTCTTTTTTTACGCGATTTATGTATGCTGATGTAGATTTGGAGCAACACGTAGCATTATTGAGCTCTTTATTAATTGATACGCCCTTGCTTTTCTTCCGAGCATTCTGAGTAATTCAGGCCTTTCCTCCGGCCCATCTCCCTCAAAAACTCTAATCCTAAAGTTGAAATTTATGCTATTCGCGACGCCCTTCATGTTGAAAAGTCACAATCGTGTTGTAACAGTGGGAAGCACATAATTAATTAGCTTCCACTCCGTCAGAAGACAGCAGCTGGCTTGACACGAAAAGAAGGACCCAAAGTGAAACTAATACTTATTCTATAAAAAATAAATTTCAAATTTACTCTTCCGCTTTATCTCAAAGAATAAACGCGAAACCTTCAAGCTTACGATTTTTAAGACACCATGCAGTTGTAATTTCAAACCCTTCTTTACCTAGTCTCTTTTGACTGTGCTATTTACCGTGATCCTAAGCTTTCTGAATAGTGGGAAGCTCATGATTAATTAGCTTCCACTCCGTCAGAAGACAGCAGCTGGCTTGACACGAAAAGAAGGACCCAAAGTGAAACTAATACTTATTCTATAAAAAATAAATTTCAAATTTATTCTTCCGCTTTATCTCATAGAATAAACGCGAAACCTTCAAGCTTACAATTTTTAAGAGACACCATGCAGTTGTAATTTCAAACCCTTCTTTACCTAGTCTCTTTTGACTGTGCTATTTACCGTGATCCTAAGCTTTCTGAATAGTTTTTTAGACTAACATGCTGCTAAAAAATCACCTCTCATGCTTCAATAAAAACGTTAAGAAAAAAATCTGAGCTTCCACGTTGCCTAGATAGATCAAAAATATATTGAGACACTTCTGACGCGCCGTTCTCATGCAATTCGACACAAAATTTGTTTTGAGACCCTTGAATCCGGTCTGCCTTGCAAGAGTAGCTAGTGCGCATGTCTTGATTGGTGATGTTCTAACCTGTACGTACTCTTTCGGGAAAGGCGAGCACTGGATCACACAAGTTATGCAAGGCCAAAGATTATGATAACTTTATTTATTTTTATTTCAAAATACTTATCATCATTTGCGTCCTTGAAGTGAGTCGCAGTAAAACCCATTCGCGAGTATTGCAAAATCTAGCCGCAAAAATGCTATAAAAATAGCAAAATTAGTCAGTTGCAAATGTTTATCGTTCTTTCAAGACCTGTTTGTTGTTTTTGACACATTGATAGCGAGTTGGTCAAAACTTGAGAGTGATATCAACAAAAAGGTGGCACAAACACAGAGCGCTGAAGGACTCAAAAAGTGAAGTTGAAGATAAATTTGAGGCCATTCTCCTCTTGTAAGTAAATTAACAAATGCTCTTAATCAAATAACGTGATAACTCATTTCACTGATGCGGGGATTGAATAACAATCGTTTGACGAATCGCAATTTTGTCCAAGTTATGCCAGCTGAATCCCTTAACTGTTCAGCTGTTGATTGATATTCGGTGGTGAAGTGATAGGAATCATTTTTACATGATCACTCATTCTAGTTCCTCTGTATAACTAATTTCATCAGCCAGTTGCTGGGTTGAAACCAATACTGGCTATGAGCAACAGCTTTGTATGCTTGGCGATTGGAAAGCTACAATGAAACCAATTTCAGATATAAGAGATGCATTGTATCCATTCTTCAGATGTATGCACGTGAATTACGATTCCATTCACGACATTCAATTTCCATGCAGGACAGCAATTAATATTAATTGCATCGAATCATTAGCCGCGATTGTGGTGATCTTCTGAGCTTAAGGACAAATTAAGTAATTTTCAACTTTTAAAGTTAGTTTTTTACTCGACTTCCTTTTAATAATCTCTCCGCCGTCCCACTAATATTTTCTTAGTGATAAAATCAATAAGATGACAAACTAAAATATTTTTGTTGATCATGGATCAAATTCAGATAACAATGGTCATGTCATTTATGCTACAATTCAGTATAAATCCTTCCTTACGGAACACTTATTGATTTCCTTTCTTTTTGGATAACTGTGCACTTTTGTGTGAAGGGGTAGGCGCATATAACACTGGCTTTATATCGTGAGTTTAAGAATAACGTCATGAGATACGCTCTAAATATCACGACCTCTCTTCCGGTTGTTTAATTAACGATACGATCTGATCCTCCGTTGACAATAATCTAGACGTGGTTTCATACGACAGTGACACAATTTCATCCATTATTTGTTTCATTTGAGCCAGAGTTATCAATTCAGGAATCATTGCACAATTTTTGCCATTTTCCTTTTTTTTTCGCTCTGGACAAGATGATATGACATGATATAACATTGAGGGACAGTGAACTATGAACATTGTTCACCCATCTCAAGGATACACGGATGTGTTTTCAACTACTATGATCAATTGAGCTGAACATTGTCCAACTCAAGGAACTTTGTCGACGGTACGTTAATTTTATTATTACATGATGAAATGAGTCATCTTTAATCTCAATGAACTCTGAGACAAGCGCTCTCCAAGCCATCTAGTTCAGAGATTAGTCGTTCAGCCTAAGGTGTAAGCGCCTAATTCACCTTAAAACGCATTCACCACCATGATAACATCCCACTCTTTGTAAACACCTCGCAGCAACAGTGATGATAGTTGCGTTAGTGACTTCGACACTTTGTCTGACTGAGTATACAAGGTCATGATGACAACGTTCCAAAGAGAAAAGGGGTCGCTGTTTGTAAACACGTATCCTAAATTCTGTCTTCATGTTAAAAGAATCACTCGCCATACACTCGAGGTGTTTGAAGAGCGCTCAGGTTTAAATCAAACTCATTCTCTTTGGCCAATCATATATTTTTTTAAAATGTTGAAATTATTGCAAAATGTCTGTTGTCACTTGATAGCATATGGATTTTGAGCCTTAACGTTACATGAACTTGTGTAAACTCCTCTATCTCCTCCGCCAAAAAGCGATCATTTATCGTATGCATTAGTTTTAGACGTGAGCATCATTAAATCGCTGCAATGTTCATCCAGCATAACCTCAAAAATTCGCTTTCAGGCAGGTGCTATGAAGTAAGGAACCGACTTCCACGTGTTTGAAATTTTTCCTCGGTTACATCATAAATCTGTAGCAGAGTAAAAGTCGTGATTGATAGAATTTAAGTAGGAAAACTCTGCCAGGACTGAGACACTAAATGAATATTTACAGCCGTTGACCGTATCTCGATTAATAGAAGGTCTGCATTCTGATTGGTATTCTCGGACAATATTGACTTCCCATCTGTAAACATTTAATGATCCCACTTGCTCTTTAATAATAACTTTGCTTATCGCTTTTTCACAAGCAGCAGTTTACGATCATGTTTAACAAAAATTAGGGTCAACAGCCCAAACTAAGTGAACATCTGGAGTGTGTTTCTGTCAATGCTTCAGTTGAAATCACAATGAATCATTCTCATACTATAGGAATGACGTTTTTGAAAATTAAGGGTTGGAGAGAGGCTCTTTTACATCGCACTGGGGCGAAAGACATATTTAAGATTATCTTACTCTTTTCATCTAGGCATCGACATTTTCTCTCTTTTTTTAAAAACAAAATGTTTGTATCTGGAGTACCAAAATGCAAGCAATGTAGACTGATACTTAAGCAAACATTGAAACAAAACGTCCTTGTCTTTACATGCCAACGTGAAAAAACGGGCGTTACTGAAATGAGGTCAATCACGTTTGCACTCTCTTATGATGCGCTGTATTCGTCTTTGGACATTTTCAAGAAGACCCGGTGGTTATGCTCTCAAAACAGAAACTTTTCAGTAAGGGCGAGGCTATTCACGCATTAGTTTACTTTTCAAAACCTTAGTTTAGCGACTTTGTCTAGCAGCTGTAGAGAACTACTTGTCAGTCACTGGCGGAACGATTGACGGGCAAAGTGCGGAGTGACTATCTGCTTTGTGATGATGTCTTCCTTAATTAAGAAAGCTTTCTATGCGGCTTGTATACAACAGGAGTCGCTTCGTGACCAAGTCTAGTATGCATAAAAACAGACTAAGTAACGAGAAATCCTAATTAACTTGGTAAAACGGTGAACAGACTGCTTAGATAATTTGCTGTGGCTCACGCAAGCACCAAACAGAAGTACAGCCTGGATCACGAAGGTAAATAAGTTATACTGGTTCCCACCTGACAGATGAGTTCCAACAGTCCTAATTCAAACTAACCTGGTTACTTTTCCTGACAGCAAGCAGTCATAAAAGTGCTGTTAGTTGAAATATTCATCGCTCATTTATGGTACTATTCATGGTAAATTTTAATCAAAGTTAAAAGTTCCCAAGATCAACTAATGCATTTTAGCCCACATACTTCCTACAGTACAATACGTTTTTTGGCCATTGTTTTCCAACGCAAGTTGATTACATCATTATTCTGGCTTTTGGAGCCAATTCTTGCAATCATAATTTGTCAAACAGACAGACGTTGTGTACTAGAGAACTGTTCCGGCAGACAGTCGTTTTAGTAGGAGGGTTCGTAAGTCAATAGAAATTCCCTTTAAAGCCTTCGCCATTGGCTGATTCACGCTGTGTTTCTGTTCACTTACTGCTAATTTGATCTGACCCGGTGCAACCTTTAATAAAAATAAGTTGTAAACTGTTTATATTAACAAGATCCGTATTTTTCTAAAAGCATGAAATTATTTTTTGGATCAAATTTCTTCACAACGATTGTTCGTGTTCCAACCAACACAGATGTATTATGCAAATTATATAACTCATATATCCAACATGTGTTTGAGATTATACAGGATAAAAGCTACAAATTTCGCTTCTACTAGCGCTTACTGGTTCTGAGACCGGATGACGAAGATTTCTCTCTTTCATGAGTTACTGAAAAGAAAGTTTTCAGAAAAGCTTTTCGTACTTAGCCATAAATATTTAAATTTTCTGTGTGTGTCCTCGATAAGTGGTAAGTGGTGCGACAGTTTTTGAAACGGCATTTTTCTCTATTGCTAATTCAGGAGTAGAAGAGTGTGATCTGCGATTTATACGAAGAAAATCATGAGATGACGTATATAATCTTAAATTGAGAATTGAATTGTTAAAAAGCCCTTTAAGTTTATAGGCATTTATAATATACACTTGGCCATGGATGTAGGTAGACACTCGTGCGCTTAAAAATATTTCAACCGATAACGGCTTAGCACCCATAAAGACAATGTGACATGTGTGCATGTTCTTATCCTGATGCGTGGTCCTTGTTCCGTCTTTAACTTTATGGTCCGCCAACAGATAGTAATCAAACTCCCTGCCTGTGGTAAGATAACGAAGATAGAAAAGATTTATCCGAAATTTATCTACAGTGTAAGTAATTCACGAAAATATGTCTCAATTCGCGACCTCTGCCATGCCATAAAATGTTTTCAGAGTTCATGCCACCATTAAGCTAAAATAATCCAAAGGACATGGATTGCAAGAAGATGGTCACATGCTTTTAGAGAGAAATGTTAAAATTTAATTTGGTTCCTTCGGCCCTCATTTCCTGTTACAAGAATCGGATTAAAAGCACTAGCGCCCAAACACCCACCGGAGCGGTAATCCCGTAGCTCTGAGTTCATTAAGTTGTGATTTCTTTCACTAGCGTTTCAACTCAAAAGAAAATTCGTCCAATGAAAAGAAACGTTATTTTAAGACGCACAAATTTGGTGCCAGTTGAGTTGGTCTTAAATGAGCTCCTAACCTATAATTTTCTAAACATAAAGGTAACTGCATCATACTTGAGGCCGAAAAAAGATCACTGACGTTTTTCAAGCATTTTTTCGTTTTTTGGAAGTTTTATCGTAAGTTCTGCAATGCTCACTGCTCAGTTGCAATAAAAACGTTGCTAGAAAATGACAATGTTGTTGATTCACCTTATTAGACATACGTATAGTTTTCCTCAATATTAATGGCTCTTGATACATTCAGCGCTTTTGTTTTGTTTTGAAATTCACGCGATTGACATGGGAGTTATTCATAAATGGCTTTCCTTGACCTTACATGTTTCTATATGAAGCATGTTGACTATCTAGTGTTTTGCCGAGTACAACTATATCGGGAAGAACTGTTTTTTCTTTATTTCAATGGTGGTTTTTGAGAGATAATTGATTCTCGGCTCAGGAAATAAAATACAGCAAGTTTGCCACGCTATATCTTAAGTCATTCTTTCCGTTGTCTGCTCCAGGAAATATAAACTCATCTATTCAAAACGCTGAGTCGCGAGGGTTTTTTTTTTTTTTTTAAGACGTTTGATATCACTCTGTAATTTTTTCTGGCTCAGTCACAGATCGATCATGGAAGGTCTGTCAACACCACTAGTCTCGGTTTAGAATAACGTGTAGTACAACAGTGTTCTTGAGAGGCGCGGCCGTCTAAGAGTTACTTCGAGCAGACAATTCAAAATCTTGTCTATTTTTGTTCGCCAGCTACCAACAGTCTGTCAGAATGTATTAAATGACAAAATGTCAGATAAGCTCGTGTTTGAAACGAAACACAAGTTGCACGCACTGCCATTCGACATTACGACAACCATCGTTTCCTGGTTTTCTTTATTAGGAAAGGAATGATACAACGTAGGGTTTCTTCCCCGGTATAAAACGCTGCTTTTATACGGACAGTTTTGTCACACGTATGTCGCAAAATGCCGATCAATCTCCGCGTTAATCGGAACCATAGAGGTGGTCTCAAGAAAGAAATATATGATTCTCCTTTATCATGAGCAAAAGAGACACGGACCTCTGATACTCAAGAGACTTTGGGAGTCTTTGTGACTTTGTTTTGACGAAGAATCATATTAAATATGTACCCATACCATGCTTTTGTGATACCCCCTCTCCCTGTTAGAAAAGGTGAAAAGGAAAACCTGTGACGTGACGTGAGAGTGACTTATAATAGTGTCGTTTGAGCACGTTAGGTTCTCTTTTAAGTACTTCCTTTGATCATATCAGGCCATTCTGGTTTTTCTTTCAAGCTCAAATTGCGAGGTACTTCGTTTTGTTTTCGTGACAAACTGTAGAATTCGTTCCTCCAGCCGGCAAACTTTCAAGACCAGCAGTGTGGTTTCGCATGACCAGCGATATAGTATTGTTTTTTATTTGCGTTAAGTGGTACTAGAAACTCATGAATCTACGGTGATATGAAAGCGAATTGAAAGCACTCTCAAACCGGGGACGCTATAAATAGATTAAAATGAATACAAGAAAAGAAAATCTGGATAATAAAGGCGTAATTACAAATTTCCATGTTGGTGGGACTCACCGAAAAATCTCTTTGAAAGTCAGAAAGTCAACGATTTGAACATTTGCTCAAAACAAAGTACGTTATACTGGATACTTCGCTGGAAAGAGCTCGAGTAAAATGTTTTATCATCAAATCAGTTTTAAACCGCAACAATGAATAGTAAGCGTCTGCTTTAAAATGTTCAATATCGAGTGATCTGTGATGGAGTCTCTCGTCAAAACGAGTGTGCCTTCCTGTCACACTTTTGTAGTATGTCACAATATTTCTGTTATCATGAAACACAACCAGTGACGTTTAAGCAAAACCTCTTTCTTTGTGCATAAAAGCGCTTAATATTGCGGACAGATAAACGCCATTGTAATTGCACCTTTGTTAAAAAGTCAAATGCAAATCACAGCTTAGAGCAACACAAGCGTTGAATAAAAGCACTTGAGAGACGGGTTACAATTTCGGTCAAGAGCACCGACTCATTGTTTTTAACCCATTGGGATATTCACTAAAAGAAACGTGAAACGGACATTCCAGAGGGCACCACACGCGCTCTCCTTGAATCCAGCTTTTTATCTTTTCCCACTGTGTTTGGTATTTGCCATGAAAAAAAGACATAACAAAGGAAATGATGGAGCGTTTTTTTTACCCCCTGTTATGACGTCATATTGTTTAGCACGTTAAAACTCAAAAACAACTCAGTGGTAAGCGCGAAGTTTCTAATAAGGATTGAAAGAACATTCTCTAGCGAAGAACTTCGACCTCACGGTTTGGGATTGGAGGGCGAAAGCTAAGTAAGTGTTGTACGGAAGGATGCATTTTTGTTGAATTTGGAGAAGTTTCTGCTTGCTTCGAGCCATACAGTATATTTTTAATTTGACTGTTGAAGCATGGTCTTCAGACCAAGGAAAAGTTTGTTTAAGTCACCGTCAATCACCTGACATTGACTCATTCTGTGTTTGGGATCGTGATCAACCTGATCGTCTGTAAACATTCGTCAATCATTTGACGGAACATAGCCTTTGTGCGTCTCATTGCATGGCTCTAGTCAATTAATCAGTCACAGATGATGGTCGTAAATTAAGTGACTTCTTTCTTCTTCAAAGTACCATTAGCTGACATTTCGTTACGTTGAGCCCTCAGCACTTGGGTAATTCTAATAACTTAAATACATCTGTTTCAAAAGAATGACGTCTTTCGATCAAATCAAACCTTCCATACGTCACGTTTCTCTTAAATAACCATTTGAATATGCGTCTTTCAGTCAGGTAATAGGTAGTTTATTAATCATTTATATGTTTCTGTGACAACAGAGCACATCGTCTCCAAACTGAGATGGACGCCACCTCAACTACCGCAGTAATGAGCACTAGTAATGTAACAAGCATGACCACGACAGCCACACCAGAAGAGGTTTACGATCCGTTGTGGGTCATCACAATACGCTGGATTATTGGAGCCATTATTGTTTTCGTAGGTAAGAAAACTTGCAAAACTGATTAAACTTCATTTGTGCATGCCATAATCAATTTAACAAGAAGGTCACATTTGGGATTGTTAGCTGTAAATGAAAAAATTTAAGCAGTCTTTTTTTTTCTGAAAAAAAGGTTTTAGAATAATTAATTGCTCTGATCTAGCAGCTGAGAAAATTTGTCTAAACTTTGAAATAAAATGCAAATTTTTTCTCCAAAGGGCAATCATATCCATACTTCTCGGTTTCTTCGTTTTAAGCTAAAAATTCAGTATGGAAAGTCTATTTGCAAAGGCGCATTCGATAGATGTTACACAAACAGTGGACGGATCGATTTTGATTTTCTGGCTGTCGTGTGAACCATGAAGCAAGAATTTGTTGTAAGCTTTTTAACCATCAGATTCACTCAGCTTTGATTTCTTAAAGCACAATGTACATATTAATGCGTATCATAATTCAACAAGGGATACTTGCTTCACTGTCCTTAAACATTTCCACATAAAATGAGGAAAGAGAAATTTTATATCGAATGAACTGAAGTTGGCATTAACGGGGAAAGAATATTCAAATTATTTTCTCGGGTCATGGGCGCTGGCACTGGCCGTCTTTCAGTGATTTTGTGACTGATAAACTGAAGGTTTTTTTGGCCTCCTTTTAATTTCACCGGCGGTCAATTAGCTAATACCTATTATAACTCCCCTGACCGTGAACAAATTTCAGTGTTATTACAGCCGCTCAGCATGTAGTCAATTTAAACAAAGCGAAGTGACAAAGGAGCAGAATAGAGTCAGTAAGCACGACACTGAGGGTAGTGAACGAGACCTTATCGTAATTGGTGCTTTCCCACGCTCAGATAAATAAGTGGTTGCTTATTGTTTCCCATTTCCTGCGTACAATTTATCGAAATTGTTTATGAATTATTTGAACTTCTTAGCGCATTTACTCCCAAATCCTTTGAAACGAGTTAATACGAAAGAAAAACACATTCCATTCGCTCCGTGAATGTCTGATCAACTCTTTACAGAGTGATAATTAAGTACTAACTATGCGTTGAAATTTTTTAAAAAGCTTAACCCATGGTTCATGGTTAATGACCAAAGCCGTGAACATTTTTAACTCTCAGGATATGTCTTTAATCGTCTGAGTTTAATTTATCTCTCTCGACCCTCACAATGACTGATTGCAATGTCAAAAATTAGTCAGTCTGCGGCCATCGTTTAACTCCACTTTGCCAAGTCGATTTCACGGATTTGTTATTAAGAACAAAAGAAAAACAAAAATCTACACGACACCAGACTGTTGGTAAATGGGGTGGACTGTTAATTAATTCAATTTGTTTAAACAACAAATATTTATCTCCTTAAAAATGTTGTGATATAAACCAATTATAGCATCATTGGCAGTAAACTTTAGTCGGCACCAGGAAACAGATAAATATCATAAAATACGCGGAAGTGAAGACCAGTGAACTGTCTGCTCGAATATTTTCCTAACACAAGCCTCGCGTTTAGTTAAAAGCACGCAATTAGGTTTTAATAAAGGTCCTTTGAGTAATTGCGATTGACGTAAAGATGTAAAGATACATGAATCAGTGTTACGAGATTACCAAAGGGTCTCGTCGTGATGTCTCGGAATGCTCCCTTCTAATTATCTATTAGAATGAAATGAACGACAGTTGTCTTAAATTAAAATTTTTTTTGAATACATAAACTCCCGGAGGTTCATTTGTATAGCATCTTGTGTGTAAATAGTCAAGTCCATTTATTTCAATTTTGATGGTTTTAATAAATGTTTGCAAAAGTGAAAAGTCAAATCTATCAAAATGACAGCTTGTTCCGGGTTTGGAACTTATTTCTCATTTCTCCGGTGAAAAACACAAACGAGGCGTTCAAGTTCAGTTTCCTCGCTGTGCAACATAGATCAACGACAGAAAACTATTAAAGCGCTATCCAAACTACTAACCTGTAACTGCTAATCAAACAGCTAAATGATTCGACACCCAACGTTAAACATTGTTTAATTGTACTTTGCTCAGCTTCAATATGGGCTACAGGAATGCTGCTTGACGCTTCAACACGTTGTGTCTGCTTCTTTTTAACTAACATTGTATTCTATTAATACTTTTCCTTCTTTTCCAAGTCTTAAAACTTTTCTTTACTCCAGTTCTCATCTGCTGTTCACACGTTTGAGAACAACATGGGCTTTCGCTGGTGATTATTACGACTAACGACTATCCTTTACAAGCGCTATGGTTAGGCAAGAAAAAAAATGACTGCACTTTTTTGCGATATGTATACTCTAGTTGCCTGATTTTCCTAACAAAAATGTATCAAACCTCTCTATTATTGGTCTAAAAAAAAGGCTTCCATCACTGATGAGTTAAAAGAATTAAAACATATTGAACATAGGCCATGTGCCCCTTTACCAAAAGCCGGCTTTTCCTGATATCAGCATGTGTATAAATGCATTAAAAACAATCGCAGAGTTTCATCTTTCGGTTACTTCAGGAGCCGAAAGTTGAAACTATGTATTTGAAATAAAAGTCATGATGTGAGCAATGCACATTAGTTTTAGTTCATTAACTCATCACTGATGGACGTCTCTTTATATTTAGGACCAATAATCTTTTGTAAATATTTCTCGTTTGATAACAGAACCCAGACTTCATTAAAATTACCTGTAGAGTTTTTTAATCCTTTAATGCTACACCCTTTCTATTTAAATCTAAGGTGCATTACTTTATTCCATTCTTTTGTTTGTTCTTTCTGGAAGGGTCTATTGGTAACGTGATGGTTTGTGCGGTGGTGTACAAGAACCAAAGAATGCAGACTGCTATGAATTTGTTTTTAGTGAACTTAGCCGTGTGGGATATCCTGGTGTGCTTATTCAACATTCCGTTCACGCTAATTTACAATCAACTTAAGTCATGGCCTTTTGGACTCTTCTGGTGTAAAACAATGCCGAGTAAGTGGACTTCCTGAGATAATTCCATAATTCACTCTGCTTTTTCCAGCATGGTGTGGGTTCGTTACCCCCACATGAGTCGCCGAAACGTTATGTCGGAAATGGAGTCGACGACAACACTGGCAATCCGGTATTGAAATAGTCAAGAGGGATTAAAAAAAGCGAAAAAATCAAGCTTTCCACGTGAACCTAACTGTTAACACCTTTATACATTTTTTTAATACCTAATTAGATTTAGTATGGTCAGAACAAAAATGATAGTTAGCTTTTCGTTGAAGAAGAATCCACAAGACTAATTTCTTTTTTCAACCCTTCATCACGAATATTATTTGACTAATTACTCTTTAAGCCCAGCCAAGCATAATTACAAGCATATTGGCGAACAACGTGAAGATTACTCTCTCGATAAATCGACGAAAATAAAAAGGAAATGACGTTTCTTGATTGACAATTCATGGAGTGAAAGTCTTGAAGAATGGACTTCCGTTACTGTCTAAAACAAGATTTAGTTTTAATGACTCCACACATTCCATCCAAAGCCTGATGTCTACACCCAAACTCAACTATTCCAGCAACCCTTCTCACCGAACTGCGATTTTTTTTCAGCTTTGCAGGTTATGAATTTGAGTGCATCCACTGGTTCCCTGGTGGCCATCACTATCGAACGCTACCGCGCAATCTGTCTCCCCTTTACACCACCCCTGTCAAAATTTCAAGCCAAGCTAATAATAGCAATCGTTTCAATGTCTTCGTTCCTGGTTGCTTTGCCTGAAGTTGGAGCTTACAAACAAGCACCACCATTTGGATGCATGGAAGTGTTTCCTACAGAAGATCTCAGAAAGGCATACTCGTTATTTCTCTTCCTCTTCTGCTATTTTCTCCCGTTTTTATTCATTGCCCCAGCATATACCAGAATGATATTAAAACTGTGGCAAGAAGATCGTGACGAGAGCTCACCTTCAAGTGGAGTGACAGAGGATCCCAAGAACCAAAGAAGAAAACGGAACGTCTTAAGGATGATGGTTATTGTTGTTTTGTGCTATGCCATTTGCATGTTGCCTACGTATGCCACCTTCTTGTGGCTTGACTTTGGATTATCAGGTACCTAATACTATCATTTTATATTCCTTGCAAAAGCTGTACTGACCAGACGATGACTCACGACGACAGCTACAATATCTTTTGAGGGTAGCAACGAGGGGGGTCCTGATCCCGTTTGGAAAGAAAGTTCACCAAAGGAAAATCTAAAATCTCTCCTCTTATGAGCAAGGTTTCAGCAAATCTTGAGGTCTCCACGAAATTGAAGAAAAAAGTCGCGGGTCATATATACTACGCCTCACGATGGTGGTTTATAAATTCAAGAGCCACGCTCGCCTTTCTGTAAAATTCTGCGTCATATATTAATTTTTGCCACCCTCTCTAGTTGTACCACGATATTAATTCTTATTTTATTCAAAAAGAAAATGGTATTGTAAAACAAAAGAGTTGGAAGTAGAATAGAAAGAAAAAAGGACCTAGAGTTTAGATGTTGGACAGAATAAAAAAGGCTGTACGATGAAGACGTGAAAGGATCCCACTGCAGCGCTATCACTGAGATTTTTAGGAGGAGATGGTCGAAATGCTGCTTTCATTGTGTGAAAGAATGTGGATGCATATGCACCTAATTTATAAATGGGAGCTCAAATGAAAGGAGCGATGGAACCGTTCGCTTGACAAATGGTGCCGGACACCATAAGTGAACAGATCCGTCATTTACATCAATGTCTGAGTCTTGCTCATAAATGTTATTGTAACCTGCTAAATATATCTTCAAGGTTGCGAATGAATCACCTATTTTGTTGCTTTTCTAGGACCACCACCGTATTACTTTTTCACATTACTCAGCCTTATGCAAATGATAACTTTCATCAATAGCTGTGTCAACCCCATCATTTACTGGTGTCTTAGTGACCAGTTCTCGAAAGGATTCAAGAAACTATTTCGTTGCAAAAAGAGACTCAACACGTGGAGTAGACATACACAACAATCATCTTCATCGTCATCGGATCCTCACCACCATCATCAAACTATGCCAACGAAAGTATGATGTGAAACGATGTGAAGACATTGTTAGTGTAATAAGCTACGCATGCGTTGGACCGAGATAGAAGGGCAATGGATACGTACACTTGGAATACATATCTATCAATCAGAAATGGATACACATGGGCCTGTTTGTAGACCATAACCACGCGCATAAACTATAAGCACTTAGTGACGTATGAAGACACATGATGGACACTATAGCCGTGCCAGTACCGACAAACAAAGTTAGCAAGTGCACCATCCCTAGTTGAAAGTTACCTGGAAATGACTCAGTCACGTTTGGATAGAGAGCATTTCGTTCATAAACAGCTGCTAGGGAAGATGAATTTAAATGGATAACAAATCGCACTGGGTTAACATAAGCCAGGGAAGTGTTAGTGGTCCATAAATCAAACGATGAGCAAGGTGTCTGTTATGACCATGTATGATATTAAAAAACTGCTTTCCAGATACAACGTTGCCGCTTACAAACACAACCTTACAAGGAAAGCAAATAAAAACGAAAAGATTATAGAAATTGCTGGAAATACGAAAGATTTACCGCAGCGTTAACAGGAACCAAAAGAATATCTATTCTCTTGCGAAGAGCTTGTCAATGCAGACAGCACAAGTTTTGTAAGAGTGACTGAGTGGACAAAATATTATTTCCAATGCTGCGCTTATCCAATTCTAAGTTGCAAACATTACATTCATTACGTGGCTGAACTGAAATAACGCAATAATAATGATAAGATAAAACGACAGCAGAAGTAGAAAGTTGAAACAATTTCAACTTAAAGAACATTTCTCAGAGGCGTGCAGAATAGAATTACATTTTCAGATCTTACTTTCCGCGTTCCGTCAGAAAATTAGGAGAACGATGCAGGATCAACAAACTAGGTAGTGAGAATAGAGACACGCCAGCGAAACTGAATCTTATTTTTTCTGAGGCATATAATCATTTGTGTATATATTTTGCTTTCCTTTTTCCATATTCCCCTCACACCCCCAAGTCTCTGGACATACCCTCTTTTAGTTTAAGACAGATTCCCCTAGTTTGCGAAGAAAGTTTCCGCTAGAATAATAGACTTGCATCTTTGTACAAAGCCAAAGTATTATTGCCAGATATTAAAATGTTAATGTACTCATCGATTCAACTGCTATCTTCTATCAGTTAGTGTTATCTACCTGGGGCGTAACAAGTATTTTCAAAAAGGGGGGAGGGGTTACACTGTGTCAAACAAAGGGAACTCACCAGACTGTCATGTCGACCTCCACGCCGTGTTTTACTTAATGTGACAAAAAAGCCCTTCCCCCCCACACATATTAGCTACGCCCTTGATCTACCACAGTGTTTTGGTAATAAGCTTACAACTCAGGAGGGGGGAGGCCTGAGAGAAATAACTACTTAAATTATCTACTGTTAGTTAAGATAAAAAAGACATGAATATTAAGAAAAAAATATCGAGTCCCTTTTCTTCTGATCAGATGCAAAAGCATGCCCGGTGCAGTCGAATAACGAGATTCAACGAAAACAGAGATTTGTTAATCACGAGCAGTCACAGTCAGAATTGGATCACACGAAGTCCTTTTATAATTCATCAAAACTACGACAACATTTGAGAAAGAAACTAGACATCGGTTTTAATTTTTCATAAAAAAAAGCATGCTCTGTCCACTTACGTAGGCACGACGTGTCAACTGTCCTTTCCCTGTCGGCGAGAGGTGAGCCGGGATACAGATACTGATATTAGTCCCAGGACCCCGGCCAACCTCTCCCCGGCTCGTCTCTCAAATCTTATCGGGGGCGGAAAAACGCTTCTTTTGCAGTGCTAATATTAAGGTAATTCTCTGAAAAAAAAGTTATTGGGCAATTTTTTCCCTACCAATGTTTGTTTAAAAAAATACAATAAAAAAAGGTAGGTCACTGTGCTTGATTGGGAGATATAGTGGGCCAAACTTACCCATTTATGCCTGTACTGGCATAAACACTTGCGTAGTTTACGGTACATTTCCCTGCAGCAGGAAGAAGGGGTTTCTAAACTGACACTTGAAAAAAACTCGATAGGTAGAAAGTCACGAGCGTATAAAACAATTTAATTTATAATTTGTTGGAAAATCACGCAAATTTAAACGACATAGACTCAAAACGTTCCTCAAGTTGTTTCTTTCAAGGTCATCATTTGCATCCTTGAGTAACGGGCTTTGAGCAAGCTTTTAGCTTTATCTCTTTATTCCTTTTGAAAATTCTTTTCATTTCCTCAATTTTATGGAGAATAAATTGAACACAAAAATTACGCAAAAAAATATGGGGCACCGTGCTCGTTCAAGAGCGAAAGACGATCGAAACTCTCTACCTGATCCATGGATTCAAAAACAATACCGTGTTCTCGGAGTGCGCGCGCGACCTAGTTCCTCTGAGTAGGCGATTTTTATACGCAGTACAGGATGCACAATGCAAAACTGAGGAATCACCTGGATAATAACTATTTTCATGTTCGTGCAGTAATGTAAGCGCAATGTAATACTATTGATTAGCTGACTGAAAGATTAAGAGAAATAATTGAACCAGCATTGCCGATCTTTCACACCACGGTATTTGTTTACTTTGGACCACTTTGGCGCATGGCGTAAGTTAAATTAGAATTTGCGTCCGCTCCGTACTCGGCTCTTCACTTGAAAAGTCGTGCACTTTAGAATTTATCGTAAAAAACGTCGCACTTAATCGACAAACAAACTACTGAAATTTTCATTAATCACTTACTGGTATTTTTTCATTTGTTTTCCTCTCGAGTGGGCTTGCACGCGTCATTCACTTCTCTGAAGTTTCTGCAAGTACAAGACAAAACTATGACTTGGACTGGCAATTTCAATGAGCCAACATTTTCTTTGAAAACTAATTACCTTGCAAAACCGTTAGGCTGTCGAGATAAGAGCTCAGAGAGCGCACAAACGAAAAGTAGACTCGAGTCCTCTCTGCAGCTCACCGGCGAGGCATGAAGTACTATTAAACACGTTTACTACATTTTTCAGTGGTTACTAGGCGACAATTATGACGTCACTAGAAAGAACCATCTATCCCAGAAATCTACTCAGAAGTAACCCAGGTGATCGCATAAAAACTTTGCAGTTTTAATCTTTTCTTATTATTTTTCTGTTTTTGGCATCAACTGGTCCATATCATGGTATCACGGCATCAACAATTTATCTGCGGCAGAAAATATCCGCATTGCAAACAAAAAACGCTCTATCAGCACAAAGAAAAACCCCCATTGCAGAAGTCACGCTTCACGCCAGAGTTGCCAGAAATTAATTTTTCCAGTGGTGAGGGGTTACTCAGCCATTAACATACGGTGCAATCTTAATTCATAATATTCGATAGCCTTAGGGGTTATTTTGCGTGAGGCTTTCAGTGCAGAAATTATTATGCTCCTAATGAAAAACAACAACATTGACCTAGACCCAAACCAAAAGGATTAGGATTAAGTTATTGGTCAATACTAGGAAAAAAACATTCACTAAAAAAGAGGCTAGAGTCCAAACTCTGAAGAAAATATGTATTAAACTTGTTTACTAAACCACAACATTTGGCTTGAATAAAAACTCCTTAATTTCTTTAAATTCCAAACAAAGGGGCAACAAATTAGCACAAACGATGCTAAAAGAAGCAAAACGCCACGAAAACAAACAACAAAAGTAAGTGAAATGATAAAGGGAACTATTAAAATGTGTTTGAAAAAAACACACAATGACCAAATTATAAGTGTTTTTGAGATTAATCCAGGAAATTTTTTAAGGAGAAGCAGTTTGCCCCTGGAGGAGTGGACCCCCCTTGGTCACATTTTACTGCAAGCTTAGTCACTAAGGACAAAATTACTAAATAAACACCTTCATCTATTGCCACATCAAATGACCACAACATAAAATCATACCTTGTTGTAGCTAGCACTAAATTCATAAATTACAAGCACAATTTAAAGTTTCAAACTTTATTATTTGATAAATTCAAACAATAAAAACATGCATGTTACCATGACACTGACACCTAAAAGACTTGTTGAAATGCACAACATGCTATTGAGAGCAAAATGGGAACCAAAAATCGACTGTGATGAAACTGACTCTATGATGCAAATTAATAAGATAACAATGAAAAAGTAAAATATGCTATTTTTTCCTAAAACTATTGACCATCTGTTCAGAATATTTCATTTTTTCTGACAAAGATAGAATTAAAGTAATAAATTTCAACACTTCCTAAACATACCATGCAGTGCACCTTTAAAGTTAACCTGCATGAGAAACAATTAATACAAATTATTCCCAGGAGGAAAGGATAGAGAAAGAAGGCTTGTTATCATTAATTTGTTTTAAATGCATATTTGCAATATTATCACCAACTATATGTCTCTTTAGCTTAATAAAAAAAAAAAGATTTTTCCTTCTTCATAGAATTGGCAAAACCCCCTATCAACCCTTACAAGCTTAATTAAAGCAGTCTACATTAATGAGAACTTTGTCGTTCAGTTTAAGGGACTGACAGTTTCATGGGATGGGGTACTTAAAATTAGTAAAAATAAACAACATCAGCATAGGTAACAGTAATTCTCTTGACTCTGTTTTTAATGAAACAGAGGATACTACAATTCAAACTATTTCTTAAAGTAATTTAAACTGAAATCCCTTTTAAAACTATAACATATTCCCATACAACATTAATTAAAAAACATCTAAATCATCCTGTAGCTGTAAAAGTGTCTGCCCTGACTAAGTAAAATCTGTTAAAGTACCATTGTTAGAGTACCTGTTTAAGCACTAATTAAAAGCACTATTGTTAAAGTACCTGAGCTTATGCAATTTGCCCTGCTTATGTTAAGTAATGGCCACAGACTGAAAAAAAAACCTCCTTCTTGGAAACTTATAACCATGGAAACTACACAAAGGTCCAACATCTCAAGTTACCATTAGCTAATTCTTATCATTACCAGGAATAAAAGAGCAATTTTTGGCCCAATAATAGCCAGCAAACTCTGTTAGTTTGCTGTGACTTTCATACTTGTCATCTTACATTATTCATATTTGTAAAGAAGAAAGTCCTTCATTATAATTGAGACTGGTAGCTTAGATATATCTTGAAGTCGTTTGGCACCAAGTGCTTCCCGAATGACAAAACGGCAGGAATCTTGTAGACTCCTTGGATTTTCTGAAAATAATAATAACAAATTTCCTTTTTATTTTTACTTAACAGGTAATGCACCTATAGTTTATAATTTCAGGATTAATCAACAAATAATCAATTTTGTTCAGTTTTGCCTTTTGCGAGTTGGAAACTTCAAGCTAACAAGAAACATTCCAGTAGGGTAGAATAAGCTCCTACAAACTATCCATGCCACAAAATTGACAGGAATTGAGTTCAATAAGTCACTTAAACTTATTGAATATGACAGATGGTAAAGTTTGAGCTTAGCAGCAGAATGGAGAAAGATTTTAATTGACTTATCTGAGTGAAGGACAAAATATAACTACACCAATTCACATCCCTTGAGATGAGCTGATTTTATATTCTCTCTGTAACCATTTGGTTACTTTACAAATGTTTGACCTTAATCCTGTATAGCATATGCAGAACTGCAGTACTACACACAACAAAGGTCTTTATTGTACATTCATGTACACTTCTAATAATATTTTGGTGAGTGTAATCAGGAAACAGAAATAGCCTTGCACATTCTGAATTATGAAAACAAGTACAAATGATTATATACACAACTAAGCATAGTAAAATACATAAAATGAATCACTGAAAAGGGTGAAGATCATGGAAAGAGGAAAGTGTGACATGTCCTCTTTTCTTGGAAGACATACATCAGCACCACTCATTTGCATTGCCCCTTTTTCATGACCATTTTCTTTTCAAGGCCATTAATAACAATGCCTCCCCTTTACCAAAAAAAATATTTAAACATTTAAAAATGTTTAAATATTTTTTTAAAAGTACTAAATTTCTTGCAGTTGACAATATTCTTCACTAGTTTGCATCATTCTTAATGCCATGTTCCACTTCTTCCAGCAAGCATTCTCTTTGTAAAAGTAATTGACAGCCTCACACCAACTGAAATTTAGTCTTGTCACATAAATATTTATGATCAAGGAGTACGATTTACTTTTCCTAAAATCAATTTTCTCTCCTAAGTCTAATCAAATTACATTTCTCAAGGTAACTATGGATGAGAAATTTACCTGCATAAAATAAATGTAAAAAGAAGAGTTGATTATTCTTAGTGTGCAAGAATGAGAGATACATTTCAAAGTGGAAGTTTGCCTTTTTCCCAAAATAGGTTTTTGCTAACGTCGATTATTTACATGTACACTTACTTGACACGCTGCTGAGAAAATCCAAACAGTCTCTATCGATTGAGTTTAGGTTGTACATCATCCTTGATATCGATAGAGGTGTAAGTCCTTCATCGTTGTAAACATTTATATCTGCTCCAAACTTATAGAGCAAGCGTGCCAAAGGTTCACTGTTCCTTAATGCGGCTAAATGGAGAGGAGTTTGGCCATCCTCAGGCCTTTTGATACTTGTGAGAGCGCCGTGTTCAACCAACATTCGTACACAATTAACGTTACCTTTAATAACAGCATAACGAAGGGGGAATCCAAATTGAACATCAATGTTAGCTCCCCAGTTTAACAAGACACGAATTGAACTCGTCCTTTCACGAATAATGGCTAGTTGAAGAGCTGTCGTGCCTTTGTCGCTTAACGCGTCTACAAAACCTTTTGATTCTAAAAGAAGCTCAACAAACGAGTCTCTACCGTAGTGTGCAGCCACATGTAACGGCGTCCAACCATCCTCACTTCTTGCATCGACGAGCTTTTCTTTGTCTAATCCTTTGAAATCTAACAACAGTTTTGCGATTCTTGTCCGTCCGTGCATGGCGGCGTAATGAAGAGCGGTGAAACCTCCGACGAAATCTCGCGCAAATGCATCGCCTCCTTTCTCGAGGAGCACTCTTAGAGCGCGTTCTTTCCCTCTACTAGCAGCTAAATGAAGAAGCGTCCAGCCATTGCCATCCATCTGGTTGGCAGAGCAACCATCTTTGATGAGATCCCGCACGAGTTTTACATTCCCACTAGCAACAGCCTTTCTGAGTCGCTCTGCAGGACTATCAATCGATCCTTCCCTTCTTCTCGGTCGTTTTCTTGACATTATGAATACCTAAGAACACCGCAACGTATCGATCATGTTCTTATTTTACCTTCTGATGAACAATATTCTCACTGTTTTTTTAAACTGATTAGTCAACACTTTCGAATGACTCTTCGAACGCCATTCTTCCTTCCCAGCATACAACGCGGGTATACCCAATCGAAACCCGCAGTACGAAAACACAGTGGGCTCTAAATCACTAAGTGGAAAAACAAAATGGCGTCCCTTGCGACCTGGAAAAACTAAAAGTTCGAAAAATTATTTCCTGTAGCAGATAGATGACACAAGAACTTAGCTATATGCAGCTCAAGACTGCGAATGAAGCAAGACAAGCGGTAAGAATTTTCACTAGAATATTGTTTTATTATTGTTTGGCTTTATATAAAATTTTCGAAAACAAATATAAAATTTCAGCTTAGTTACTGTATTTATCTTGATAGGAAGAACAACGATGCGAACAGCGGAAAAGAACTCTATTGGTACTTATCACCCATTACTTACGAGAAGAGGGGTAAGTCGGAAAATAGCTCGTGTGCAATAGTCAGAATCCAGGGTTATAAAATAAAGCGTAATTGACAATTAAGCTAAAACTGTATTGTCCTCCGTTAGAATTAAATTAGAAATCGACTTTCTTCAGAATTACATTTTCTTTCTGCAGTTATATTGATTCCGCTCATGCTCTCGAGAAAGAAGGTGGTGCAAGTTTAACCAAGTATGAAGTCTGCGACAACATTGACTTGCCAACAATTTTACAGGTAATATAATTTTCTAAGTATCTAGATATTGGTACTTGTAAGCTCGATAACACGAAGAAACCAAAATAGATGGTAGTCTACATAGTTTCTCCTTCTTTCTTTCCTTCTTTAGTCTTCAACTGGACATTTTCTCTTCCCCTTAGTATCTGGTACAATTATAAAAATCCTTTGGCAAGAATCATTTTTCTGTGACTTTTTTGCAGGAATTTGAGTCGTATCATTTGGTAAAGTTTAATAGAGGGCCGAAAATTATAAAGAAAAAGGTGACAAGTGGTAAGGACACTTTTTTTACGAGTCTAATAAAATTTCTAATTAAACATAACAGTTCTCTTGCTTTTAATATTTACGTTAAGCCTCGAAATCTAATTTATTGACTGATTTAAATTTCAGCCGATACCAACAGGGCATTGCCTCCAAAGCCAAAATCTTTATCTGGAAGGTAAATGATACTTAATTATTACCAAGCCACAAATCATCCCAGGTCCCAGTTGTTACAAGAGTGGATAATGCTATCCACAGGATAAATCTCTACTCAGTGGATAGCACATTACTTATTGTTTTAACAATACTTAATACTTAATTGTTAAAAAAATTATCCTCTTAATGGCAATGTATCCAATGGATAGAGTTATCTGCCTTTTGAACAACTAGGCTCAAATGAATATACAATTATTCATGCCTGTCTGTTCACATACTTTTCTTGTACATCAGCATCCCTTTCCATGCCCCCACAGCTGATCAGAGTAGGATTGCATGTTTATAATGCAGTAAATGAAATTTAACAGGGTTAACAGCAAAGAGCATCAGCATTCTCTAGAAGTCAATGGTTTTTGTATCTGCACATGCTTCAGAATTCCTCTTTGTTTGAGATGTTCTTACACATGCTTTGAACGTCAACTTTCAGTGTTGCTTGGAGTAGCAGCTCATGCTCCAATCAGTTTTCCCCACCCCTTCCCTCTCTCTTTCAACTGTTTATTCAGTGTGACAGGTGCCTGTTTCCCTTTCCTGTGTGGGGGCTCATGGCTGAGTTGCCAGGATTTGCTAGCTATGGGAGCAGTCTCCATCTAGGAGCTGGTTGCCATTAGTGAAAGCTCATGGATGTCTCAGGCACCCAACCTCCACTTGGCGATGCAGTTGTTAACATATAATCAATCTCAGTTCATAACTAGTTGTGAGTAGATGAGGCATATGCTTTTGAATGCCTTTTTATCAGCTCTCGTAGCAGTTCTGTGTCACTTCCAAGTATTAATGGCCATTCAGGATCAACAGATAGTTCTCAGTCCCCAAGTTCATCAAAAAGACCCAGTAGTGATGGCAAAAGAAAAACATCAACTACAAAACAGAGACAACAAGAGGTAGAATGTGTGTGAAGTTACTATTTAGAAATGAAAGTTTTAGGAAATACTGTGAACTCCAGAAGCTGATACATATGACACAATCTAGACCATGTTAATATGTAGAACCTGAGGGTATTATAACTGATTTCGGCTTTCACCATCCATGCTTCTATGTGAACTTTTTATTTTGTTTTATTACTTTGTATTACTTTGTTCTTTATTTTGTGCTATGAAGTTCTATTTTGGAGCGTATTATTGTCTATGGTTATTTGTGACTGCAATTTATATTCTATGATAATAATTAAAGGTAACAATAATTATGAATATATTAATTTAAGCTTCAGGAAAGAAGATTACAAATGACTGTTGTAAATTTGTGGTGGTCCTAATCAAGTTATCATCATGAATTACAGCTCTTTACATACACAATTTTTAATCAGAATCTGCTTTACCTTAATGTTTCACACACACTATTTTCCAGAAAAATGGCTCACCTCCTGGCAATGGCCTTGCATCAGCCACAAATTCAGAGTTGAACCTGGCAGGAACATCAATAACAAACACTTCTAGGAATCCATCAAACCAAAATACTCATGGAAAGGTGGAGAAAATTAGATAAAGAATTAGATCAAATACTGTGGGAAGACTCACCTCTATTCATGTAGTTTCAAGGCACAGTTTACAAAAATATCCAGCTTTGCACGATAATATCATCTTAAAATCTTTATTGCCTTGAATTTGGAATTATGGACAAGAGTTAATTACTTTCTGTTTTAGAATCTGAATACATATTGTTACAAGGCTTTAAATTTAAGACCCTTTGATACCACAGTAATAATTATAATCAAGTTTTAGATTTAAACATAAATATCAACCCTCAAATTCAACCCATGGTTATCATAAAAATTGAACATAATATTATTTATTTGGTGCAAGGTCCATGAAATTCTAAATATGAACACTTTTTTTTTTTAAGAATGTTATTATTGATATGAGAGCCATGTTGAATAATGCTGTCAAAGGTGAATATATGGCAGTTACAGATCCCTCAGTAAGTTTACCCTTATTGTATTAATACAATGTAGAAACATAAGGAATTAGAAATAAAACTTGCAGAACACATCAATTTCCTTTAATTTACACTTAAGATAGATTCCCTGTTTCCTTAAAGTTTATGAAATGATATATTTCAGTCTCCATTCGCAGTGACTGGTTTGAATCTAAAACAATACTTCATTGAGTGAAGGGTTTTTTCCAGAAAAGAGTCTTAATGAGAGAGACTTTAATTTGTAGGTTGTCTAATGACTCAGCTAGAACCTTAATGGAAATCATTACCAGGGTCAACTGAGAAAGAGGTCGGGGTGGAGGAGGGGTAGCCTGTGTAAGAAAAAATGGAATCTCATCCAGGGAGAGGAGCAATACTCCAATAGAAATTACATCATGATTAAGAAACTAAGGATAACTAAAGTTAATCTCTGGCTGAAGGGACTACATGTAGACTTTTTCGCTGCATTGTAGGATTTGTAAAATTATTAATATTATGGTAATGACTACACATTACTGTTACTGAGATGATGAATTTTTTTCTGTAGGAAAGACTATTGAAGCCTCTTGGTGGATTTGCTGGACTAACAGGAGAATGGAGAGACTTGGCTGCTGTCATCAGCAGGGTATGTTTCTGTTACTTAATTTTCATTGAGTTTAAAGCATGATAATTTGTGTAATTCTTGAGCAGCTTTTCTGTCATAGCTGATTAGTATATTTTTTTACACATTAAAGTGTAAAGAAATCAGAAATGAAATGAAATAAAAAATGAAGCCACTGAACAAAAACTTTGAGCAAGCAGAGTAGCACCTGAGTGACAGCAACCAGTGTAACTTCCTGTAGAATGAATCTCTGGACTAGTTGACAGATTTTCTCCTGCCAAGAGTACAACATACTTAAGCTCAGTCTTGAAAAAACTAGACCAGCCACGGTGTATTAGACCAGACAATACTCCTCCCTACATTTCCTCTCAGGAGGGAAAGAGGACAGGACTTTGGAGGCTACATACCAATGGAGCCTCTTTGAGAATCAAACTCAGGCACATTTGTTTGTGGTGCAGACTTACCACATTGCTGTCTATCTTCTCTGGTAGCGACCAAGTAGTACAGTGATATATGAATTAGGTGGTGTTACAGTCAATTTGATTCAGTCTTCATGTGGGGATTCCTTCTAACAGGATATTTACCTTCATGACCCTGATGTAAGATGGGATGACATCATTGGCTTGGATGCTGCTAAGAGGCTTGTTAAGGAAGCTGTAGTCTATCCAATCAAGGTTGGTCTGTCACCTGTGATCTCTGTCTTTGTTTTGTCACAGAAAACTATAAACAAGTTCCTATCACCCAACTGTAAAGAAGTTCCAGAATTTCAAGAAGTACTCCAACCACAGAGAAGTTTTGACTGCTTTAAGTGACCCTTAATTAGCTGCAAAATTTTCCCAGTCTCTGGACAAAAGCCAAAATTGTGCAAGGTTATGCTTTATTTTGGGGCAGTAGAAGTGTCATTCAAAGGTCTGCATTTTGTCTCTAAATAATTCGCAATTGAACCATGCTCCAATTCAGGCAAAGAATACATATCAAGGTTAAACAGGAGTTGTTTGGTATTGAGTTTCGTATTTAATGCTAAATTTCTTCTTTTTATTTTCAGTACCCTCAGCTCTTCACTGGCATTTTGTCCCCCTGGAAAGGACTCTTATTATATGGACCACCAGGTTAGATAAAATTTGGAAATTGTTTTTAACTGAGTGAGAGTTTCTGTTATTGTGTTCTTGAAACCATCGTTATTGATTCTGTGAATTTGTGTGTTCAGACTTTAAAGAATTAGGTTATTAAATCAACGTTTAGACTATTCGCGTACTGTCTTTGCGTATAGGTAACCACTTATTAAACGAATCGACAGGTTTGCGGTTTCAAAGACACATTTTTTAGTAGAGGCACTTACTTATTTATATTTTCATCCTTGTAAGGAACCGGAAAGACCCTGCTGGCCAAAGCTGTGGCAACAGAATGCAAGACGACGTTTTTTAACATATCAGCCTCGTCCATTGTGAGCAAGTGGCGAGGGGACTCAGAGAAACTTGTTCGGGTATTAATGTCATTGTTACTGTTGTTGTCTTTATTGCCAAAAAAAAAAACAAAAAAAAAAAAAGAGAACTTTTAACCCAATCCTTCTACATTCTATTCCGGTAATTGAGATGATCATTGATTCCAAAGATCAAGCGCCATTATTATTATCAGGGAATTTCGCGGTACTCTCTCAATCAATCAGATGCAAAACTACTTTCAATCGCGACTTGGTCACTCGCGTTTTCTCGCGTTTCATGCAGTTTGCTCGTTTTTACTTTGTATTTTCATTGGCTTTTTGTGATATCTCCTTTTTGTTCTGATTGACCGTCTTGATAACTTTGGTTTTGGCATTACAACTTTCAATCCAAAAGTCCTCTGTTACAATATCCGCCTGTTGTAGAACATCACATTCAGGCACACATATTTTTGTTACAGTTATTTATTTAATATGTTTCTATTTAAGGTTTTATTTGAGCTTGCGCGCTTTCATGCACCGTCCACTATCTTTCTTGATGAGCTGGAATCTCTGATGAGTCAACGGGGAGCAGGTGGAGGAGGGTGAGTGAAGACCAAAATGACTGAAGGGAGGATACATGTACATGTAGTTAGTAATCGAATCACAATGGCTGTATTTCGTTTTGTAGAAGCGAGCACGAAGGTAGCAAGCGAATGAAGACAGAACTGCTCGTACAGATGGATGGTCTGGCAAGATCAGATGATCTAGTGTTTCTCCTGGCTGCTTCAAACTTACCATGGTATCAGTGACAGTAAATTATTTTTAAAAACACATGGGTATCTGACAATCGTCGGCTGAGGGATTGTTTTCAGAGACGAAGGCTGACGTGAGCAAAAGTCGTCAGTTTGAAGCGGATATTTGCTTAGTTTATCTGCATACACTAAAACTATGGCGCCAGATTAAATTCACCTTGTGTCAGCTCGCCTATGAGGCGATGATACTCAGGCGAGTTAACGACCGAATGCCATAAAAGTGTGTTTATCTCTAACATTGCATTCTGATTCATTCCATAGGGAGCTTGATCATGCAATGCTACGTCGTTTAGAAAAGCGAATTCTCGTCGACCTTCCTAGTTTAGAGGCTAGGGAAGCCATGTTGAAACAATACCTACCTCCGTCAATTCACTCAGGGGAAGGAAGTGTGGAGATAAAAACAGAGATCGACTATGGAGAACTGGCAAAGGTAACAATGCAACCATCACACGAGAATATCCTCATGATAACCTTAAGTGTTTACAGTTTCTCTTCAATCCGTCATCTCCTTCCCATGAGGGGTATATCGCCCTTGTGTCCCTTGGTGAAGGGAGAGGGGAGAGGGGGAGGCGAGAACAGGATTGGGACATATTCTCGAAACATCTATGATTTGTAGAAGATTTCCCCGTTCGGTGGACCATTTACGTTATCAACGTAGGTGTCTACACTAAAGTAAGCAGCTGACCACATAATCCGTTAATTAACTCTGTTGGTCTGCTTGTTCTTTTCAGCGCACAGAGGGTTACTCGGGCTCTGACATTCGCCTTCTTTGTAAGGAAGCAGCCATGAGGAAAGTCAGGAAGATATTCGACCTGTTAGAGAGTCACCAAGCTGGTAGGCACGTCATAAATTTAAATAGCAGTTGCATCTCTCTATGTGGAGATTCTACTTACTACAATAGGGAAGAGTTAGAAGGCGATTAGAGGCAGGTCATTAGATATCTCATCTCTTTAATTTTTGTGAAAACAGAAGCAGGGTTTTATTTTTCGTTACCCCGTATCATGTTGCACAGTATTTCCCTCATTTGGATCCCAGTCCAATTTAGTGTGTGCGCTTGTGATCTATGAATTTGGTTTTCTTCTTTGTTACTCCAGGTAATAAATTAATTTTTAATTTTTGTCACCCTAAGTTTGCTTTTAAGTCCTTCCTTCTCCCCCCACTCCTCCCCCCTGCCCCGCCCTGTTCCTTCAGTTTTCCTTAAGTACACAAAGTAAGCTGGAGATTCCTATTTCATATTGGTTAATGGGAAGAAATTGGGAGAAATTGAGTGTGAACATAGTAGTTGTAGGTGCAAAGCCACCCTATTTTAAAAGTAACATCATTGTTAGTCAGTTTCTCCAAAAGTTTCCGTTATTGTTCACACAGAGGGATCAGACGGCCGTGCAACACCGCTGCCAAGACTGGAAATTGAGCCCGTGAACACTGATGACGTAGATGCTGCGTTGAAACACACAAAACCATCCGCCAGGCAGCTAAAAGGCAAATACCAAGACTGGCAAAAGGAGTACGAATCCGTGTGATGAAGTAGAGAGACAACGTAAGCGTCATCCACCATATGGTCCACTAATGTGACTTTTCATCATCGCCATGGTAACACAAAGATGATCATCTGAAATGTTTGCCAGTGATTGTCACTGCTCAGCGGTATCCAACCAACGTGTCTTCAGAGTCGTTCACAATTAGTCACCAGTGTTATTTATAGAATGAACCTGAATGTATATACAGCTCTCGATAGATATGTGTCCATATGGACTGAATCGCGGGAAACGTGTGCTATTTGTTGACAGCCTCAACAAGAGGTCCAGCTAGATTACATGATGATCACACCCGCGCAATGTTTATGGAATTTCTACTGAATGCATATTTATTTTTCGTCTATTCTGCCTCAGTGACATCAACAAAATTATCATTATAAAATTCTCTTTCAATGAAATGATACATTGTGGAGAGTTATTTTGGAAGAGTAAAGTATCTATTAACCAAAACTAAATCAATCTTGCAGCCAGTTAGAAAAGTAGTGAATATTAGAGTTAGCTCGCGAGAGGTGAAAGCTAGTGAACGTATCCGACCGCGATTTGTTTAGAGAGAGATAAAAATTTCGTTGTAGGCAACCCCAAGGTGCAGTAATCCTCGACAGTTTTTCTCTCATAGTACGCCGTAATCACCTGAGAAATTTTATTAACAAGAAATAGTGGATGGGAAATACAGTCAGATTGTGAGATTAATTTTCCAAACGTTTGTGTTACGAACTTCAGATAAAGCAGCACACACGGGATACAATGTTTATATGGAGTAAAAGCTTCCGCTCCAGGATTTCCTAAACATGAAGATAGATTGATGCTGTTTCTGAGTTTTTTATTTTGTAAATAAACAGATTCGTTTGAGATTCTTCAAGATTTGAGCTGAGATTACCTAGCATCGGACGAATGCAGCGACGTCTGTATTTTATGGCCGAGAGTGAAATATTTTCCGTCCGGCCTGACCGCCTAGTCAATAAGCAGTTTATATACCCCCTCTCTTTATTCTTCCTCTCCTCTTCTGGCCTCAGTATCTTGCGAGGCTGTACGTTGCGCCGTGCGAGTATTTACGACCCTGCTCTCGCCATCACGTGTGGCCCAAATACAGAGATGTTTTTAATGTTTTTGTTTTTGTTTCTGCTTTTTTTTTTCTTTTTCGCTTTTTTGTTTTTGTTTGTTTTTTTTCAGTGAAGATGCCCATGGTGTCTTATGGGTCTTATGGTAATAAACTTAGACTTAGCCCATTGAAAAATCGTTTCTAGCCAGGTCATGTCCTCCAATGCGCATTGATGAGATGATGGCGAAGAAGAGAACTGTGCCAAAATTAGATATAGATATTGTGATCATGGCGAGTCAACTGATTTTCCGCCACAGGTGATTACGGGGTTTCAAATGTTTTACGTCCATCTTGGTGAATATACTACATGCCGACCACCTAATAAAATTATAGATATGTTTACGAAAATATGGTGATTTGCATTGAGGTTACATAGTCGAACGTAAGTCCTCTCGACGGATAAAACTGTTTTATGTCAATTCTTTTTTAAGTTCAAAAATTTGAATGAGGTTGGACAGTTAGCACTTTTTTGACGGCCATTGAATAAGCGTGCCAAAAATATTGATTTAAATGGACCACGTGTTGAGATATAAATAATTTAATCGCGCAAAACGAGAAAAACTAGCAATTTTTCCCTTTAAAGCTTAAAAATTAGGAGTTTCCTCTCAGGTAACACTTAAAAATATTAAAAGGCCTAACCTTGGAAAATTCGAAAGAAGAAATCGTCTCTCTTTTGTGGTCACATCAGTGAACTTTTTTTATATCAAATGTAAGTACTACCCTATTTAATGCATTTCTTCCAATATATATAATTTTGGATATCAGATAAAAGATTCTCTGTAGCTGCTGACTGACACATCCCTCCACTTAGATATAAAAACAAATATTTACAAAGCGGAAATACATTAAGGACTGACCAGATCCCGGAGGTTGATTTAAACGGAGCGTCACTTAATTCTCCCTTCATCCATTGCAATCCGCTAAGTAGTATTGGGATTATAATGTGCTTCACTTACTGCCAAAGGGTGTTAACTGCTTGCAAAAAATACCATATTGAGATCACCGATCCATTTTGAAGAGAAAGTGTCGATAACCCTTAAGATACGTCCTGTTTATGGGGTTTAACGGGCTCGACTGAGAAGAGCAAACTCATTTCAAGGCTGTTTCCTCAGTCAAATGTTTTCGTATGGGTTGCTATTTCTCAAGTTAGCTTTTTCAGTCGACTAGCTTCCTAAGAAGTATTATGTGATTCTATTAAAACATTTTTTTTCTGTAGACGAGGAAGGGAATGCATTTTCGAATGCCACTCTTATTCAAGCCTCCAGCTCGATAATTTATATTTTCATAGGCTTTATCACCGGAAATTCGCCTATGTTCTTTGTATCAACCATATCTGAACCGATGACAACGAGCACCTACATTAACATCAGACAACTGCTGACCTTTAAGTGAACATTATTTCTTATCATCCCGTTGCGTAGTTTTAAACTTTTTTTCCTCTTAAATTTTCAGATGCTGACCAAATTTTTTCTTCATCTGATTGTCATCTTGTCGCTGTTAGTCATCGCAAGTCACGCAGGTGGGTGCGAACACCTGTTTTTGTAGGAAACGTGATCTAGACTTGGCTATTTTTTAAGATAATGATGTGACCTGAGGAAAAGAAACGAGGTTGTATGATGTTATACCGCAAATTCGCCATCTAAAATAGAGGTTTCCTTGAAATTTAAACCTGAGATTTATTCATTCACCGGTTTTTAAGGGCTATACAGAACATTTCACTATGGCGGATTGACACACCAGGTGATTCATGGCACCTATCACAGCTATCGTCGTAAATAGCCTACCGTAGCCTTCTACACGCCGAAGGCAAATTTCGTTATTTACTGCGATCGGGTGTACAAATAGTGAACTACCTATATCTAGAAATCAGTAATTCACCTTCGCTCTTCCTTGCGAATCACCAATACGGTCAATTAATCAAGATTGGCGACTAGATCTCGTGACTAAGAACAAAGAAGATGAGCTTAGAGGTCACAATATGCAATATGCAATAGCTTGTAAAATCACTTGCATTGTATGTCTTCAGCTTGACTGTCAAACCTTTATGCTGGGAAATGAAGTATAATTGACAATTATTCAACGAGCGCGCGTTGGATATGAGATGATAGACACTCAAAGAGGCCCGTGGAGCCGAGTTTGCCATAATCATCTTATCAATGTCCAGCAAGCCCAAGTGGAATGTGTTATTTAAAAAGCCCCAAATTATGGATAAATATTCCCAACTTTATTTTGTAAACTTTATATTTTGACATGTACACTCACTATATTTGTTGAGCATGCATGGTGTAATGGCTCATAAGCCATAATGGCTAAGCCAATGAAAACTCATGAATTGCGTTATCCAATGATCCAGTTTCTAATAATGAAGTATAATCTATCACTGCTACATAAACTGCTTTTATATGACTCGTAAAAATCATTTACTGAAAATAAAGGAAATTTGCAATACACCTATTTTATATGATTTTCGGCCTGAAAAACTGGTGCTTTTGACAGCTTTACTTTCCATGACAAGAAAGTCATCGAATGGCTTCCATTGGGGTCGAGCCATTTTGAGAATTTAGACAATTTATAAACCTTCTAGTTGTCTCTTACAGGTAGTATCGCAAAGGTTGTTGACCACAGTAAAGGAGTGTACATGCACGATCATCCTGATTTCCCATCGGTCATGGGAGGTAAGCATGTCGAACTCTGGATGAAATATTGAAACAATTACATTAAATTAAACTCAACAACTCTTCCACACTGTAGTTTACCTATACAAGTCAACCCATTATAATGTTAACAGATTTGTGAAATCGAAATGGTTTAAATGTCTCAGAATAAATTCAAAGTCATTGAAATTTGTCTATGAAGGTCAGGAGTGGATGAACTCATAATCTCGCGACAATATCTTTATCCATATACAGTAGAGTTTGTTTGCTGATACTGTTGTTAACCAATGAATTTGTATGAATAGAATGGCCAGAACTGACCAGTGTAGACACTTCCGACTTATTGCCGCTACCCCTCGATCCAGGTTGTGCTAGATCAAAGAGACGTTTAAGAATGATATTAACAAAATGAGATCGAGGATCAAGTTTGTATAATATGTTAAATTCGCATAGGTGGGAGCTTATCATTGATCATTGTTATTATCTGTTATCATCATGGCCATGATGACGCCATTTTAGCTTTGCTACTCCTTGCAAGACCTAAAGCTACTCTCCAGCTTTTTGCGGGAGTCCTGGGCTGAGTGAGGCATGTTGAGATTAAGGCGACTTGCCCAGGGAACACAACACAATGAAACTGCCTGGGCTCTAACCTAGATGCGCAGTAGACCAAAGCATCAAACATGAGCCTCCCATACTGATCTCAAATGGCTTCTCTTGAAAATTCCGGCAATATATCATCTGGCAAACAAGTGATGAGGATAGACAGACTCGCCAACTTGACACAATTATCTTGATGTAACAGAAAATTCTCCCAACAAACTTACGAGAAAATTCTTAGAAGCTGGCAGCAAGAATTACTAATCAGATCATTACCTTATAACCAGGGCCCGGCGGTCCATACCGCACTCACTACCTTCATTCTCGGTTTGGAATTGGTCACAGACGGAGGCGTGCAATAACGAATCTTCAGGTATTTTTTGACAGTTTTTAACCTTTCAAAAACAACTGACAGAAATCCTCATAAAATTGAGTAGAAAAATAATCAAACGCACGCAAACCGAAAAACACTAAAAGAACAACAAGAAGACTGACAAACAAAAATAAAAAAGAATATAGAATAAGATAAAAATCACTTACTTTAAATTCAAAATTCCTTGTTATAGAATTTAACTTCAAAGAATTATCAAAAAACATTAATTTTTGCTTTCTTTATTAATCAGGTCCAAAATGAGGCAAGATAGATTCTGATTTGTACAAGAAATTTTCTGCTGAATTTCATTCATGGCATGAAAGTAGGAACATATTAAGAGAAACTGAGCTCACAGAATTGTGGTGTAATGACTACGCAATTATGAGAGCTCCGAGCATTTTTTACGACTAGATATCATATTAAATATATCTTAATTGACGTCTCTGATTCAAGACACTAATTTCTTCCCAGATCCGTTATCATTTGATTGTTAACATGCATTCAAAGAAATTTTGTAGTCAGTGTTCAAGAGATTTAACAGGTTTTGCTTCACCTCGCATTGTAATTGGTCTAGCAACTTTATGCGATCCTTTGATCCATCAAATGTAAATAAAATTAATGGTGAAATAAAAACGGTTATATGAAAAATTAAGCCCAAAGAAGATAAAAAAGGGACCATTCACTTCACCTCTGAAATTTCTCAACAAATTTTCTTTATTTCCTTTTCAGCCTTGCGCATCATGATAAAAAATATAGTGCATTCAAAATGGTCTTTTTAAAACAATTATTTCAACATCTTCAGTGTATAAACAAGGTTTCAAAAATTACATCATTTAAATGGAACGCTGTACATATCTTCAACAGGCGGGTTACAAAAAGATGCAAACGTGTAAAAGCGTAATTCAAATCCTTAAACGGATTACAACTAACAACTCTAACCACAAAATATTGATGCTTATCAGTGGGAGAATATTTACACTTCTCGAAGCGAACTTATGGTTTTAAATTACACTGCAAACATATTGTCTCATGACACACATATACAGTAAGTGGGTTGTCACGTGTCATCGTCGGATGACTGCTCTAAAGCATTTTTGGGAAACCCGGATGTAGCATGATCCGGCTGCGTCTAAGATAAAAAGATAAATGCAAATTGACTTCAGAAGAAAGAAATCTGTAACCCAAGTGCTTTCCATTTTAGATTTTTTAACCAAACAGGACACTCCATCTCGTTCTGTTATAACCAATATAACAGGAATCAAACGAACTCTCGAGACAAATTTCAAACTTTGCTGAGGGAGGCAAATATCAATTATCCAATAATAACAATAATAAGAAAGAGGGTCGAAGGAAGGTTAATTCGGGTCGACAAAAAGGGAAGGTTTGGGTCGGGTCGTCAAACAGGAGAGGTTTGGATCGGGTCGACTAAAAAGGGGAGGTTTGGGTGGGGTCGACAAACAGGAGGTTTGGGTCGGGTCGACAAAAAAGGGGAGGTTTGGGACGGGTCGACAAAAAGGTGAGGTTTGGCTCGGGTCGCGTGACGAGCTGAATATTCTAGACCCCTCTCTCTTGAATCCTTTTGTAGAAATCAGAATAGCTATGATATTCAGGTCTAAACGTAGTTGAGAACATTTGAGCAACTCTTCTATCGCGACTTTCTAATACGGAGACACTGGGTGTTAAAAAAACTAATTCTCTTACCATCAAGTCGAGAAGTCGATCGCTGATCATCTTAATGTCTTGGTTTTTCAAAACAAGATCATTTTTTAAGCTGACGGAAACAAAGGACAACGGTGATCAGTGATATCACTACAGAACCTTGCCTCTAACTATTTAATACGTGAATAAAGACGCAAAATTTAAAAATAAATAAATGACAGAACGAAACGCCCAGAAAGAATTACGAGCACTCAAGACTAGAATCGGTGTATTTGATAGAGCCATAACACGAAATACTAGTTGACCCACAAACAATCTCATTCTGAAAAAGTTTGTGCCAACATCCTAAAGGTGTCATTGCAGAAAGAATATTCTGAAAGTTGACAAGGCAAGCAAGGCAAGCAAGGCAAGCAAGGCAAGCAAGGCAAGCAAGGCAAGCAAAGCAAAGAAAAAGTCTGTACTTCAGCCTATTGGCCCGCTCAGCCTGAGCTTATCCCGGTTTCCTTAACATGAAGCGATTAGGAGTATCACTACTCCCTCCTGGTTGGGATGCTAGTCCATCGCAAGGTTACCCCCCGCATTTTATTAATAAGGAACGAATTGCCAATTTACTCACCGTTCAAGCTTGGCCAGCGCAGCTCGCTTCTGTTTCTGGATTTTCAAGCTCTCTTGCTCAGATGTTTCAAGGACTCTAAAAAAAAAGTCAATTAAATACAATTGCCAGATGCCTTGACCACCGGTTATTCAAGTTTAAAAGAACACTATTTATGAAGATCATACGACATATTTGTACTGCAGGGTAAACATATAAATAGAAGACTTATCATCGCAGTTAAATTCACAACTAATGTTATTCAAAGGTTAAAGTATGGCCTTGAAAAAGAAATAAACGAGTAAACAAATAAATAACTGACATACAGATGGTATATAAATAAAGTAAAAACAAAATAAGTAAATAAATAAGGTAAAAACAAAGCAAAAGAAAACCAATTATTCTCAAAGAAGGAGACTACTTGAATAATACTAGTGTTAAACGGTTAAAATAGAAATATATCTAATCTAAAATCATTGTAAGGATTTCTTATATTGGTGTTGGGAAATGAATGGAAATAATATATTACCATAAGCCATTCAGTAAACATTGTAGTAAGCCAGTTGATCATTTCTTATTCCTTTTGGCGGTCTTATCTTACAGGTAGAATTTCAGTCACCTTTTCCTTATTGTGATCGTAAATTTGACATGGAGACAGATGTTTTTGCGTAAACCGCGGTTTGCAGCTAAATATCGTTATATTTCCATTATGTTGCTAAAAGATGTTTAATTACTAAGAAAATGACTTTACCTTATAAAAATTAATCCTGTACAGGAATTTCCTGTAAATAACCCTCCTTATACTTTTACCTCTTTGATATTCTCGTTTTTAGGCTAAATCCATGTCGAATTCCCGACCACGCAAATAGTTCTTAAATTTTAATTTAGCACGTTCGACACCTCTTTTTCTTAGGTGTCTTTAGGTGTAAATATGTAGTACTTTTCATCTTCTACACTGAATTTATAATCAGGTAGCTTATACGAATAGCACGTAGCTCTTTTAGGGGCGGTACCTTGGGTACGACCTTTCTTCTCCGAATTTTCTGTTTATTCTGCTGTTATGTAACAGTCTTCGAGGACTATTTTCTCTTAAGATATCTTTTCAAGTAGGATTTTAATTCTGTTCATAAGTTCATTATAATTTTTATATTACCAATATTGTTTTTGTTTTGTTCGACCTGGACCGTAAGACTAAGAAATTTTAAGTAGAAAGTCATTTTGTAAAGCGTAAACATCTCGAAGGTACCTAATTAGTATGCGAACTCCGCTCTTCATAGCTTAACGTGATTCGCTAGTTAAGTGTGAAAGGATGACGAAGGTTAGAGATTGACAGCTCCGTAAGCGTCACCTTTATAAGCGGTGACCCACACTCTCCCTGAGAGGTCTGAGTTAGTACTCGTTAGAGTAACTTGTGTAGAAAAGAAGAGAATAAAGAAATAGTCAACAGAACGAGTTTTAGAGTTATACATCGAACACTATTGTGCCTCACCTTTGATAATGATTATTTAACGTTTTTGTTGTCTTTTTACAATCTCGTATAACTTGTTTGTAGCTTGGCGCCGGAGCTCTAGGGACGAGTTAAGGATGTAATTAGTCCAAAAAAAAAGTTATTTTCTTGTGTGAAAGAACTGCGGAATATCTGCTCTGGAAGAATGATCACTTAAAATGCATTAAATGCACCCTAAATAATTATTTCATCATGTGAGTAGGCAAACAGAGACAAACTCGACACGATAGCTCCCCTATAAATGACAAATGGCAGATCAAAGTTATTCTTGATCAACAGGGAAACAAAAAAGCTCCTTCTTAATTTCAAAACAAAGGATACGGTAATTTGGCGATTTCAGTGCGTCCTACAGCCTGAATTGGTTGCTCTTCTTTTCCCATCAGTTCTTTCATCCGCAGGAAATGTGACACCAAAGGACTCCTGCCCAGAAGATTAAAACCGACGCGCTCAAACTCGGGACCTGGGCCGACTTCATGTGACTTGGGAACAAAATATGAAAAATAATGAAAGTGAAATGAGAACAGAACTAATGAAAAAAAAAACCAAAAACAACAACAACAGCAACAGTAACCAACAGGTAAAGGAACTAAGTCACGATTTTTTGCATCTTGGATAATCGAAAAGTTCTCGCTCGTACATTCATCTACCATATTCATCTAAGCCCAAGCATCCTTCATGTTCTTGAACATACTGTTAGAATAAGCAAACTCGATAAAAACGAGAGTGAAGTCTCAAAGTTCTTCATTTAAAGACCATAGTATTGTGAACAAGGTAATTTGGTATTATCGACTGAGTTGATAATACAAATTGGCCACCGTAAAGAGTTTCAAAGCTAACGTTTCGAGCATTAGCCCTTCGTCAGAGCGAATGGAGTTTCACACAGTTTCTTTTTCTTTTTCCACAATTTCTTAAGAAACTTGCCCCGTTTAGTTTGAACAAGGCTAACAGAGGTTCATAACTGATTCACTAGAAGTCTACTCTTATGATGACTAAAACCTAACCCTAAGCTTTAAATCGAAAATCACACTTAACCCTTTAACCCCTGAGAGTGACTAGCATCTAATTTCTCCTTGGAAATAACCCCTCAATGAAACATTAAGGTCATGAGAATAAAAGAAATGATCACCAACTAAAGAAGCTCTTGATTTTTGAACAAATTCTCCTTTTCAGCACCTTTGGAAATGTATAGAGAACAGTATGGAGAATATGCATACTGATTTTAGGGTGTAAAGGGTTAAGGAAATAGCGTCGTTGAAGTGCTCTAAGATAAACTTACTTCTGCATTATCGAACGTTGGAATGATTGTCAGTCCCATTCTGGAGGGGGAGTACGGAGCAGTGTATGTCCCAGCTTTCTCCTTACTGGTGGGGACAGTGTCCAAATCATCCAAGTATGAGTCCAGATCAAACGACATGTTAGCTGAAAATAGTACCAACAAAATGAAAAAGAAACTAATAAACACACACACACACAAACACTCTTAGATTTCTTAACACTTCGAAGCATTTAATTGTTTGGTACGTCCAGACTATATTTCGAACTCTGAGATTACCAACTACAATGACTGCTGTCCCGTCTCACTGAACACGGGAATGTGCTGCAGGGACACACGTGCTTGCATAACCAAGCAGCAGGCATAATGATTACTTGTCATCGTGTTCTACTATTTGCAAAATTCCCTTAGTACCAAATCCTTACCTTTGAGTGACTGAGTCCTATCATCTTGCAGTTCTCGAATATTGCTTGGCTCCAAAAGTTTTAGGTTCCATTTCTTCCACGAGAAGGGTGGCGGCCTGGTACCTGTACATTTTAAGGAGGAGCAGTAAGTGCTTTATTCCTTAATTTCTGTAGAATGACCAACCAGGGTTAATTCTACCCATCTCTGTACAGATGGTATGGCTGTAGCCCATCAAATACGATGCCTGTTCCCACCCCTCCCCCTTCATTCCGTACTCCATAGCCTGCCTACGACCCAATTGGAATAAAAAATAGAAAACTCGTCAAAATCTCTGAAATCAAAATTTTATTTATAGGGTCAAAACCGTGCGCGGCTAAAAAAACGCTGAATAAAATTTTTCCTCTTTTTCTGGCAGTCAATCACATGACATCTGAAGGCTAATAATCCGACTAAGGAGAAATAGGCACTTTTTTATGAAAGCAATGACAATAACTTAAGTAAATGCTCATCACTGACACAGTTAAACTTGGTAAGCAAAGTGCTACAACTTGTTTCATGAGCGTCAAAGACAGATCGCCAAATTGATGACACTAAAGCTACACATTTAGTTTATTCCCATTGCTCGCCATGGCAACCAAAACGGTTGTAGCCTGGAGCGCTGATTTCAAAGCATTTTTTTGTGTACGTTATGTACCTGTCACCCATTCTGAGATGGTGTTCAGAAGAAAACTTTTGAAGTCATCGTCAAACAACTGATAAGATCTTGGGAAAACCTCACAGTATGCAGCGTACACAGCTTGTGCCAGGCAGTCCGGAAAATACTGTCATTTAAAAAAAACCAAACAACATAAAATAACAAGTTGTGTCTACATGCATTGGAGCAGCGCTTTGAAGAGTACTGAATGGATATTCCTGATGGCACTGAAGGCTTACGTAACTTTAGTCAAAAGACCAAGGTAATGGCTTAAGTATCTTTGGAAATTTAACGTAACTTTTTCAAGACCGCCATCTGCAATCCGAGTTAATTTTCTTCATGGTTAACCACCATCGTTCATTTTAGAATAGTTAATACCACTTTTGTGTTCACCTGCCTTAGTAACTGTTATTACCAGGTTCCATTCTGTCTTAAAGTAGCTTTTTACAACACCAAAGTAACAAAAAAAAGTTAAGTGAAACCAAGCGCGCTTAGCTTATAACTGAACTCTTTCTCTTTCTATCTCCTCTTCCGAGGAACTGATGGTATGTCTCTCTCAAGAACGAGGGCATTGCCACACCGAAAAGCTCACAAAAACTTAAAATCAATAGACTAATCACTTTAGTACTTCATGGATTCACAAAGGGATAGGTACAGCACCTTAAAGATGATAGTTTATTTTACCTGAAAGAACCTGTCCTTAAAATCAGGACTAACACCGAAGAACAAAGCAACAAAACTGTCAGCAATTCGGTTAAACAAGCCATCTTGAGCGTCCTTGGAATCAGGCTAAGAAGAGAAAAATCTGAAGTAAACACACAGATCTAGAGAATGTTTCCTTATTTCATCAATACACATACATCACAGCTGGTCTTCCAACTTCAGATCACATAAAGCTTTGTGAAAAATTTAGACAAATCAAGAAGCGAAATGAACTAGAACAAACAATTTTAGGGATTTCGTCAATGAGCGTCTCATGTTTAAGAAGGACTTTACCTGAAATTTTTCCAGAAAGAACCACCAGAAAGTATCCTAAGAAGAAAACAAAAAAAAAGGGATTCAACTAAAGTGAGTTTTAAGATAATGATGCATTAACAAAAATTTTAATGAGAATTTAATATTCCTAGATATGCTATACTAACAGACTGTTTTTCTACAACTGACTGACAAAATGAGTGAACTGATCAAACCAACTAGGCAACTGACCAACTGTCTGATCTTTAAAGTTGTCACTTGGAAAGATGTATGTATTTTTCTTGAAATGAAAGTTGCCTCATGTACCCTATCTCCTATTGATTTTAGCAATACTTTTCCATCTTAAGACAATACATGTAACTCCACTAAATCACATGTCAAATGTTCCCGTGTACTGTATGTCAAAACCAAAACAAAATAATTATGAGCAGTTATAAACAGATGTACCTGCAACAAAATCACAGATCCTTCTGACAAAAACAGTTTCTTCCATCTCTTCCTGAGAATTGACTGGAATAAAATAAAAAGTGGTTGGACACAGATAATTTGACCTGTATGTCTTGGTTCTATCTGACAAACTCATAAATAACTTGGAAAAAAATTTTTTAACTAAATCATCAATTGTTGCAAAAAAAAAAATCCCTCCATAAATCAACAGATTGAAGTAGGAGTTAACACAGAAGATTAATTTGGGTTTTAAAGATCATATGCAAATCAAAGGGTCCTGAGGCTGCTCTCTCGAAGTTCCTGGTCACTTAACAGGCCTGTAAAACTGTTCCACTTCCATTCATGGTATGGTTTTCAAAATTTTGGAAAATGATACATAAGACTATCAGCTAAAAAAGAAACAAAATGGAATGGTTCATGTGGCAGAACCTGCTTTCTATTCTTAGATATTGATTTTAAAATCCACTGCATGGCTGTGGACCCATTAAGTTACTGCGACATTTGAGAAACAGGTGCCTGGGCAAGAAAAAAACTGTAACATGATAACAAATTTGATCAATGAACTAGGTGCTATATAAAACAGCCCAGGACAATATTTGGTCATTAACTGTGAGTAAACAAATTTTTTAAGTCAACAAATTTTTAGAGCTGATCTATCAACCATTACTCCTTTGTTGCAGCAAATACAAATGTAGAAAAAGAACAACTGCAGGTGGCATGGCTTCTTCCTTGTTAATTTCACTTGCTGATAAAGAGAGATTATTCCATAGAAAGTGCGCACGAAACAATTTTAATTCATGAGTAGGAAAGCATAAAAAAAAAAGAAAAAGTGAGCGTGGCAAATGAGTGAGTTTTTGCTGTATCACAACTAGTGAATAAAAATCATTCAAGCACTTTCCATGGTATAATGTTTTTATTCCATACATACTGGCAGAGATTTTTTCACATTTCAATTCAAAGATTGGAAACAAAGAACTACCCATGAAAATACACTGTTGGTCCAATCAGAGACATGAATGATGTAACTTCACAGTGTAAATCTTAGTATATATGAAATAACTTAACTTTCCACATGGTAGATACCTAGACCTCAGAAACCACAACAATTTGTGCCTACATCACACTGACCTACATGACTGAATAAATTTACAGATCAGAATGAAATCCCTGAGTTTCCATGAAATAAATGATACAACTTACAGGGAATTGTTGAGCCTTTGTAACCCTGTTCAATAGCTGAGGTGCTTCCAGTTGGCCTGGTAATGGTGTTACTTCATGAGGAAAAAATCCAGGGTAAGATGTGAACTGTATGTAAGAGGAAAAAGATATCCTGTTCAAACATGCAACAAGAATCAGTGTGGTGTGTAACTTTGAGCACAAGGTGCATAATGAAAATAATTATCATATCACTGGCAGGGCCTGTGGGCAATATGAAGCAAATACTACATTCTTATTGGCTACCGAGGCAGCCAAGATGGGCTAATCAAGTTTGCCTGATGTATGGAGCAGACTTACAAAGTCTAAAGTTTTTTTTTAACAATGCTGGCAATGGAGCCACAAAAAGTGGTAGAAGAAAATCAAAACAAAGGAAAAAATCAACTCTTGTAGATTTATTGTGCTACAAACACAACTGGCTGTCTTTTCCTGCTTGCAGATAACCTAGTCATTCCTGATCTTAATAAATTAAAATATTCTACCATATACTAAATCCCTTATTGACCAAGCATATTCCGTCAAGATGGTTGGATATTAGCGACTTTGTCTCAGGACATAAAAATGGAAAAAAGAGGGCCAATATTTTCCAGCCATCTTGACCTCACACCTGGCCAAAAAGTAAACACATTTGTAGAGTCTGACTGAGCTGTACCTGAACACTTTTCATTCTGTTAGCTTGTTCATCTGCAAGGCCATACTGTTAAAATGAAGACAAACATACATCCAACCTCTGATTTTTGCATAAGATACAATGTTAATTAATGTGCATAACTATGAATCTAAAGGTTCACATCTCCAAAACTCAATTTTCCTTGAATATATTCAAAAGATATCCTGTCCTAAATTTTTATGCACTTCTTGTTAGGATATCAGTCTTCACTGTAGTCAGACTAGGTGTTAAGAAATGCAACATGTAATTATTATACTTAAAAAGTGGTAATTTAACCAAAAACTATTTTTTTTAAATGTCTTTCTTACCAAAGATACAGCTTTTTCCTTTTTGTTTATCACTTCCGCAGGAATATCTGCACTTGTTTGTAAAGCTGCACAAGATAAAAGTATATAGTTTTTTTTATATGTATGTGCATACCCATATATCCAGAGATAAAGTTAAAGAAGTTCCCCAAAAAAAACTTGTTAGCCACAATTATAACAGCTATAAAAAAAGTTAATACTGTAGACCAGCTGACCCTTTATACCCTGACATAAGTACACATATTCTTCATGGTGTTTTTTATAAATGTCCTAAGATGCTGACAAGGAGAATTTCTTAAACAATTGAGACCTTTGTTAGTATATGATCATTTCCATAATCCTTGTGACCTTAACCCTTTAACTCCCATGTGATCCTTCTTGACCTCTCTGAGAAGGAAATAATCTACATCTGTGATGTTTATTTACCTTTCATCATTGCTGGGCTCATTGTCTCAGCTTTACTCTGTGGTCTCTCCTTGTCTGTCAAAACCTGACTTGCATAAACAGTAAGCTTCTTTTCCAATTCTTCTATTTCATTGCTTACCTCATCAATCAAGCCAATGTCCAACGCTTATTAAAAATAACCGAGTTAAGAAAAATCGTCAATTATTTTTCATTCAAAAAACTACTAGGCCCATCAACTAATGTAGCACAGATAAACAATTGTTTCAGAGGATTATTCCTACCAAAGAAAATCTGCTCTTATCATGTTCACTCTCCAATAAATTCGGTTAAGAAATGTACTTTTTCTGTCTTTGATTGGTTCTTTTAATCCTCGTGTGAAGTTACAGTGTATATGCAGATTAAACAGTAACTTCATTGGTGAAGAAAAACTATTATATGACTATAAAACCATAATCGATCATTTGCTGTGTTCTCAACAACTGGCCGGTTGACTATAAATTGACAAAGTCAGACCTGCCATTCTAAGAAATGCGTCGCAGACATTTCAAGCATTTTTCCCTTAGTCATTTGCTCTGATGAAAGACTAACGCTTTCGAAACGTCAGCATTAGAAACTTTTTACGGTGGCCAATTCACTTTATCAACTCAGCTGATAAACCAAATTATATCATGTGTAATACACCACACCGACGCAGCACCGCAGTTTCTTTAGAAATGTATCCCCTTTACTGAAAAATTTATAAATACTTACATCTTGGGAGTGAGAGATTTACTTCAAATACTGTACGTTTCTGTGTTTACGTTTTCTATTGCATGGAGAAGACTGAGATAAATTGAAAGGATACGAGCATGACGCCCCAAATCTTCCATTATTTCTTCTAAACTCCCTAATCCGACGGAAGCAACTGATATTTCAAACTCCTTTCCAATATCCACATCATCGGGCCATCGTTGTAAACCAGCTGGTCTTCTTTCCAACCATTGCTCATACGTTTTCGGCGGCTCAGGGGTCGCCGGCTTGTCGGCATGTTTTTCGGCTTCTCCTTTCTCATCATTTTCGTATTTCGCTAAAATAGCTTGTATTCGAGGATCCATTCTGCTAATTCTAGTGTCAAAGATAGTGTTCGTTGACTTTCTTTTCTGTAAATCAGCATCTGATCACTGTTTTAAGAGAACGTATGTTTTGCCGCCATCTTTAAGCTATGTAACCTGGTCGCCTCTCTTGCAACAAAATGATTGCATAGCAACAACATGATTCTCCCACAATGCACCCGTTGCCGGCTGAACGGACCGAAGGACTAAGGAGAGGATATGAAGTAGCAACAAGACAATATCACTTTATATTCTCTTGATAGCAACAGCTGCTGAGAAAAACAAAATGTCATCTACCAGTGTATCTGTAAGGGATAACGTATTATTCTCACCTTCTCGTTGTTTCCTATCGTAAAACGAAAGACTCCACAAAGAAGGAGATCCCTCTTTAGTGAGGGTAATAAAGTCGATTCATTGTATTCGACGTTAGGAGAACGTTTTTGTTCTTGTCGCCTCTTTCTGAGCGCTGTGCAATTTCACGGTTTGGAAAAGGTTTGGGCGCCATCTTTAACTGGCTGACCATTCGCTCCCATTTCATGCGAGAGCTTTCAATCTCACTGACTAGATGAGGTCCAAACAGATGACTATAAGTGAAATTCATGGCTGTTATGTATAGCGCCTTTTAGTTCAGCAGAAAGCCAGTTCTGCAAGAGACAAAATCTGTTCACTTGCCTTGCTATGCACGTGTACAAACTCATCATGAGGGCACTTAAAATTGAAACCAGGTTTCATTCTTTTTTTTTCGTGGGAATGCGAAAATTCTAGTCGCGCAAGAGTCAGTGATCTTCGTCTTCCTGTTGGCCAGAACCTGTGTCGCTATCGCCATACGCCCTCCTACGAAAATAGGAATGCATTAACGCAGATTAAGGGCCCTTCTAAAGTAATTTAAAATATCTGTACAATGCCATTTTCCTTTAGAACTTTTATTTCGATACCGTGACTGTTTTTTTTTTTTTTTTTTTAGTTCTTCTTAATGAGTAAGTGAGAATTTTAACACGACAGAAGGTAAATAGATCCACCGGGGACATAATAGAATTAGTAACTTATCGACCTGCTTTTCGACCCTATTCGTTTATACAAGCATATCTTACTTTTAAGTACCCTTATACAAAGAAGAAATACCGGTTGCCGTTTCACCGTTTCGTTTGCGGTCTGAGGATCTGAGTAGACTCACGAAATTTATTGCATGCCAAATTTCATCTGCTCTGTCACATCATTAATGAATTTATTTGATTTTCCCTTTCCTGTTTTGTTTTGTCTCATTCCTTCACGTCTTCACTTTTTTCGGCTGGTAAACGCGGAAAACGCTGTCCTCAAATTTAAGGTTTGTAGTTTCATGTGCGGAAACGGAAAACCACTCTTTCCTTGGACTACATATTAAAAATAGATTAAACGAATGTATCACGAAGTGCCGAATGATGACATTTATCGTGCACGACCTGACCATAGCTAACGAATATCTTCCTTCCTAAACATTTTTTTAGCTTACAATATCCTTTAATCAGTAAAGAACTCGTCAGACATAATGATCATGTTTATATGATGAATATTTAGGACTCACTTTAGCTAATTTTGCTGTAATTTAAACAGCTGATTTATGAAACTTACCCGGTTAAAGGTTTGATGATTGAAGTAATAAAGATGCAAACATAACAATCATAATATCATCATTGTTTTAAAAAAAGAAGGAACATACCTGTCAGAGATCAGATCTTGTCAACGCATTTTTCAAATGACAAAGTACCTCAACTTAATCGTTTTTTGATAACCCTTTGCGCTCGCATACGCTTCAGAAAAGCTCCGGAAATTCAAAGATTCTTTCATTACCGCTAGCTTCTTGGCAAATTCGTACATGGCTTCTTGTTTGAAGAGCTAGTGACGCACTCATTTTGGGTAAATACATCAACTACAGTGAACGGAGGAGGCCGTTAGTGGTTCAGATTTTGAAGAAGGTACAGCGTTATTTCTCCTTATCCGCTGTATACTGATACATAATTTTTTTTTTCTAATAATCTGATAAGCATAAACAAACCCAGTCTCTAAAATGCCCGGCAGTCAGACAAGGTCTTAAATGGACTAAATCTTGGCAGTAAGAAATTGTTTACGCTCGAGAAGTTTGAAAGAACCCTTCAGGGGGAATTCTGAGAAAATTTTTGACTGCTGAGCATGTAGTCCATTTAAGACCGTACCTGGCTGCTGGGCTTCAGACAAGGCCTAATTCGAAACCAAGTGGTAAATTTTAGTTTATTATCTCTGTTTAGCTCCTGGTAACTGTCCTCTGCGGAAAGGCCGTCTTATTTCTGTTGTCGTTTTGCAATTATCCTTGCCGTTACTGACTGAACAACTTTAAGTGCTGAATAGTGGATAAAGAGACAGAGCATCTGAAGGCTTTCATGCTTCTGATTTAGTTTGTCTTTTGAAAAGAGAAGAAACAAACTAAAAGCCAGCTTTAGTCAGCCTTGCATCTGAAAGGTAAGTACTAGCGAGTCATTTTAGCTTGTAGCACCGTTTAATTGACACTTATCACTGAAAATATTCCACACAAAAATAAACGCATCGCAGAGACGAAGAGCGCGATTGCAGGTAACATATTTAAATGGTAGCCGGTTGTGCGGGTAAAATAGATTTTAGAATCCACTTTTGTCCACTTTTGACTAAAATTAAATCAGTAGGTGGAAGGTAGCAATTTGCGTCTTCTTAACATAAAGAGAAACTGAATAATGTGTTAACCGTCCACAAAGAGGTTAATAGCGAAAATATTATAAGGTTATGATGTGCTACAACGCCACAAAGGCAAAAAATACTTGGTTTATCAACCTTTTCGAGATCTAAATTAATCTTCGGTGCTTCAAACATTGAAATATAGGAAAAACGTAACTTGCAAGTGTCATGTTTAAAAGCAGACGGCCACAAAAATTGGCGGACACAAACAGTATAAGGTCAAGCCATACGAATAACGTCTGGCGACATTTGTCACTATGTTTCGAGTTGTGACAGTTTTTCGTGTTCCTTTTTCCCCTTTCTCAGCTGTTATTTAAGTCACGTGTATGGAGAAAATCAAAGCTAGAACTTTATGCAGGGGTGACTTAGTCTTTAGGTTCCAAGATATATTTATATTTTTTCTTTAACTCAATAATCCTCCGTTTCCGGTTACGATCAGTAGCTGGAGGTTAGATGAAATCCCTTTCAATTAAATTTTTCATTACTACCGAGGTAACAGATCAAACAGATGGAGATTCAATTAAAATTCAGTAGTTCAAACTGTTGCTTTCATTGTCGAGTTCCTTTATATAAATTTTATTTCGGTAACGGAAGTTTTTGTAAACATTCTTCTGAACTAAAATAAGTTTCTTCCCAGCGCCCGTCAATCTTTTGACATCTACTTGAATTTAAAGAATTCGCTTACTTGAGCATATACATGTGCTAAGAGTGATAATTGGTCAAGGGTTATTTTGAATACAGAAGATCTTTGTTCCAGTCTGTTTCTTCACAAAATAATTTACAATATCAAATGTAGTCGAACCTATTGTAAGCGCTCACTCACGGAAAATGGCGGGGTGACCGCTTATAGAGGTTCCACAGATTAAGTGTATTATAAAAAAACCATAAACAACACCACTTTGTGGTATAATTGACCACTTGGTGTATAGAATCTCGCTCATAAACACTACTTTCTTTGATGTGGGGAAAGAAACGTGGATTAAAAATTACTTGAAGTAATAAAGTTAGTTTTATTTTAGTGGTTCCACTTTCAGTGATCGTTCAATACAGTACAATTTAAAAACCCAATACCTGCTGCAGATATTGGGTCATCATGGGAACGTCACGCACTTTTGCATAGAGCTGACTGTATACTCTCGACCAAGCAGAATTTTCATAGTAAGTCTAATGCAGAAAAATAGAATTTATCAAAAGCGAGGTGTCACTGGAGATCAGAAATCTGTTACGCAGTTACCCAAAAGTGAATCGAGGCAAATTGTTATTTCAGAGAAATACACATGTATGCAGCTGAAAACGGGCCAATGTCCACATATGTTACTCATCAAAGTATGATAATCGTTGAGTAGACATTTGTGATTGTAATTTACGATAATTTTTCCGTCTTGAATACTTCACTTTAAGCCCTCTTCAAAATTGCATCTGAAATTCAAATTAAAACGATGTAAATGACAACTTTTTTATAAATTTGTGTTCGCTATTTGTAACGATTATCTATGGTACAAGTCTCAGTTTTTCTCCATTAACGAAACAAATTACTCGATCAACAAAATATGCAAACACTTTTTCTCTTTATATTGCCTTTATCATCGTTTCATTAAAAATGCAAATTCAAAACCGCCAAAAGACGATGTCGGTTAGAATCGTTTCGTTTACTTCAAGCTATTTTCTTGGAATAAATATTTTTCATAACGTGTTTTATTAAGACGGAGTATCTATCTCTCAAGCACCAATTCAGCAGAACGAATTCACGGCTGATAAATCTGCCCCATAGGCTACATTATCGGACACAAAAATGAGCCAAGGTAAGAGATTAACAGAGAATCGACAGATGAAATGAGTCTGCTACCTGCGGAAAATAGAATTAAAACTGTTATGTTTCATAATTTGACCGGGTTAAGCTGGTGAAATGTTGGTGTTTGCCCTGCAATTCATTTTTTGACGATCATTTCGGAGAATTCTCTAATTACTTACCACATTTACGATAAAAAATAGAATTGTAATATTTTTTAAAAAGCTGACTAAAATTGGACAGATCTCTTTGATCGTTTGTTTCCTTGCTCGCGAAAACAATTTATCGGTAATATGCGGAGGGTTCTAAAAGAAATATTTTAGTGTTAATTTTCACAAGACTGCTCATCGATACTAATTAATTATTGTAATCAAACAGCATGTGACATGCAGTTGTTTAAATAGTTAGAGATATCAAGAGGATAAGTAAGTTGTAGTTTATTCATTCTCTTTCAACGACTTAGTGTAATAGAGGGTGCGTTATTGAAGGTGTTTGATCGAGATTTCTACGATTTCTGGCCAAGAACTCAGCTGACCTCGTTTTACAAACACTACGAAAACTTCTGCAGCGGAACAACACCGTATTGCAGGTAAAGGAGGAGGCCTTTTGTAAGAGTAGGTATAATGTAGAACCAGTTGATAGTTTCAGTAAGATAGAAAAACACCCGAAAGGTAAAGATATATCAAGACAGAACAAGGAAAGCCGCAGATGGAGAAGATGGTTCGGGATTGCTACTGCCGAGATCCAGAAAGCATTACTCATCCTCCCTGCTCGCCCTGAGCGACTGACAAGAATATTTTCATGCCATTTATTTGTCATGCAGTCGATTGGTTAAAAAAAAAAGAAAAGAAAGAAAAGGAAAGGAAAATATCAGAGAAATTAATATTTTGGGAGTTTACCCCTAAATTTTAAAGGCTAATGCGGTTGTAAGCTGCATATGGCTGTCAAAGATATTGTCTCAATGGGGTGATAGCTTTTACGGCTAACGGTTAAATATTCGCAAATTTGCGTCTAACGTGGTTTTCAAAATTTTTTCTTACGGTTAACTTTTTTACACTAATGGTTAATATTTGTGAATTTTTACGCTTAACGGCTTAATTTTATAGCTGTTTTACGGCTATCGGTTAAACCCTTTGAGACCCTCGAAGAAAATTCTGCCTACTACGTTTTTAGAGTTCCGCACCTCGTTTGCATCGTGTATTATACATAAATTTCTTTTCAATCGCTCGATGGACTCCGCAGGGAACGAGGGATTAATAGCAGTTTTGACACTTTTGCAAATGCTAAGGTTAAACGATATCCCTCTTCCTGTTAAAAACGTTCTGACATATGATTTTGAAAGCAATTAGAATACTCTTTTAAAAGAGCACGAAAAGCAATAACTTCTGTATTGTTTTCTAAAATGCATGAATTTAGTCTCCTAGTTTTCTTCGAATGGAAAATACGAAGTCTGGCGGATTTGGTAACGAAACAGATTACAGCTCTATTGTTTCTGAGTGAAACTCTTCCAGGAATTGCCAGAAGTGTACTTACATGGATATGGCAGCGAAGATACCATATTCTAGCCATGGAATTCATATATATAACATGAATGAAAATGTACAATTCAATTACTAAACAAATATCACAATTCTATGTACAGAGCCAGGTGTGATACGAAAAAGAATAAGAATTTTTTTTCATAAAGAAATCGAAGAGGAGGTTCTCAAACGTTCAGCGTCTATTTTGGCTTTCCTTGAACATAGAGCTTTTTATTTCAAGCAGTGATTCCTCGCCTTTAGGTAAAGTTAGGGATGGAAGACAAATGATAACTAACGGTATTGAAAAAATGTTAATGAGTGCTAATTGAAAAAAAAAAAAAAAAAAAACGTTTCAAATGTAGGATATTGCATCATAATTTTTGTTATTTTCGCGTATTCAGTTTCTACTTTTTAAGCGTTTCGGTGGCATTCAAATCTTTAATTTTTTTTTTTTTTTTACAGGCGGTGGTCACAAAGTGGTTATTTTTTTACTGTCTCAGAAAAGATTATCCTTCCATTGAATCCTATAGGATTAGTGGTGAGTAGACAGTATAGTCCCAGCAGTTTGAGTGCGAAAAAAATTGCAGTAATCGAATCAGTGGTTTAAAAGCTCCTCCAAACATTTCTGTCGTTTCAGCGCAAACCGAAAATTTATCGCAAGGTAATTTTATTAACTGTTAAGTTCAGTGTGAAATTTCATGAGAGGTCAAATGTGATCAGACTATGAGTCCTTTAGTTAAAGTTTATGGTACATTATTAAGTTGATCACATTTTCAGTTATTGTGAGCAATGATATTTTTTCACAGCACGTTTCAAAACGCAGTTAAAAAACACAAAATGCTAGTTAAAAATAATTTCTTCCACCAGATGTAAGAAATAAGAAATTGACCCTCGTCAGTGGATTCCAAACAAGTACGACAGAAATAGACAATGAGACAAAACCAAATTCATTAGTTCCCAATTTAGCCATAAGTTATTCTTTGAACTTCTCAAAACCCTCTTAGCGACTTCAAAACCTCAGAAAAGAGGCACGAGAACTCAAAAGTAGAAGAAGAAGGGTCCATTGCCCTCTTTCTCCTTGAGTATTTTATGAGAGGGAAAGATATGGCAGGTTTATATAGCAGGGAAAAAATTGCGTGACGGTGAAAACTTCCATGACGGCCCGTGACACAATTTCAGATCAATTGACTCATCAAACCATTTCATGCTGGTGAAAGCCATATGGCTCCCATATGTTCTATAAAAATGTTATTCATCTGGTGTGCAAATTTCTCACACAAGATACTACTCATATACTCATCAGTTCCCAGGAGTCTCCAGTCGTAATTGACAAACGATGTTATGTATTATAATGTTTGGCATGGTCGATATTTGATGAATAGAGAACTTTTTCCGTGTGTACATATCTTCATTGGACATCTCATCTCTTACACTTATCGACCAATCAGAGCGTTGGCAGAGTTTCAGTTATTCATACCAGTATATATCGGATTTTGTGTTGCTTAGACCGCACACCAGGATTTGCATTTGCAGTGTTTATGTAAGGGTTCATTTTAGTTTTTACCCCTTCACATTTATCTCGCCGTTTGTAACAACGCGCCCATTTTTTTTTCTTACAGTATAGTTTCGAGACTAATCGGAGCATTTTGATGTTCATAATGCTGTTGCAAATAATGACCCTCCTCCTGCTGGCCGGAGTGGCATCAGAACAAAGGTAAGCGGCACCGCAACATCAACACATTTCAATATCTATCTTGAAATGCAGTCCAAAAGTAAAGATCGCCCACGTCCGAAAAGAGGTTTGATGAGAAAACAAGGGCGAAATATCTTTTCTTAGACGTATCCAACAAACAAATACAATCCAGGGGCCTTTCTGATGAAGAAGAAGGACAGGAAGTGACTATGAAAAAGGTCAGAAAGTGAAATGATGCATTCAACAGTTATTTACCTAACGGGAAGGCCAAACCGCCGTTTGTAAATGAATACTCTGCTCTAGAGTTCCTTGAATCTTACCCTCTGATATACCACTTCTGCTTGTGGAGACAGAAGAGAACAGATCTTTAAGGATAATTCGATAAAAACTTTGTTTAGACATAAATTTGTCTATAAATTCTTCCTGTTGGAAACCCCTGTATGGCAGTGGCACACCCCGCTGGTATGCATGCATGATGTACATCTCTTGGCTTCGTGATTCCCAGAAAAATGTTTTGTTATGCAGAATCAATATTACTTTAAAATACGAATAAAATATTTGTGTTTAGTCAAATATCCGGATTTACTGATTACAAATACTGCATGCGCCTTCAATCTTTGCGATCAGCGTGCCTGAGTGCAGATGTTTTCTTTCACAGTACATTTAATATCTAAAAGTGACCCCTGGCTCCATAAAAATGGATAAAGTGAATTAATCTACACAATCTGGAGATGTTGGTTGAAGGACTTCCATAAATCCTCTTTGAATTTTCCGCGTCAAAAGAAATAATTCCAAGCTTATCTTTTTTTTCGTTTGTCTGTTGCTTCACCAGCGTCGAAGAAAATCACGGACGAAGAAGACAAGCAAGGCAAGCTGGAGGTAAACGTTTCGAACATGAATCAGTATGCATATTCTCCATACAATCATTTACACGTTCCCTATGTTACTCAAAAGGAGAACTTGTCTATCTAACAAGATTTTCTTCAGCTGGTGATCATTTTCTTTATTCTCAAGACCCCAGTGTTTGTTTCAGGACTGATACTGTAGGGAGAAATTAGACGCCAGTCACTCTCAGGGATAATGAGTTAAAAGCGGTACTAATCCTTCGACTCACAGAAGTTATCTATCCTAAAAAATCATTGCATTACCTGGCAGAAAGGTTATTTCAGCCAGGGTGTGATATCTCGATAGAAATCCAGTTCTCTTAGCCAAGAGTTTCAACAATTTGTTCCACAAGCGGCTGTCGATGGTGTAATTGGCGGCCGTGTCCGAAAATGGGCCGTGAGGCGAAAGCCCAAACACGAAGTCCTGCTCGCGCGATAAAAAGATGGCCTTAAAGGGGGCTTATAGGCAGTGGCAGATCGCTGGTAACTCGTATTCATTGAAAAATATGTGTGGAAATGCGTAGGAGCTTAATAAATTCCTGATCAGATCTTGGGATTTGCTTGATTTCTTCATAAAAATCATTCACACTTTTTGTTGTGCGAGTACATTGTAAATTGTACATAAATTGACGTTTCGAGCGTTAGCCCTTCGTCAGAGCGATTGACGAGGGGCTAACGTTCGAAACATCAGGCTTTAAACTCTTTGCGGTGGCCAATTTACGTTTTCAACTCAGTTGCTAACACTAAATTGCTTGCTTGTCACACAGTTGGTTATGGATTGGTATATCCTTGTGATAATTAAATTGTTATATATAATAGCGATCAATAATGAAAAATCAAATTAAAGTTTAGTTATCACGCCATCTTTCTCTCGCGTCTTCTTCTTAGGGGGGTTAAATTGCCCCATTGGTCTTCCTCAGAAATCTACCGACGAATGCCGAGATATTCGCGAAAAAGACTTGGAAGTCCAGAGGGGAATTTATCAACTGGCAGTACGCGAACCTTTGCCTATGCCATTAGTTAATATGAGCGCGTTAACACTCATCCAATTGCTTTCACAAGACGAGTTTGCAAAGGAACAGTTTAATGGTTACGTTGGTATGCTGAGGAAAAACAAAGGCTTCACCGCACAGTGGAAAAAGCAACATCCTGGAGAGATTACAGAGTTCCAGGATTATGCAAATATTTTTAACGATTTTAGAAGTACATTGGGAGATGATGTAAGTAATAAATGGTTTTAAAAGGAAGCCGTTTACTTGGGATAATAAAATGGTATCGAGATCTCGGCCGATAGCTCGCCGGTAGTTGGCAGAGAATTGGTCGACAGCATGACCGTCCAATCGACCATCCACCGACGGTCGGTCAGCCATTGGCCGACTGTAGAACAACAATCAGCCGATAGACGATTGACTATTGGCTGATTTATTAAGTGACATATTAACAAAGGCTGCCTGTGGTACACAAAATCCTTAAATTCTGGAGAGATTTTATTCCAAGTTGATTGAACCACAATCAATCATTGTTCGTTGAGAACTAGATTTCATTATATACGTAACCAGCTTGAAGCATTCAAAACGTAAGAGATGGAGTTAAGAATGGTCAACATTTTGTAATTGATGATGTATTTGTCGCGAGCATTACTTGCTAAAAAGAAGTTCTCCAATCATTCCTTTCAAATCTTGGGAATCTTCATTTCCTCATTACTCAAAGCCTAGACCATAGGACAAGCAATTTTAAAATGAATTAAAATGTCTTTTAGAGGAAATCAAAGACTAAATATTCAAATGCCTAAAAGTTCGCCCAAGTGGGATATAACCTTCATCGTTATTTTAATTGTACCATTTTTTTAACTACAGGGAAGTACTGGGTTCTATCGGTACGTCACGAATGTCGAGCCATTTCAGAATATTCTGGAGGACTGGAGAGAGGATGATATGTTCACTGAGCAGAGGCTAAGTGGCTGTAATCCCATGGTGCTTCGCAGGGTGACAGAAGATTCCTGTAAGTTTAATTTGTGCCCATAAAAGTGAAGAGGAGTGTTAAGTTCAGGCTAGCCTGCTTTGCTGATTGTTTCGGGGATGTTTAAAGCATCGGAACAACGAAATGACGCTTTGAGTGGCCTAAAAATCCGTTAGCCAGTTTTCTGTCTTTTTTTTAACTGAAAGTTACTCATTTCTTTGAAGAGTACTCAGAATCGTTATTTCTGGAATTTCTTGATTTCACCAAGTCGCCGTCACAAAGTTTTTTTTTCAGGAATATTTTCCGCTCCAAGGATTTTACGATAGGGTTTTCTTTCGGCACTCTGATTTCTTTATATTAATACTAGTAGTTTGTGTAAGCGTCATTTACCTCCATCCACAGCTCTTAGCCCCTGTCCTCTGCTTATTGGTTATAACAATGTTCAGTAGGAGCTGGGTACTATTGTATTTTTAGCTGAAGTGGGTCTCAGATGGTCAGAGTTGGTCAAGACACTTAGTCCAAGCTACGACTGGGAAAAGGCGATACAGACTGCGATGGAAACAGATGAATCGTTAGCACAGGTTTGTCTGCTACATTTCGAGCTCGTTTCTTGTAACCAAGGTCGATGTGGATCGAACGAAAGGGCACTGCACTGCTTAAAACAGTACAAATAAACGTTTTTTGGTTGGGACATCACTTTTCTCTCTCTGAGAGAGAATTTATAAAGTCTTCAAGTGCATGGGTTTGAATTCTGAGCTAATTAAACTGCATTTAATGATTAAAAGTTCAAGTTCAGAGGTAAATTAATGAGAAATTTAACCCTGATGAGAGACTTCATATGTGATGCTCCATTTTCTTTGACTTGATAAAAGGTAGACAATTAAAAGGTGGTTTATTTGGCGTAAATAACTCATTCATCCTTATGACTTAACTCAATTACTCTCAGGCTATAAAGAATGGCGATGTTTATGTTCTGCGATATGAAATGTTTGATGACATGGCTACCTTCCCTGATTATTCTGAGAAGCGACCGGGTCGCACAATGTGGCCGTCGAAATCACCAATAGCTTTGTTTGCCCTGAACAAGGAAAAAAGACTACGAGCAGCAGCAATTCAGACCGATTACAAGCCAGGTTGGGCATATTGTTAAGAACCCTCTGAATCAAGATCTCATTATAAATCTTCCCTCTAGTTGCTGAAATATTCTTTAAAAGCAGTGAATAAAAAAAGGGACTGATTCACGGCACAGTAAAAGTTTCACCCAGTTCAGTCGATAAATAATGACGCACAACACTTCTAAGGAAGGGGTGGGAGGGGAACTTCAATGTTATAAAGATCGAAACGCTCCATCAACACCCGTTTCTACTCTTAATTCGCGCACATAGGAACTTGATGGTCACATTTGCAACGAGGGCATTGAAATATTGATGTTGTCTATCGGAGTATGGAATACCAGAATGAAGACCCCTTTACAGGATATAAGTTGGCACTAAGGGTAGAGTTTGTACTCAAGCTTATAGGCCCTCCAAGCCGGAGCTTATCCCGGTTTTCAAGCGGCGTGAAGTGACTAAGAGAATTATTACTTCTCCCTGGATGAGGGTCCGATGCTAGTTTGTTGCAAGGATGAGTAGAATCTGCCAAGTATTTAATGGCTTGAATACGGAAGTAACAGCTAATCGTCTGAATGTGGATAGCCCTGGAAAGAATTGTTGTCGATGTCTCTGCTAGGATCCTCTATACGATTACCTTCTGCCTACTGATAAAACTCTTTAAAGGGTCAAAGCAATTTACATACTTATTTATTCTTCTATTCTGATTTTTTTGTTACCAGATTCGCCCGTTTTCGCCCCTAGTGATGGTGGGTCCTGGATGTTGGCCAGACAGGTTGTCCAGGCAACAGATTACACGCACAGCCAGATGATAGAACATCTTCTAAAGGTCAGGAGTCGTCGTTTCCATTGTTATTGTCGTAATAAATATTTTGGTAACATTACTATTATTATTATTATTATGTTATCATCATCATCATTGTTATGTTTATTGTATATACCATCATTACAACAAGCAGTTGGTCCTGCGAGAATTATTTCGCTCTCAGAGCTTTCAAAACAATTTCAAACTTCTTCATGATTGAATTTTAATGGCCCTTAGGTCCATCTTTTGGCAGAACCCTTTTGCGTGGTCATGCACCGTCACCTTTCCTCTCAGCACCCGCTGAATGAGCTCCTCAAGTACCACTGTAGGGGCCTTTTAGCCACAAACACCTTGGGCTCACCATCACTGGTCAACGAAGGTGGTTACATGGACATTCTGACCGCCATAGGCCACAAAGGAACCATACTACTCTTGGAGCGAGGCTACAAGACGTTGGGTTGGAAAGACACAGATTTTCATCAGGACATAAAGGTAGCAAATAAGATTATCTTTGCCTTTTCGGAAAAAGAAAGAAAAAAATCGAATTAATTCCCTGTCCATACGAGGGGTGCGTCGTCTTGGCTTGAACTATCGGGAAATAAACTTTAAAAAGACCTTTACAGGTATTTCTTTAGGTGTTAAATTTCTGTTCGGTATATACTCGTCTTGAGAGTACAAAAGACACACCGTAATAGCTTAGATGAATTCAAAGCACGTAGGGTACTTGAAACTCAAGCCAAGATATAACTAACCTTACTCTAAATATCTCGAGCTCTCTTGGAGCGATTGAATGAATGAATACATTAAAAACAGTTTTATCTTGTCCACAACCCCTCTAATTTCAAATTCTTACCTTACTCAGTGAAGCGATAGCAATCTTCAGGCAATGAAAAAAAAAGCATTTCTCTCTTCAGAAACGGGGCCTTGATGACAAAATCAAATTTCCTTACTTTCCGTATCGCGATGACAACAGATTGTTACTGATGGCAATATCAAGAATGGTGGAGGATTACATTTGGGTGTAAGTTAAAACATGAAAGCGAATTTTAATTTGCACTTATCCGTTCTTATTCCCATTCTCCTCTATGAACAAGAAAACCGTATTTCATAACTGTTTTTACCAATCTCTTGCATTTACTCAATTTGATGTAGATTCATCATCAGAATGTCAACTTCGCCAAAATAAATACCTATTTTAACCTTTGAGAACTATGTCAAGAAATTCTAAGCTATTATTTTGGTCCATGAATACCGTGCTCAACTGGAGGGAAATCTTTTGTCAAGGTAAACAAAATATGACGAAAGAAGAACAAATAAAAACTGAACTGTATGAATGTTAGGTATGGCAACAAGAAACAAAGATAACAAATTGAAAGTTTCTTACCTCAAAGGAAAGGACATTAATCCTATTTCGATTTTAAACACAATGAAGATAGTGAAAAAGAAGATTGACTTCTCTCCGTACAGAAGCTCAGTGACAGAGCCATCCTTTCTCAGAAACAAAGCCGACACACGGGCAACAGCATAATGTACCCGTAACAGCTAAGATTCAGTGACATAAAAATAAAAAAATCAAAATAATGAAAAAATATCCGATGGCATGATCATTTTCTTTCAGTTTTTACAAACGAGACAGGGATGTCCAGGAGGACGAAGAGTTACAAGCCTATGTAAATGAGTTATCTATTGAGGGGACTGGACCGAATGGTGGATCTGGCCAGGTAATGAAAAGACACGGAGTGGACCTTAACCGGAAGCTTTTAGTTTGCATTCACTACGAGAGCCTGGTATTAATTATCCAGCCTCTAAATTTGCTTCCAATAAATGTAGATAAAATACTGGAGCCCGTATACTACAAGGTAATCGGTAGCAAAAGTAATTGTTAAGGGTGAAAATAGGTCAAGAGTCCCCCCTAACCACTATCATAGGCTAAGGGCGTAGCTAAGGGGAGGATGTGGGGTCCTGGGGTTTCCCGTGGACCCCCCTCCCTTTGCAGGTCTTTTTTGTCACATTAAGTAAAACACGGCGTGGTGGTCGACCTCGCAATCTGATGAGTACCCTCTGTTTGACACAGTGTGATCCCCCCTCTGAAAATCCTGGTTACACCCTTATAGGCGATACCAACATTGAATTATTACAACCTTGGTTGAAACGCCAATCATTCTTCTTATAACAGCTGAAACCTGCTAAACTTAAAATAAGCTTAAAACTGCTTAAGGTGATCATTTTTTCCTAAAAATATGTATGCAAGACTTTCCAAATAAATTCTTGGCGTTGGTCTCCGTTTCGAGAGGGACTCGTTTATCAATCTTTGTTTTTCTCATCTTGTACGATAGGTTAAAGACTTTCCGGCCGTGTTAGAGACTAAGAGCGAGCTTATAGACGTGATAACGAGGTTGCTGTGGTTGTTAAGCGTGAAGCATTCTACGGTAAATTATCCCGTGAGTGACTACGGAGCCTTTACACCTGTCTTACCAACCAAGCTTTATAATGACACCAGTGTACCGCCAGGAGTGTTCTCCGAGTTGAATTTACCAAATCGCAACATATCCCTTGTAAGTATTTCTAGCCAATCAGTCATTCGATTGATCGATCCATTTCTCTTATTACAAACTTATGGTGTTACAGACGGTGTGTATTGGGCATTTGTTTCATCAGTAATTCAGTTATAAGCAGGACTATTAATCTTGGAGAAATTTGTCAGAGAGTCTTTCAGACTGTCAATACGTCTAGTGGTCAGGAAGTTAGAGAGCCGATCTGAATGATAGTCACAGGTTAGTCACTCAATCGTTTGGTCGATTGAATGACAAAAAAAAACTTTCTTTACAATGATAAGAAATACGAAAAGTGGTGTCAGTTAGTCAGACAGGCTGTTTGATCGTCAGGAAGTCAGGCGGCCCAACTGACAGATAGTCACACGTCATGATCAGTCAGTCAATCGGTTGATCGATTGAACGGAAAATAAAAAAATTTTCCTCAAATAAGTAATAAGAAAAGAGAAGAAATAGGGCAGGTATCTCATGAATTTTCAACTCCTCTCCTGAAAATGGAGGCCCTTCTCAAGATCTTGACTGTTACTCCCTTTACTTCCGCATAGATAGAAATGTAGACTACTAATCAGATGGGAGGATATTCTCATCTTTTTCTTTTGTTAGCTAGTTAGAAAGTTTATCTTAAGAGCGATTCTAGTTTTCTAAAGAGCTTTATCTCAAGTAAAGATGGCCATGTACGCGAGTTATTCAATTCTCTCCAATTTGAACCATTTAATTTCCTTCAAGCCTTTCACCCTGCACATGTGCTAACAACCTCTTTTGTTCCCTATAGGCCCAGATCGAGGTAGCTATGAACGTGGGAACATACCATTATGACACGTTATTTGATTATTACGGGCAGCTCAAGAATCCAGCAGCAAAGCAAGTGGTTAGGTTTTATTTCTATTACCTTAAGTATGCCGTTAGTCCCAGGCTTAAGTTCAGGAACTATCGGAGACTTAAGGCTGGCCATCTCACTTATCCATATCTACAACATCCTTGGATTCCAAACGGAGTCCAGACATGAATAATAGACAGTTAGAATAAGTTACATTTAAAAGTTAAATGCGGGTATATTTTAGGAATGACAAATGTATTCTTCGTCGATGTGGTGAAGCTCAACTTTTTGATCTGTTACAGACTCGGTCACCTCAAAAATTTGACTGTTGTTACAGGTCATTTCAAAAAGCTAATTGTTTTAACCTCTATCTTCTTGTGTACGCTGTGTAATGGCGGATAGCTAATGAGAAAATGGATTGAAAATATGATGACATGCCACCTTAATAGAGATATGGAGTCACAAACCGGCTCAACTTTAGTGTCTGCGTCCGCTCAGCAGAAGTGTCTGCTGACTACGGCTGTGTCTTACAGTAAATATGGGAAGTAAAAATTTAAAGTATGTTTGTCGTTCTCAAGTTCGCTTAGTACGGGTAATCCAATTATCATTATGTCCTTTTTCATATTTAGGCAATAACGAATGTAACGTATTCAATTGTTACTGAACAGATATCTTATTATCTCTGTTGATTCAAGTGTTCGTGATCTCTAGCTTGGCTGGCTTGTTACAGGCAAGGAAAGTTACACCACTAAAATTGTAAAATGATTTTAACACTTTATTGTAATGAATGATTGTTATGGAATAAACTTGGAATGTCCATGGAAATCAACTGTGCCTTACTTTCTCAATCACTAATTGATATTATTCAAACGATAAATGGATTGATTTTGGCCTAATGTGCTAGCAAGAAACGGCTTAGAAATTTGGCCAATTTGGCCAAACAGTTGTATCTGATTTTGAAACCAGCTTACTCAAAAATTTTAAATCATTGGTCACCGAGATAGTAGATGGTGATAACCACTTTTCCAGATAAATACCTTCCAGCGAGTCATAAATGATCTGGTAAACTACGCTTTCCCACAACGGATCTCTCCTAGTCCCTTCCCTTTTTTTTTTTTTTTTTCATTTCAATCCTTCTTAGCTCTAAGTTTCCTGTGAATATTAGTCATAAACGAAATATTTCAGAGAAACAGGAAGGTTAATATATAATTAAATTTTCTTGTCGAGTCTTGAAAGGATCATGGAAGAATGGAAAAAGCTTTGAAAACATTCTTGAACTGAGAAACTGACCTCTGCTTCGTGCTCTGTTTGGAAATATTCCACTCAGTCCCTATATTACCAACTTTTTAGTTACCGCGTGGCTCATGCTAACTTTGAAGAATAACACTTTGGCGAATGCACCAGAAACAAAGCTTTCAATCAGTTAACCTCTTCATTAGCTAGTTGATAATAATGATTAAAAATTTTTTTTACCTCTTCACTTTTCTTCACACATAAGTCAAAAGACAGTCAAGCCCCGGCTGAAGGTTTAAACATTGCATTTGTCGCACGCAAGATATAAATTTTATTGGCATTCCACACTCGAGTCTCGCGAAAAGTGGACAAATTGATTAAATATTCATTCATGAAAGCGTCACTTGCTCAGTGAGTGTGAACGGCACCTTCTTGGTGTAGAAGACACAGAAAATTTCACGATAGAACACCGCCTCATTCACCTTTTGTTTTCCTCGTTCTTTTGTTTCTTTTCTTTTTTTTTTTTCATTCTATTGTTTAACGTCAACTGTGTCTCCTACACCAAGTAAGAGCCGTGTGAACGAACCTCTCAGGTGACGCAGTATTAGTTACGCGAGGAACAGTCGAGGATCTGAGCTCCCTGCAAGACATTGTATGTGACGAATGTTCTCCAGCATCACATTTAAATTGTGGGTAAAAATTTTGAGAATGAAACAAGAGAGCAGAGCATAAGTTTGATCATTAAGGGTGGTTTTCAGATTGAAATCTCATGAAGCAATGAAAAGCTTAACTTAATAGGAAACAGCTGAATAACAAAAAAAGAAATACAAACCTTGAAAATTCAATGTGGCCCATGCAGGATATAGTGTACTTTGGCGAATATTTCAGTTTGCTTTCCGACGACCAACGAGCCACATGTGCGATGAAGGCCAGCAGCAGAATGCTTTATATGTTTTTTAGGAGATTTTCATACGCACGATTAATATCGCATCTCCCGAGAGATATAGGGTTCGCCTCTCACGCTGGTTAAGTACGTATTTTACATTCTGCGAACGAAAAGTAAAAAACAAGAGATAGTTCTTACACGAAAAGTTGAGAGAAATGACAAAGTACAGAGTCTCTTGGAACACTGGTAATAGTTCCTACCAAGAATTCATACACGGGTTGTGCCGCCCGACAGAACCTTGATTTAAGGACTCCTAGTATAACATTGGGAATCCTGAGATCTTGGTGATAAGTCAACGGTTCATATAAATTTCGTTCTCTTCTTTTATTTTTTGTCTCTTTTATCGCGTCTTTTGAGTTTTTTTTTCCAAAGTTATAAACGCAAATAAATATCATTTGCGCGTAAAACTAACGGTTGTGCAAGGATAGTGCGTTTTGTGGCAAAAAAATCACTCGAACCGTTCTTTCGGTGGGGCTGTGACGTTCACAGCAAAGTTCGACTCTTAGATATGTCATTCCCTACTAAATAAAGGAAATAGATCGAAAGCTACACTCTCATGCATGTCCCTCATCAGTTGTCAAATGACAGGCATTCTGTCCAACACACTCAACCTACAAAGGAATAAACGTGCCACAAATAAACCGCTGCACACTGATAATTGCAGGTGCAAAATAAAGATGGCGAACGAGGAGGAATCAGGAGGTTACCGCTGGTTAAATCAGTACGAAAGAACGTGGTATGTTTAGTGTGATATCCTAATATTTATAACTGCCTTATTTTTACGAATCATGTGCATATGTATTTATGTGCGCACGTCCCAAGCCTTGGCAGTTATTTTTTTTTAAGTACATGCTCGGGATTACCTCGTTTGCGCGAAATTATGCATGGCCTCTCCTGTTTTTTTTCTCTGTCTGATCTCGGCTCTCTTTTCCTAGCCTATTAATTACCTTGCTCGTTTTACTACACTCAAATTTCCGAGCTGCTTAACTGACAAATCAATTTTGAGGGAGGCAAAAACGGAATAAAGTTTGTCTATCAATTAAATGAAATAACTTTGGGAAGATCTCTGCACAGCATCATACTTTAGCACAACAAAGTCCTGGTCCTAAAGAAAATCTATTTTTTCGCCATTTTTTTTTTTTTTATTTATCCTACCATCTGCATAACAAAGTAGTGGGGTGGGTGGAAATCTTAGTATAACTTTAACAGTATAGATGTTTTTGTCATCATCATTATCATCATTCAGCAGCATTAAATCTATCAACTGCAACAAGTTATATGGCTACATGTTGTTGCATGGCTTGATTTTTGGTGTTCTATAAAACCATATATTGAAATAAACCCGAGTAACCAAAACTTCAGACATACTACATAAGAACCAGCATTCAGTATGGTATACTCGTAAATACTTGTTTTTGATTGCCCAGGGAAGTTATTCAAGAAGATGCTGAAGGTTCTCTTCAAACAGTGGTGGATGAAATTTCACACAGGACCAAAAGAAGGAGGTGGAACAAAAACTTTACAAAAACATCAGATTAGAAATTTGAACTCATTGGTGCATAACCAAACATCTCTGAATCTTTGTAGTGTAGTTTCTGTTCTATTTTTTTCTTGTTATTCTTCTTTTTCTCTTTCTTTCTTCTAGTTCCCCCCCTTTCAATTTGTACATAATACCATCTTTACATGTAGTGGAAGAGAGTATTCAAATGATTTGTATGTTCATGTAAAAGTTAAAGAGTAATCAATGGATAGTTAGATATTGCACTGCTTTCCAAGTCAGCCGATTAGGATCCTACTATTCAGTCTTTCAGTTGTATGTATAAGATTAAGATTTCTGAAAACAATTTACAGTGAAGAATCCACTAAATTACACTTTTAAAATGACAATGAAAAAGTGATCGATGAAACAAAGAGATGAGAAATAAAGAAATAAACGTTCAAGTTCTCTTGAATGAGACTTTGAGAATAAGTGAACATTTACAACTGTGAGTCTGACTAAATGTTTTGCTGTTGTGAAATTTTTCAGAGTTATGGGAAGAAGTGGTAACATTCGACTTGGGATGGTATGTATTAGGTGGTAAATAGAATACATTAAAGCTTACAGACACATTAAGAATATCTATTCTTCATTCTCTAAATTAATTGAAATAATGATACATGTTCATTCTTGAAGGAGAGGTATTTCCCAGAAATCATTAAGAAATTTTATCTCTGCCATTTAAAAGTATAACATGAAATTATTTTTGGGTTGATGAGAGGAACAAAAAGACGTTCAAAAACATCTCCAAATGTGTTAACCCTTTAACTCCCAAGATCTCATTAGTAATTCTCCTTACTGTCTACCAAATGATTCTCATTTTGTAAGTTTGGAGAATTTGGTATCGGATCAATTAGCAATCCTATTATTGATATTTTTCTTTATTCTCATCACTTGTCTGCATGATATTGTATAGATATAGTAAGGAGAAATTCTGTCTTGGTCACTCACAGGAATTAAAGTGTTAAAACTTTGACTGTAGTTGAAGCCACTTTGAATTATTCAGTGCAAGTGAATTTCATCTGAATTTTGGATATTAAAGACATTTTAATGGAGAGGTATCAATTAAAGACCTCTCAGAATGTTAAAAATATCTCAATTTTATAATGTGACAATTGCATTTTTTTATCGTAATTTTTAGATGAGGCACTTGTTTATCATTGTGGATATGTCCAGAGCAATGGAAGAAGCAGATTTAAAACCTTCACGCCTTGCATGTTCTGTCAAGGTACCTGAGTTAACTATTAGCGACATTTTGAGAGTTGAAAATAATATGCAATGCCTCAGTTTGGTTTTGCCTATTTCAGAGATATTCAATGTAAAGTTAGTCATTATTGACAGTGATCTTGAACCAATATAATATCTTTTCTAACAGCTCTTGGAAACTTTTGTCACTGAGTACTTTGATCAGAATCCTATTTCACAGGTAAAGTATTATTTTTCTTCAAGGTGATACATCTGATTTTGATGAATAAGAGCCAGTGTTATCAGTGTTAAATCTTCGGTTGCAGATTGGAATTATTGTGACCAGAAACAAGAGAGCTGAGAAACTCACAGAACTGAGTGGTAGGACAACTGAAGATAACTTTTGCTGACTTCATTTTTTACAATCATTAATACTCTGACATTATCATGATTGACCCTGGGAGACTAGAAAATAATTGAATGTAACCAAAATTAAATTACAATATAATTTATTTTGTCCAACTGAGTTCATAATCCAAATTGGCCCCTGTAAAAAGATTCCAAAGCAAATGTTTCAAGCTTTAGCCCTTCATCAGAGCAAATGACAAAGGGCTAATGTGTGAAACATCAGGTGGTCAAGTTTCATCATCAACTGAGTTGATGATGAAAACACCCCTACAGATGCAGCACCACAGTTTCTTTAGAAACTTACCCCCTTTTTAAAAAAACAAACTAGGTGAAATAAAGTTATAAACAAGAGCATTTTGTGATTTTTGAAGACAAGTGTAAAGAAATTGACAGAAATTTTGATATACGTATGTACAATAATTAAATTATTTTTTTGATGATAACTCAGCAATGATGCCAGTGAGATATATGGTTTTATCTCTTCTCTCTCTGGAGTGACAAGTGCAC